TGCCGCCGCCGTCCACAACTTCAAGCGCTTTGGCGAAATTCCTGCCGTACAGCATGTGTAGGCTGTAAAACACAAGCAGACGGGTGGGTGCACAGGGTGGCGGTGGCAGGCATGCTCAAGTTCAACTTTGGCAACGAAAGGCGTTACTAAGACTGAGAGGCGGGAGATAAGGGTCAGCTTCTCGAGCGTACCTGGCTAGTGTCTCATCGGGTACTTCAGGATGACAGTTGGGGTAGGCTGCCGTTAGCACCATCGGACCAGGGACAATGTGGCTTATGGATGATTGACAATGATTCCCGCTGCCTCACTTTCTATATTTGGATTTTGGGCGATGAGCTCCTCGAGTTCCGCGAAGCAAGCGTCCCCGGCACTGCGGACATTTGGCAAATGAATTGCCGCGACTCGACGCAACGCTTAAAAATGGTATACGAAATCTAATTTCCTACTTTGCAATGTCCGGGATCTTGGCGCTGATTTGGTCATTCGATTGCATTTCAACGAGGTCAGCAGGCTACCGCGACATCCAGACACTCCGGAAGGGTTACGTTCTAATGCGATTGAATATCACAAAACTACGCATGTTCATATGGCTATATCCAATTCAAGGTCCGTGTCTTCGTACAGGTTGCTGTCCCTTGGTTCCAGGATAGAGCTTGATCCTGCTAGAGGCTTCCGTTCCACACCAATTTCGTGGACCATTTTCCTTGTTGCTGAAGACTGGTTGAAGCTCCAGCGGGGCCTTCCTGAACTCAGAATCTGTTGACTCGTGGCTGAGCTCTATACTACGTAAACAAGGGGTTTCTCCCATTAAGCCAGCCTTGGACGTCAGGTTCACCAGGCAATTGCCCGGTCCGCTACTTTTCCAACGAAGACCAGGCTAAAGAAGGCTCGTTGCTCAGGGACCCTTCAGCGGCTCAATAGGTAGGCGGTAGGAGATCGAAGCGAATGTGCGTTGTAAATAAGTACCCACCCTGAAGCATGTAACACACCATGTACACACGAGAACGTCGTTATAACCGTGGTTGAGTACATCACACATATTGTTTGCTTTGTATCAACGTTAAGCAACGTCTGTTATCCCGTTGTGAAGCTGGTCCTGACGTGCACGCAATGTGTGTGTACAACAAACCTAGATGGCAACTCCCGCGCAGTGTGCAACCAGGCGGACGAGCTATCCAGCTAGGTGACGGCTCCGAAGACGGTGCCGCAACACACACACACACACACACACACAATTTGCTCTTGATAACAATGGGCATTCTCCCGCGTTGCAAGCTGCACAAGCGAGTGCACAGGCGTTATTTACTTGCTCACAATACAGGACAAGATAACACCTTCAAAGTGCAACATGCCCTACGAAAAATTTAATGGTTCCAAAAGGCCCTCAATGGCAGCTTCAGAAAATCTGCTGCTGTGCACTGCGGCAGATGCCAACAACATACTTTAGGGCCTTGGCCAACTAGAGGCGTCTGTCATTCCTGTACCGGGGGCAATGCCACACACGACCCCGGGCAACCCACGCGGGCCCTTATGTCCTTGTGCGACAGCCATGTCAACAGTCCTGTTATATACGAGAGCAGTATTCCTCCTCGTCAGCAATCATTCGGCAACGAGGTAGTCCTTCCAACAACCGCCACCGCCACTGTTGAGGCAAAACATTTGGCATGCGACCTTCCCAGTCAAGCCCCTCCTTAACTCCCCAACGCTAAGAATGAGATGCTGACCACACTGCTGGTTGCTGATACCCCAGCAAACACACTGCATGCAAGCCAAACGCTGATGCCAAAAGGTTCTCCCAAAGTACTGTTCGAAAGCTGATACTGCTGCTGGCGCCGAAACTAACACGCGCCTTCGCAACATGCAGCAGTTGGCCAGCATAAACGGATTACCGGTTCCACATCCACACAGCATATCCGTCGCACAGCACGCCTTTCGCGTAGGGTCTCTTCGACTATGCAAGGTGGGAGTCCTGCGCACACAAGAGCTGCCTGACGAATGCACGGAGCAACTAACGAAATCGCCCAGGCCCAGGAGTTTGAAACTCTCCTGACCCTTCGCTGACCAAACAATATTCATACATCACATGGCACGAGCCTTGCAGGTGCAGCATCCCTCCCACGTTGAAAAAATACACACACATATGCGGCATGTCCTAGCCGTAAATGCGCGCATGCTGTGCTGGGGCACCTTTTTCCATCTCAGACAGCAAAATGGGATGCACAGCAAACTGTGGCAATGCTGGCATCGGCACACCATAAAGCACGAGACCGCAGGCTAGGAAACCCTGGATCTGGTCCCCACACCTTAAGGCAAACTGCATCCACCAAACCTATCAGAATGCACACACGAAACCTATCCTCCTTTACCGTGTTCTCGAGTCTATCACAACATGACCAAAACCGCATATCTGCACTGTATCTATGACTTAGTTCTCCTAGTTCGCCAGCGCCCAAGCGTGCCTCTCTCAGTTCTTCTCGTGAATAGCCACGAACCAATCCCATTGCTGGGACGGCGATAGGCAAAACCGCCCAACCCAAGCGCCGCCATACAGTCCTGCAAGCGTAAAGATTGGCAAACTGCTAACTGCGACAAAAGTGCAATGATATGGTATTATTTATACCTTCCCTGCACAACACATAGAACCTTTCGACACTGCACCTACAAACGTCAACCAGACTGCCATAGGGCCCGCATGCACCCGTCTTCAGACCTATGCTAACGCCTGATGCCAACACCGCCACACTCAAGACTGACTGCTGATGCAGTTGAGAGGCACCAAGTGAAGGCAGCAAGCAGCAGGAAACGGAAACACAGCCACTGCGTCAGCGTCCCGTTTGGTCCTTGCCCCCTACACAGCCTCCCTACACAACCTCCCGGAGGAACGCATCCGACGCGGCTGAGTTGTGAACATCACTCGAAATGCTGGCAGCGAGCCCATGAGCAGGCGCGGCTGCACCGCCGCCACCGCGGCTCCGGCTGCGTCGTTGAATAGGCTGCGGCAGGCTCGCCTCGTGCATGCCAGCTTGCAGCAGCTGCATCCAGCCAATAGCTCCCCGGGCCGGGGAGCTCACCGCCAGGCCTGTGCCGCTGCTGGTGCGACGCAACCGTCGGAGAAGGCCTGTGCTGGCCCCAGTTGCAGTCGCGTGCGCCGTGCGGCCGCAGAGCGACGGCTCGCGCTCTTGTGTGGAGCCCAGCAACACCTCCGCCGCCAGGCTGCCCAAGCTGCTCGTGGACAGCTGCGATGAGGGTACCGGGTGCAGGCCCTGACTTGAAAACCGCGGGCCGCGTCGGCGCTTGAGCTCGGGGGGCGTTTCGTAGTGCTCCGCCTGGTACTCGGCAACGGACGTTAGGTCAGATAAGTCGGCGAAGGAGCGCTGGGCAGCATGGCAGGTTGACCGTTGTAGCCCGGCATGGCGAGCCACCCCGGAAGGAGCAACAATGATGGACGGGGGAAGTGCCGCCGCCGCCAGCTCCCGTTGCATGATCGTAGCACTGGCTCCCAGGGAGCCAACCGCGCTGGAGTTGTCCAGGAAGGTCATGGGGACAGAGCCCGCGCGGGGCTCCCGGCTCCCGTGGTGGCGCCGTGCGCGGTTGATGATGACACGGCTGCGTAAATGGTGTGCAGGAGTTGCCTTTGTGGCCGCAGCCACAGGGGTGCCGCCCCTTGCCGCGGCACAGGACGCGAGTCCTGCGGCTTTTACGATGTATGGTACAGCGCCAACGGAGGCGGACAGCGGGGTGCTCGGCTTGGTGGCTGGTGATCGCTTGGTGACGACGGCGGCGGCGGCACCGCTCTCAGCAGCTGGTGCCGGCGCAGCGGGAGAGCAGTCCATGGGTGACAACGATGATGCGGCTACAGCCGTCGCTGGGGGCGCCACTGCTGTCGTAGATCGTACGGCGCCACATCCACCGGCGGCGGCAGCAATGGGTGTCATACACACCGCCTCCACCTTGATTGGCTCTGGCGTCGTCAAGGTCGCGGCCAGGGCGGCTGCAATGCCACCGCTCGGCAAGCGGGCGCCTAGAGTAGGCAACTCACCACTGGGCGCTGACTGCGGCGATGCCAAGGGGGAGGTTGAACAACGTCGGGCGGCCAGGGCGATGGGGCCCAGCACCTCCCGCTCATGCGCCTCATCTAACTTGGCCGCCAGACGCAGCACCTGCGGCATCAGGTCGATGTAGCCGCCGTCGCCCTCAAATGGGTTGCCTCGTATCGTGGCCGTCAAAGCTGATACCCGGGCACGAGACAATGGCCGCACGGGCGCCGCTGCCTGCACGCCGCTGATCCGTCGCGGTGGTTGCACGGCGGGCGCCTCGCTGACCCTGGGCACGGGGGGCACACATGTCGAGGCTGCCATGGTTGCTGTTCCTTGAGCCTCGGACGCCACCACAGCTGCGCTGCAGGGGCTCGTATCATCGGGCGGCGATGCGGGGATTACGGCTTGGGGATCCAGGTCCATGCTCCCAGAAGATGACAGCCAAGGTTTAAAGTCATCGTCCGTGGCGTCGATCGCTGCCGCAGCCGTTGCTGCTTGCAAACGCATTGCCGCGGCGGCGGCCACCGCGGCCGCTTCCGCTGCCTGCCTGGCGAGCTGCGCCTGGCGCAGGTCCTCGAACAGCGGCATGGCCTGCAGCTCCTTGGCCGTGGGCCGGCAGCCCGGGTCAGGGTGTAGGCAGGCCCTCAGAACCTCAGCTAGAGCTGGACAGGCAGCAACTTTGGAGATCCTGCACCGAATCAAGCAGGAGAGGGTAAAAGTCACCCAGCTGTTGGGCCGTGTGTGCAACCGTGGCTGCGAAACTGCATCCCCAACGCGCACGTGGAGGAATGCAGTCGCCTGGTAACAGCTGACGCCAGATAGCATAAAACCACGTGCGATTCTAACAACTGTCTATCCTATACTGTGCACGGTTTAGATATGCGCCCGTCGCTTGACTGACAATTACCAGGTTACAAGTTCCAAAGCCTGCACAAGTCACATATAAAATACTAGCTTCGCCGTTCACGCGCCGACCCATCCGGCATACCTGTCCAGCAGCGGCCCTCGCGCCCGTGCCTCCTCCAACTTTGCACGCTGCTGCCGGGGCAACAGCTGCAGCAGCTTCTCCTGGGCGCGAGATAGTTGGCCGATCATTGCCACCACACAGCTCAGCTGGTCGAGCTCGTTCTGTCCGCCGGCCATCAGCGGCTTGCCAGTAACCAGCTCGCCTAGGATGCAGCCTGTGAGGGGGCGCCGTACGGAGTATTGTTGATTTGTTTTGGTCAAAGGAAACAAACCTACAGCAGAGAAACAGCAGTCGCTTCTCGAAAGAGCATTCCGTTATCCGCCAAGCGTACGTACCGAGAGCCCAAATGTCGCTTGCCGCCGAGCCTGGGGCGCCCAAAAGAGACTCTGGCGCGCAGTACCAGCGGCTGGCTGCCGCCGTCACCTTGGGCATCGAATCCACCGTGTTTGCGAAGGCGGAGGGCGCAGGTTCTGGCGAAGCGTGCCCGGGGATGATACAGACCTCGTCCGTGCGAAGCGCCTGAGTGGAGTCATCACCACCACTAAGAACCACGCTGGTTGCGGATCCAAAGTCGCAGAGCTTGCTGTTGCATTGGGCCGTTAACAGCACGTTTGCCGGCTTGATGTCCCCGTGGACCACCTGCACATACAGCGAGGTGGAATCTGGTGAGCGAGTATCGGTGGCTCGGCATCGAAGGAAATTGTTAGGGAATGTGTGTGTGTGTGTCAAAAAATAAGTGCGGCTGTAGATAAAGCAGCACGAGGGAGCATCAACCGATTCTATGCCCTGTACCGTTTTGCACGCGCATGGACTTGTGAAACCGTCATGTCAGGACGGCGACTACTAATGAACACGAATGGGATGTGATTGATTAAGGGAAGAAACAAGGACTTCATTCACCTGCCAGGCATTCCAAGCGCACTCCAGTCCCCGACTAGCAGGGGAAAAGGGCTTGCTGTCACTCTTACCTTCTTGCCGTGAATGAGCTCCAGAGCAGAGGCCAATTGGAATATGACAAGCTTGGCCTTCGGCAGGGGCAGGCCTCGTGGATTTAATAGGAGCTCCCGTGACAAAGAGTGCTCAGCGTGTTCCATGACCAGATAGATGACTCCGGAAGTCAATCCTTGATGTGCTTCAAGAAGTGTAACACAGTTCTCGTGAGCGCATGCTCGCATAATCGCCGCCTCTTGTAAGATCTATGATGCACGAAAGACCGCAGATGTCACAGTTATGATCACCGACCTGCAGGTATGTCAACGGCAACTGTAGCCGTACCTGTGGAACTGTAGAGCCCTCGAGCTTCTTAACAGCAACAATTGCTCCGGACGCAGTGTCTCTGCACTTGAAAACCGTACTATTAGCGCCAGCTCCATTCCGACCCAGTAACTCGAACCGCTGCAAAGCACATTCAGCAGAGTCGTTAGAGCATCCATCCGCCAACAAGCCCATAAATGTGGGCAAAACGTTATCCCCACCACGCAGATAGTAATATTGTAATTGTCGAGGAGGATAAAAGGAACGATGCAGCCTGACGCACACCGTGTTCCACAAAACGTGAGCCACGTTGCCTTGAGGGGGAACTGACAGGGGCTGGCGGTTGAAGCCCACCTGCATTTTGATGGCTGGCTGGACGTTTCACGTGTAGAACAAGAAACTGGATAATGGAAAGCCTCCTCTAGGATCGTAAGGCCGCTAACGCGTCACCTCTTCAGAAACGAGGTGACGCACGTGCTTTATATTAAGGTGGAGATTTATATTGGAAACTTATGCTGTTCCGAAAATAACAGCAAGTAATCGATCGGAAGGACTATATAAGCAAAAGCTTCTAAATCTAGCGTCGTACAAGCACCTTCCCAGCCAAGGAGCATCAGGAAGCAGCATATGCGTTTTACCATCTGGGGTTCATGAAAATAACACTGAATTACTGCAAGTGTCAAATGCTACATACTGTTGCATTGCATGCGTTTTGCAGTACTGAACGTGACCCACAACCCCAGTTAAAGTCTCAGGAGGTAACAACCAACCCGCATATAGAACTAAAGTCATAAATACTGTTTTCTTTTACTTTCCCTTTGGACAATCTTAATCTTGGGTCATTGACTGCTAGCTAGTTTAAATGTTAATAGTTGCAGATACGTCCTTTGGAAGATATTCCCAATGGCATAAAATACGCCGTATTCATCCTTACTCAACTTGACCTGTATGTTGTTTTGCATATTGCGTTGCAACCATTTTGCCGTGGCTTAGTTGTGGTTCTTGTTAGTCGTTGAGCCAATTCCTACAAGGAACCCTAAGCCCGAATCGTTTGCCGATGCCTGCAACCCGTGTTGCAAAGCAACGCTTGCAGTGGCTGCATAACAACGGGGCTATGCAAATTTAGTGTTTGGCTTTTGTTACTTGTAGAAATCTTCTTGCCTTGCCAAGTTGCCATTTGCCAGCGTTGTTGGGAAAAACTTTTGATATGCTGCTCGCCAGCCCGCTGACGATGCCTCAAGCAAATTGAAGACTTACAAGTGCTTTAGAAGTCCGCTACGACGGCTCCCGAGCATTCTCCCCTGTTTCGGCAGGAAAACCTGATAGGGCCAGGGCCCGTCTTGCGTTGGGCCACGGCTGATGCAGCAGCAGCGTAATGGCATTGATGGGACGCCTTGAACCTGCGCTGTGGTGGCAAAACCGTTAACCAACGAAGGCAAGCCCCGTGCCTGGTGACTCCTCCTTGGTTGCGCAGTAGGAAGGGTACATGCTGACAAGCGAGCCAGCAACTGTAGCAGCTGGCCGCTGAAAAGGCCTCTCGAGATGCTGGTGGTCGCGCTACGCGCGTATTTATAGCGCCGTACTGTGTACCGGCTGCTACATCCCCCCCCTTTGAAGGGGTCCGTCCCGGGCAACCGAGGATTACTTCGATGAGATCTTCGTTCGCCTTGACCAAACCACACCAAGCTTGCCTATGATGCTCGATATTGACGGATGAGGAGGAAGAGGAAGAAAGGAGGAGGCGATGGACGGCAGTGAACACCTGACGGCGAAAGAATGTTTACACCGTTGCGGCACTACGATATTACGAAGAGCTTATGACCTATCGTTGGCCGTATATAACATCGCGGATAATATACGAAAAGCAGAGGAAACAGCACGTTTCCTGCAATTTGTCGGAAAGCAGCACTGACGGAGCGCAGAACGACATCTACAGATCACCGCAGAACGCACAGCACTACGCACGGCAAATTGTTCCCACAGACGACAAGGTAACAACTAGTACCATAGTATTCAGGACATGCGCACTGGCCCTGTGTCCTCTTACGCGCACGCACATACACACGCACATACACACGCACACCTGTAAGCTAACACCCACTAACAATAACCCGGCAAAAACTACTAACGGGTCGTTAACCTGTCAACTGATTCATAATGCACATTGAAGGCGAGGTACAACTAAGAAACACGCCTGGGCGAGTTGTGATCAACAACTAAATCAGCAGGTCATTCGGCCAAGCCAGGTGCTCACAGAGGTACGGCTGACGGTATATTGGGAACAGAGGAACGCGGCGCTGCTTTGCCCTGCTACGCCCGTTGTGCAGTTCTATTCGGCAGTCGTCCGGGCTGCTTCGGGACGCGAAGCACGGAATGAATGAATGGGCCCATCTGATTGCCCCACTTGCTTAGCGCGGCGGCACCTGGTCCGGCTCAGCGTCTCTCAAGACGCGCACACGAAACATATTTAGTTGTTTCCCTTGCTAAGCAGGCGGGCGCGCTCCACGGTGCACCTAGCTTACCAGGCAGCAGTACGACACCGGCGCAGTGCGGTCATCACTGACTCTCAAAAATGACCCCCAAAAGCCCCCATAACAATCAAGTGCATGAGGACATGCGATACCAGACCAAGATTAGACGTCTGGACTAATGAACGAGAAGGGGATGGAGTTGGCCCTCTTACGTCGGTAATCACATGGCCAACTCATGAATGGAAGTACAGCCGAGTTTGCCATACAGCCTAGGCCGGCCAGCAATGGCGCTGGTGACGGTGCTTATGACGGATAATGTATGTGACATAGAACCGCGAAGCATTACCCCTGCTGTGATCATGGACATATATAGACAAGCACAGACATAGATACGCTACATATCAACAGTTAAGTTTGACCCACATCGAGAAACACGCACACGCACAAACACACGCACAAATGAACAAACAGTCCTCGCTCGGAAACACGAGTGCGCGGTAGGTGGGATCCATCCACCTTGGAGTTTCGGATCCCCTATAGGGGGTATCATAACCTATTATGTGCACCATCAGGAGTTAGAAGCGACACGCAATCATGCTTCCCATATCCATTATCGCCGCCCACGCAACCACCCCATCGTTTTACGCATATGTAGTGAGATCAGATCGCCCAGCCGTGAATTATCAGCAGGGGAGATTATGAGCGCCATTCCTGATCATGCGCGCCATGTGACTGGGGATGTGTCAAGCAAAATAACCGAACGCTTCCACACAGCGCGAAACTAGTGTGTTTGCTTACAGTAAACCCATGTCTTCATACTGGTTGAATACGCAAGCAGGAATGCTTCCGATATGCGGGTGTGCCAAAGCCGCGTTAATTTTTCGAAACAACCTAACGAGGCGCCGCATTCTCAGCGGTTCGAAAAGTCCCTTCGTCCCGACAGCCCTTTGCGGCCGCCGTTTGCCTACGAAAACAATCCAATCGGGACCACCCTCCCTTATTGATTGCCATCATTTGAAGGTTACGCCGCGCAGGCAAATCCACATCCTCCGGCAAGCCCGCTATAAAGAAAGAGAAGCTAGTCTTCATCTTTCCAACCACGGGGAGTTAAATCTCGGGGGGGGGGAGCTCTCCCGCTCATCCTTCCCAGCACTAGAGTACTAGTGTCGTACTCCAGGGCCCAGAACCTGCATCGCGCTCATTTCACGTCAACCATAAACCGATTCGCTCCTCCAACACTAACCGGCTGGACAACCGAAACGATTGCGTTAGCAACCGTACGAACGACCGTATGAATACAAGCCTGCGGAAAAAAATTAAAGCGCATGATGTGCTGAACGCTCACATTTCCTGTCGCATTCCCCGTGTCGAATACATCCAGAAGCCATGTCATGTGCGCGCATCCGCAACCCGGCGAAACAAGTTCACCATTATTATATAAACGGTAAATATCTCTTATCTGTTCCTGGCAGGCGGCTTTGTCCTGAATCCGTGTCCTAAACATCTTCGCAGATCAGAAAGTACATCGAGACATTGCGATACGGCAACCGCCATAAACATTGTCCGAACCACATCCGAAAGTAATCATAAATATTATGACCGACCCAGGAGGTTTCTCCGCTGAGGTTCGGAGGCTCATAAGCTACAAATACCTAAGAAGGATTTGCAACGCCACCTTTCCGAACAAATAGTGATTTTGTTGATGTAAAAAAGGCCCATTGTAGCGATCACGCGTTTCCAGCGTTTCCCATGAAAATTGTGTAATATAAGCGCGCCCTGCCCGAAACCGTCCCAAACCCGTCTTTCCTCGAGCCGTTTGGTCCTTTAGCCCCCTTTCCCGAATCGCATATTTCTGCAGTTGCTGCTGTTGCTGCAACATCCAGGTTGCTGCTACGGCGTAATGCTGCTACAGCCAAACGACGGCATACATCTCAACTCGCAACCTTTCTTTTCAACGAGTACACGTTTCCTGAGGGCCGCCAATCCGCCTGTCCGTCCCCGCCCGCCATGAGGCACACGCTACCTCCCCGACCCATGCACCTATACCTTTCAACCGGGAACCGCACCTTTCCAGCGCAAGATCACTACCGCCTCCTCGCCCCAAACCCATTCGGCTCAAGCAGCAGTACACCCTAAAACCCTTTCCTCCATCCTCCTCCCCTTCCGGCATCTCCCTAGTCCCCTAGTCACCATCCAGCGGGATCCGGCCAAGTCCATGCGCTGGTCAGCCCTGCTCTCATCTTCACCGCTCGGGACCTCCGCACGACTAACCTCACATGTCCTGCAGTCGAAGGTGCGCCAGCGCCGCCCGAGCGTACTCCTCAGCGAGGCTCTCAGTGCCCACCCGCCCAGCGCGGCCCGCCGCCACCGCGGCGGCCGACGGTCTCATTGGCGACTGATCCTGACCCGTGGGTCCGCCGATGGGAGGCTCAGGCCCGCCACTGCCTCCGTCACCCCTGTCCGAAAAGGCGTCCAGCGGCATCCATCCTGAACCCCCACAGGTACGGGATGAGGAAGCCGTAACAGAACGGCGGAGGTTGACGCCGGAGCCGGCGGCGGCGGTGGCAGTAGCGGCGGCGGCGGGGGCGGCTGCATCAGCCGCGGAGCGCGCACTGCGCCGTGGCGGTGATGGCAACTGTGTCGACGATACCTCCGGAGATGATCGCCATAGTTGCCTCCGTTGCACCTCTTGCGATAGCAACATCTGCTGCTGCTGCGGATCCTGCTGTTGGTCGCACAGGGAGGTGATGTCAGGCGGCGAGCCCGCCGCCACCACAGCCGCAGCCGCGAAGCTGTCGGCCAGGCTCTTCGTTACGCTGCTGCCGGCAAGGATGCGAACGCGCGTACTGCCGCCACCACCGTCGCCGCCGCTGAAGCGGCTCAGCGACCGGGGCTGGGAACTGCTGCCGCTACCTTCACCCCCGCCTCCGCCGGCAGCCTGGCAGCTCGCCGCCGGTGTGGCGTTCAGGGAGGCGGCTGCCGAGCTGATGCCGCTGTTGACGGTGTAGCGGCTGCCGCCGCCGCCGCTGGCAGATGATGAGCCGGTGCCGCCGCCGCTGCGAGACGTCGTCGCAGCGGCCGATGAGGACGCCACGCTGATGGACCATGCGGTTGGACTCATGAACCCTGAGTGCACGAGTGGGCAGACAATCCCTTAAATAACCACATCGGGGACAGCAGCAGTGACAGCAGCAGCAGGATGCTGATGAAATGGGACAAGGCCAGGGGGAGACAGAGGGAGGCGACTGAGGGAGGCGACGGCGGTGACAAGAGGGAATGATCCTTCCTTCTACAACGTCATATACACCTTGTGGAGAGCACGTCCTAGCTAGGCAACTTGCGAGAAGGCGCCCGAGACTGCTCTTTCCCCGGCTCCCCTTCGATGCGTGGCCCCCTAAGAGCAAACTGAGCAAACACAGGGAGTGGGAGTGTGCGCCCTCAAGCCGCACAAGCGGGTGACTCACTGCATTGCACTCTGGCCAGCTGAGCCGCCTCTGCCATCTCGTCCCGCACCAGTAGAGCAGTGGAGGTGAGCACGTGAAGGGCCCCCTGCCAACAGGCCTGAATGAACGGGTGTGGAGAGGAGAGCGAGTGCTGATAATAGAAAGATGGAGGAGCGGTGCGGGAGCGGGAGAGAGGATAAACTCAGAACACGCAATGTTTAGGGGCTCTCAACGTAAGCGCATAAGGCCCAATAATGACTCACAAGCCCTAGTAATTTCCTCCTACCACTCACTGTTTATCACCCACCCACAACCACTCACCCGTAGCTCCACGTGGTTCCGGAGCAACGTCTGTCCCGCCTCAGCGGCCTGAGAGGAGCTCATACCGGCAACCTGGGCGTCGTGAGACAAGGTGGCGGTGCGGCGGCTGCGGGGAAAAGGGGTGAGGGCGGGAGCCGGGGGACACGGCAGGGAGATGTGAGGCCAAGAGAGGCGGAGGTGCCGACGGGGGGAGGCCGCATTGCACCGGGTTTACGTCGCGGCCGGGTCAGATCCAGGTGAGGTCGGGTCAGGGAGCTGGCGAGCACGGCGCCTCATCCTTCCTCTCCCCATTTTCCCCCACCCCACCCCACATCTCCAAAAAATCCCAAAACCCTAGCTCCTACCCGCACTTACCCTCTTGGCATTGCAACCCATACGGCTCCTCTCATCCCACTCAGGCCCTCAGCCCTCCGCGGCTCCCGTTCCCGCACCCCCCGGAGACCTGCCTGGGGCCCTCCCCTGGCCCTACCCATGCCCCCAGGTTCCCCGCGCTCCGCCCCTCGCCCCTCTGCTCACCGCATGCCCTCCTCGAACGCGGTGGCCAGCTGCCGGAGGGACCCCAGCTGCTCCACCGCCTGGTTGTGCACGCGGATGAGCTCCTGGAGCAGCAGCCAGGCGCGGCGGACCTGGGCGGGGGGGAGGGGAGGAGGTGGGAGGAGGAGGACGGAAGCAGAAAGGGTTGGGGAAAAAATGAAAATTGTGGACGAGCAAACAGAACCTCATCATTATGCAAAATTTAAACAACCAACAATGCAAACGTCCAAACTTCCCCTCCTCCTCCTTCCCTTTCCCCCTTTGCTGCGACGCACCTGGGGACTCAGACAGTCGGGGAAGTGCCGGGCCGCATGGCCTCCTTCTCCTACTCCTCCCGCTGCTGCTGCCGCCACCCCTAACCCCACCCGCTGCTGCTGCTCCGCCCCCAGTAGCCCCGGAGCATCCAGCTGGGGGTCCAATCTAAACTCCAGGGTGGGCGACTGGTCGGGGCCCCCGCGGAAGAAGACCTCGGGGCGGTAGCGCTCCTGAAGAAGCAGAGGAAACACAGTTCCGTGGGGGACCCGGGAACACAACGCAACAAAACACGGCATGGGAGGCAAAGAGACACAACAGCATGGCAATATGTGCCGGGGGACACAGCAGGAGTCATGACACGCCATCACGGACTGGCTGGGCCGATAAATACGTCATCCGCAAATCACATGTGAATCACACGTGCGGTACATACTAAAACTGACATCAACGAATTGCTAACTGACACTAACGGACCAGGAGTTCCTAATCCACCGCTGCCCTCGTCATCCGCAACACACGTACATACACACACACAGCCCACCAGCGCGTCGTCGCCTCCGGCGGCCCCCACAATGTCCCGCAGCTCCCCCAACACGTGGGTCAGCAACGCGGCGAAGCTGGCAGGTCCAGGGGCGGCGGCGGCGGCGTGCGCCAAAGAATGTACGGCTCCGTTAACGGCCTCCACCGCCCGACCCAGCAGGAGGCGGCAGGGAGGGGGCAGCGATCGTATGGCTGCGTCTGCGGCTGCCTGGGGTTCGTACGGCGGCTTGGCGGCAGTGCGGTGCGAGGTGCGTTGCTTGTGTTGGCGGAGAGCTGCGCCAGCGCCCAAGGCGGCGGCGGTGCTGCTGCCTGCTGCGGATGGGCTGCTGTTGGGATTTAAGGTAGCGCTCGCTGCGGCAAGATGCTTGGTGGCGGCGGCTGCTGCTGCGGCGGCGGCGGTGCCCGCAAGCGCCACCGTGCGTGGCGAGGTGGTCACTACGGCGTGTGGGCAGCCGTTCAATCCTGCAGAGGAGGGGAAGCGGGAGCAGGGGAAGAGGGAGATCGGACAGCCAGGAAGTGAAAAATACTTCAGCTCTGAAGCTATCTTGGAACGATGGGACTCAGGATTGTACGGGGCGCAGGAGGGAGCGGAGCGGGAAAGACGAACCACGAACGAGTGAAGCTGCTGCCAGGGCAAGAGTGTACAAGAAGCAGAACTGCCCAAAAGGCGTTCTTGAAGGCAGCGACCTCGGGATGATGTAGTGAAGATGATGTCGGAAAAACTACCTACCTAGCCGCCAGGACTAAAAAAGCGCGGAAAAAACAGTAATGCCAAGCGGGAGCGGGAGAGGACGTGGCTACGCAGTAGGGATGTACACCAATGCAGCCCAATCAACACCACCTCGCGTGAGACAAGACGTTTCCGTACCGCCGCTTTCCTTACCCACCAGCTCCACACATATAAAGGCTCACTCAGCTACCCACCCACCCGCTCAACCCCACCCACGCCTCCGTGCCCCCACACTAGGTCCTCAACCAGCTCACCGGTCAGCTTCAAAGCCGCCGCCAGCCGGCCGTTGGCGTCGTGGAATGCATGTCGCGCACCCGTCAGCCTGCCGGCGTTCAGGCAGGTCGACTGGTCCAGAACGGTGACGGGCAAGAACCCGCGAGGTAGACCGGCGGCACCCCCTGGCGTCGCCGCCGTCGCCGTCGTCGCGGCCATGGTGGCGGCGGCGGCAGAGCTTGCCGTCCCTCCCTCAGCGCCCGTCTGAAGCGCCGGCTCGGGTTTCAGCAGCCTCACACGGAAGGCAGACGTGCCGTGGGCCTCGGCCTGCCGAGGTTGGTAGGGCGGTGAGCACGGGGAAAGGGTATGGGGAATGGGGCGGATACAGGGGGAGGAGGCGCGAGGACTGAGGAGCCCGGCTCTTGATTGAGGAGAGTGCGCTGCGCGGCGTGAGGTGTTTCACGGTGAGGAGAATATATCCTTCTAGTCAGGGAGCATTGTTAGGGAGGTGCGTGGGGTGGGGAAAGGGGTTGCGCACTGGGGAAGCAAGGGCAGTGATGTTATGTCACAGGGATTCGCCGCGATGCGCGTACACACGATAGAGGCTCGATTACCGAAGTAGGTATATGAAGGTGGTCAACTCACCTTATGGATATGCAAGGCCAGGAGGTAGTCTTCGCCGAGCGCGGTGCGCATGTCAAGCATCGTCTGGTTAAACGCGTCTACGACGGGCTCAGCGGGTTGATCCGGTGCCTTCGGAACCAAGGTGCCAGATGAGCTGAGCGCATAAAGAGAGCCGTTGATGCCCACTTTGCTGACGAAGGCATCCGCGAGGTCTTCCAGGCATTGTGCAAGTTGTGCATCGAGGACTGCGGGACAGAAGCCACAAGCCTGCTCAGGAACGTTGTTGGTTATGCTACGTTTTAAGCAGTGCTTTCCGACATACCTGCAAGTTTGCCAGACCGCGTCAAGTCCCGACCACGGAGGCGCGCCGCTTCGGCGACCTCAAGCGGCCTGCCCAAGGCCGAAAGTAGCTGGACGGTGAAGATGTCAACATTAGATGAAAGCGAGAGTAATAAGCTGAAACCCCCTTGCAATAATCCGGTCGCAAGCCGGACATCAAGGAGAATGCCATTAAGGGAGTCATTTAAGGAGCACGCAGTGCTCGCGAACTGAGCTGCCTGCTCGACGAGCGCATCAACAGGACCAATGCGGATTTTTTCAACTATGGGTGGCCCAACCAAATCACAAGCTGAGTATGCGGGCCTTGGGGGGCATGTCAACCCGTGCTCCGTTATCTTCCCCCCGGATGACGAACAACCAGCTCCCATGGAAGCTAGCGAACCGTAGTGCACCACAAAATTGCTTCCAGCATTGGGCTTGAGGTTTGTTCAACCTTGAGCCCGTCGCGAGGTGACCATGCAAGTCGCCTCGAGGGGCTTGTCCGTTCATACCAACAAACCACCATTCATGCTGACATAAGGCGCACGGAATAACTCTTCTTTGGAGAAACCCTTATTCTCATCATCTAAAATCTAGCTGTCAGACAATTCCGTACAACCCTGTGAAGCATAACTGGGAGTTTAAGACTCATAATGCATACATCAACACTACGGCTACAGAGGATTATCTGAATATCGACAGTTGTCGTACGGAACCTGAAACTGATGCCTAGGTACATACTCCAACGCGCTGCACACTTTATGCCCCTTGGTTAATAGCGGTAAAATAGCGCGTCCACGAGTCGAGTTAACTACTCAACAACTAAAGAGAAAACCTAACAATGCAGGTAATGTTGTTGAGCGCACTTTCCGAGGCGCTTTCCCCCAACCTCATGTCGCCGTACAGAGCAAGAAAGCGTGTCAGGAAGTGTGCAAACGTTTGTACCTTAGAGCAACTTACTATTTTTCCTTCAATAGCCATTTATAGCTTGCAGCTGTAACTATAACAGCCGTACAAGATATGGACGTGCTGTCGCCACAGTTCGGGAGGACTCCGAGGACCTCCTCAGCCTCTTGCGAGTGATACCGCACCTGGCCAACGCAAGAGAGTACTAGGGTTTCGCCAGAGGTCACACAATCGATCCCTGAGTGAGGCCTCCCTTCCTGTTGTAGGGAAGCCGGTGTTGCTGCAGCAGCTTGACTCACTCAAACACTTCTACGAAAATCCGCAGCGTAGCAGCAGCCATGTCAGCAGGGCGAGCCCTCTCAGCAGGGTCGCCGCCACAGTTCTCCGCACCGGCCTGGGTGACAAGACAGAGAGAGCCAGGTCCAGGCGTTAAATCGGGCACGAAGCCAGTCACTCATTCACTCAGTGAATTAGCCAGTCTGCCTGTACGTCTGTGCGTCCGTATGTAGTTGTGTATGCCATCCAGTGGGTATGTATCAATTCATAAGTGCTCGTCCAGCAGCGGCTGCAGCGGTGCCCTGCGCCAGCGGCGACCTCCTGGAGCACGTCTCTCCCATTGTACGTCTTGCTCTGTGTGCATATAAGGGGTTTGAGGGGAAGAGGGAAGCCAAGTCAGAGGGATGTGGAAGGCGGAGGAAGACAATGAATCCCAATAAATCGCAACCGGACAGTGATCAGCAAGACACCGAATCGGCGACATACACGTTTCTTCTAGTCGCCCTCCTCCTTCCTCACTGCCTTTCAAGGAACGGCAAGTAAGGGCGCTTATGCCGGTGCGCACTGCCATCAAAATGCGATCTACCACTGTAAGCCGTTGTTACGCTAAACAATACAAAAAAGAGGAGGCTGCGGAGTTAAGAAAGGAGAACTCTCACTCTATTACGCTACAGAGCAATAACCCCGAGGTTCTTCCATTAAGCGACTGCCCCACCAGTCATCCAACCATCCACCTTACCGTACAGAGCCAGAGCTTTCTTGAGACACCAACCCCCCTCCGCCAAATAGAACCGCGCTGTGGCGGGGTCCACTTGCCGACTGCGGCCCAACAGCGCCACCAGCTTCCCCTGGAACGCCTCCTCCTGGGACGAGGCGGCGGCAGCCGGGAGGGGGGGAAAGACGAACCACGGGAGGGGGGGAGGGAGGGGCCGGGAGTCCCGTAGCACCAGTGGCCCCGCAGGCAGCGCAGCGGCACAGCGGCGCTATGGCTTACAGCACCGTCTCCATTGGACGTCTTTCCATTAGAACACGGCTAACCAACAACCGACAGAAGGTGTTTCTCAAGCGCTCCTTCATCCTTTCCGAACTCATAAATTGCCATGCACACGTCCCCGGCACCTGTGCGGAACTTGTAAGTTCAGAGCTATGACCCCTACCATACGGCACAGTACCTGGCCCTTCCGCAGCCAGCCGCCTCCACCCTCGCCGCTACCACCGCCGCCGCAGGTTTCGGAGCCCTGCAGCGCGGCCCGCGCGTCCTGCGCCTCCACGTCGCTCAGCAGTACAAGTAGCTCCCGGCAAGCTATCCTGCAGTAGTGCAACACCACTGGCGACCCAGCTACCTCGGAGCGGGTGGAGACTGGGAAGCCGTGCGGGGCCAGGCGGGCCGCACACAGACGAATCGGGGACGGGCGGGCGGAAAGGGAGGATGGATGGGGGACGTGTACGGAGAAGGAAGACGAGGAAGGCATGGGGCAGGGAGTTCACACAGGAGTCAGGAGTGGGGGACCGGCGCCAAGAGGGTTCGAGAGAACTGCGAGCTGCGGCATTGCGGGACTGGTGCCGTGGTGCGGTGCCGTGCGGTAGGTAGGGGTAAGGGTCACATACGCAGCATCTCAGGGCGCCTATGGCCGAAGCGGTGGCGCCTTGGTGCATGGCAGCGAGGTGGCGAGGTCTAGATGGAACCTTGCCGCCGGCCCTGAAGTTCCAACGTCCAGCTTTGAGGTTCTTCGCCCCGAAACCTAGCGCAAGCTGCTGTATATTTTTTCTAAATCAGTTATCCACCCATGCAACAACGCACCCCAGAACTCACCCACCCCAAAGTGGCCAAATGCGCCCACCTGGTATGAAGACTGCTTCCCTGGAGTGAAGGCTGTGATGGGATATAAGGTTGTTCAGCCGCATGATGGCGGTCACCTCACAGCCGTGTCGTACGGCCAGGCCAGTCAGTGTATCGCCGCGGAGGACCACGTGGCGCCGTACGAAATGTCCGAGAGTGGCCGTCTGGGGTCTCCCATGAAGGGGCGGGGCCAGGGGTGTCAGGGAGGAATGGTACGTGGCGGCAGCTGTGGGAAAGGCGGGTGTGGGTGAAGGGCGCCTGTACACGGCGGGCGTGCAGAGAGGAATTCTTCCCAGCTGTCGCAAAGCTGCGACCGGAAAGTTGCAACAGCAGTGATGGTGGGACTGCAAGGCGGTGGGCGTGTGCGTGAGATGGTGTTTTGCATCAGAAAGCTCTGAAAACCCTCCCGACCACTCGATCTTGGACACCGTACACACACAAACACCCTCTTATGTATGCTTGCCGTTCGCTACTCGCATTTCATGGTGACGTACGTGATGCTTCTTCATTCTGACGGCGCTACCCAACACGGCCCAACCTTCCAGCTCCGACCCACATCAAGCAGTGAGGGATTACGGGCCTCCCCGAGTAGGGCTCTCAGACTCCAATGCCGCATAAACGCTGCGCGCCGAACCTGCAGTGTTCCAAACGGGCGGATACGAACGCCAGCAGACGTCAAAAGGTGCGTCAGAGGAGGATTAGCAGCAACGACTGGGGCTTCAGCATCAGCGGGCAGTAGCAGCTGCAGCGGCGGTAGCGGTAACAGCACGGGATGGTATCGAAAAGGTTTGGCGTTAGTGGCACGCGGTGGCATGTCATGTGGCTTACATAATGTTTGTTTACCGACTTACGTTAAGCGATTAAGACGACGTTGTCATTTCGCATGCGCATGGCTAGACGGCCGTTTTTGGCACGACGGCCGAAGTTTAGCTACAGTCACAAGCCATAGCTACTGTAGGGCAAGAAGTGACTGCTGATACTCTGCGCAGGTGCTAACCGTTTCTCACCTCTGTGCTTGAAGCAGCCTCTCGCCATAACTTACATACAGCCTGAAAACCAAGCCAAAAAACATTATATGTAAGACAAAATGTTCAATTTATAGAGCAAGGAAGGAACTGTTAAGGTGAGCGAAATCGCTTCGTTAGGGTTGCAAGGAGAGGTGTCGGAGTGGCATTGCAAAAGCTATAACGCGCTATCGATACATTACACAGGCATATTTTAAAACACTGTATTCACCCGACAATGCGCAAGCTCTCGTAGTGCCAGACGTGAAAACACCACCGTGAGCGTTGCGTACAGGCTCGAATGGGAGGGGTTTTGTGGCAAGGATATGTGCCCCTTGTCTGTCGTGTGCACGTCCGTGGCTTTTAACTGCTGTTTTCCTGAAACAGACCTACGGGACGCCGGGGCAGACATTGATGCAGATGTAATCGCAAAGGGCAAGTGAAGTCCTTCGTGTCACACCTATCTGACCCTGCTAATGTCCATAAGGGAGCAGGCAGAGAACAAAGCAACAGTCCTGTACGGCGTTCTTGGGTCCGTTTGTCCGTTTGCTGGTTGGCTCTAGGCATAAGTTCTAACGTCATATTGCGATTTAGCTCATCGCTTAGGAAACCGCATGCAATAAGGTACCCATTTAATCAGTTTGGTCTGTTGTGCTGACTTTCCTCTAACCTGCAAATCTGATCCTTTGTACAGATCTGTGACTCTGGTTTGGACATTTTGTGAACCTCTCATTGGATTCCCAAGTTTAGGGTTAGGACTTTCCCCGGAAGACTGGCCTCAGTCAAGCAAGGGCCGCCAGGGCCCCCAGCAGCGACGGACGATTGGTTTGGCCTTGATAAGCTGGAGCATTTTGTCTTTTGCGTAAGTGATGTCCGTCATACCCAGCGCAACTGGCCTATCGCAGCTGGATTTTGAGCTGGGTGACTCTCCGTGCAGGGTCTCTGCACGCTGGTGACATACTTAGTCCTTAGACGACTCTACTGGGCTTATCGTGCAAGATTCACCTTCAGCATTCTGGGAGGTCTTGTTGTGGGGGTACTGAAGGAGCTCGGCGATTACCTGCGGGTGAGACCTTCGCAGGGATATTAATCCCCATCTTGGGCGTGTCGCGCATCTACACATCTAGATAGAACCCATAAAGACTTTCCCTCTTTACCGCTCAAGTTCAACCGCACCACCCAGGAAACCCATTGCTGATCCACCGCCTGTACCTCCTCCCCACCCGTGAAAACCGTGCTCTCACGGGCCGCTGCGTCTCAAAGCTGTGGCCTGGAGCACTCTCCGCAAAGGACCTCACCGCCGACGCATTGGGCGTGCTCTTTTGCGCCGCCGGACTGTACACCTTGGAGCTCCGCTGCGGCAGTGCGTTGACGCCGCCGCTGCTGCCACCACCTGGCTCCAAAATCACCTTTTGCGGTTCCGTCAGGGCCCTGCTGGGCCTTTCAACGGAGCCTAGAGTAGTGGACCTAGAGCACGGTCTTGTGTACGGACAGCGGATCTTACGACAGTACAGCAACAGCTTAAAGGACCTGCGGTCGTTAATTCCGAATTCCAGTGCGCTAGCACGTTGGGGCGGTTTTGACAGCAGAAACACGTACGGCTACAAGCCGCTACCTATAGTTGGCGCAGCAGGACGTGGCGCTGTAGGGTTGGGGCTAAGCAGCGGCGGCAACGGTGGCAGCAGCAGCAGCAGCGGCGGCGGCGGGTTGGGTAGCGGCTCGCGGGGCATTGCGCTCCAGCAGGATGTGATTTCGCATTCGCGGCTTGGGGGTACAGGCAACGGCGGCGGCGGCGCAGGCAGCAGCTGAGGGCGACCTTGCATCGCGCGGAGCGGCCGTGATCCTGGACATTGCGTTTCGCTGCTAGGCACTGTGTGTAGAAACCAACTCTCTGAAAAAGGAAAGGCGAAGGACGCGAGCAGATCAGACACGAGCAATCTAGACAGCGATCCAATATCGGCCCACTCGCACAGTGGTACCGTGTGTAGAAGCAACTTGAGCTCCATATTAGTTTTCAACCAGTTGAGACGAAGCCGCCATCTCTTGCAGCACCCCGCTGCAACACATCCTCTTGTCACACGATCTGCCTGGCTGACTGTAGCGGGAATTTAAGTCCTGACCCAGATGGCGCTCGTGCCGTACCGGGTTTCGGGGCCAGCCGCTGACCAGCGCGCAACCGAGCGGCTGCTTCAGTTTCCCGGAGGCATCACGCTGCGTCTCTTGCAGTGGCCGACGGCGGACAGAGGCGGGGCAGTACCGAAGCCGATGACCGCCGCCGCTGCTACCGATGTCACCGTGACCACGCAGCCTGCAGCCGCTGGGCTCGCGCCAGGCGGCGCTCGCTCCAGCAGCGCCAGCACGTTCACTGATTCGCAGCTGCAGCAGCAGCAACAGCTGTCGGAGCCATTGCCGTACCAACCACAGCGTCAGGGGCCGCCGCTTAGCAGCCTCGCCAACGTGGGAATGGTCGTATGGCAGGCTGGTTTCCTTTTGGCGGATTTTCTTCTGCGGGAAGCGCCCGAATGTGTACGGAGCTGCCGCGGAAGCGGTGGCGGCGGAGGCTGGGGCGGTGCCACCACCATCTCCGCCACTTGTAGCGACTGGAGGTCGCTTACGGTTGTGGACTTGGGCACGGGCAGCGGTGTGGTGGGGATTGCTCTGGCGCTCGCAGGAGCGCAGGTGTACCTGACGGACCTGCCGCACGTGGTGCCGCTGGCAGCGGCCAACGTAGCGGTGAATTGCGACCCACGCGTCCATCGGGCATGCGTGTGTTCGTACCGCTGGGGTGATGACCCCGCCGTCGCGTCGATGGAGTCACAAGCCATCGGAGCCACAGGTATTCCGGACGATGGACTGCGTGCAGCGGCGCCGGCACCATCTCCTCTTGCAGGCGTTGAGCCGGACCTCATCACTGCTGCAGACGTGCTTTACCACGAGGACCTGTTGCAGCCGCTCATGACAGCTCTCCAGCGCCTTTCGGCGCCGCATACTGTGTCGTACGTGTCTTACAGGGTGCGGCAGGGTGGCGAGGTGGCCGCGTTCTTGGCGCGGGCCGAGGCAGCGGGCTTCGCGGCTGAGAAGGTACCCGCCGCGGCGCTACACGAGGAATATCGGTATGTGGAGCGCATCGGGGGACCCAGTGCTGGTGGCGGCCTTCCGTACGATTCCGCGATGGAGGGCAGCGATGGCAATGACGGCGTGGGGCCCCCAGACCTGGCGGTCGAGTGCGGCGACGCCAGGCAGCTTGCTCCAGGGATGTACGGCATCCTGAGGTTATGCCGCCGGGACCCTGCCGTTGCTGCGGCCGGCAGCACTTACGGACGCCAAGTCGAATGAGGCGACGGCGCAACCTTGTAGATACAGCAGGCAGCGACGGCAGCAGGGGAGGAGGAGTGTGGCAAGGGCTGAAGCGGCAAGGGCTTCATGCGCTCGCCTTAGAACACTGGGACATTCTTGCTTCTGCTACGCTTTCCGTCTTTGCATAGGCCGCTTTTGTCACACGGCTTGCAGCATGTTAAATGATTCATTGCCCAGATAATAAGCATCGCAGGGGCAGCGGAAATGGATGCAATAGCAGCAGTAGCGTAGACAGCTGGCTTTAGCGGAAGCATCGAGGCTCTTGAGTTATTCGACGATGGGGGAGGCGGCCGTGTGAGCCTTTGAGATTTTTTGTTTCTAGGCTAGCACCACTGGGTTTTGGGTTGAATGAGAACTGGTGAGCGGATTATCGGACACGTGTTTTGAGCGTTGCATGTTTTGCAGAGCCTATTCGGCATTTGGCGGTCATTCTTAGAACGGCATGTGGGGAAGTCCTCGTAAGGTATAATCGGATGAATGCTCTGACGTCACTCAAGCGCTACTTTTTCCTGATTAAAGATAGGCAGTGGAGCTTGGTAGACTGGGCTTTGAACCGTCTATGTCCGACCCTGCACTGTTTGTCAAACGTGGTTCGATCGATATGCTAGTGCATGTAGACGATCTACTAGTGGCCACAGCGACTTTGCAGGAGGTCGCTGCAGCGTTTGCCTTTGGATAAACTGATAGACAGCAAGGTCTTAGTAAAGGTGTTCTGGATGCCGACTGGCTGCAAGGTTACTCGACTCCTGGTGACTAAAAGTGACACCGTGCTGGAAGCAGTCAGCAATGAGGGTCATGTCGTACTGGATCTGCAGCCGCTGCAGATACCCGGTCCACGTGTCAGTGCTGTCCAACCCACGGGTCACTGTGGGGGTAGCGCCGCCGGGCAGGATGGTAGTGGAAGTGCTGCCGCTGGGCAAAGTGCCGGCAGCCGGGAGGTCACACCGGCGGGAGCTCGAAAGGACAACAGTGTCGCCGGACGGATCACAGCGGCAACACCAACGGCTGTTCAGCAGCCGAGCTTTCTGCGGCACAATGCCTGGACCGCAAGATGGGGCATCTCAGCTATCGCGTGGCATCGCATACACTCCGTGCCGTATTCTCCTCCATTATCACTAAGAAGTGTGCGCACACATGCCTGGGCCGGTGGCGTGGCTGCATCTGCTCACCATGTCCTGCAGAGCAGCTCCAACGTGGTCTTTAGCCACTAACGTTCGGACGAGAGAACGGCCCGTGGAACCGTCCAGCTGCATGAGCAGGTACCGTGCACCTCCACACGGCGTGACGCGGCCGGTGCAGGTGAAGGAAGCCGTTTTGGCTGTCGCGACACTGTTATCCTTCGAGCTGCCGCCGGTGTGACCTCCAGCGGTGGTGCCGCTGCCGGCACTTTGGCCAGCGGCAGAGCATCATGGGCCGGCATTCTATGCCATTTGCGGCTTTGTAACGATATTGACTCAGTGAGCAGAGAACTAATATTCATGTCCTAAATATCGGTACGCATTTGTCGGCGCCAACAGCATTCCAATTAGGAGTGAAGAAGGAGCTGCAACAGGTGTCGTCCAGCACGTGTAAGTCAAGAGGTGTAAGTCAATAACCCTTGTGCTCGCTTACCACCTCACAGAATACTTTGTATTTACCTTAGCTTTGATAGATATTGCGATTGTTGCGTTTTAATTTGCGCTGTGACTTCTCAGGCGAATTCGCGACGGTTGCTTTTCCCTGCTAGCTAGTGCGTGTGAGGACGTGGGCGCGGCGTGTGTAAAAAGCTTGCTAAGTAAGTGGAGTTATGCTGTCGGCAGCTATCCGTCAAGGCCAGCAGCGGTGCACAGCCGGTTGGCACTTCATTGCGTCGTCGTCGCGACAGGTCAGCGTCACCTTTGCCTATCGTTTCTTCAGTCCTCTTCAAAATTATAACGAGCTTATGCTTACTAACCTGCTAATATTTTTCCGGCAGGCATCGACGTTGCTGTTTGTAGAACATAATGGCGAAGGCAAGGTGGCTCCCGCCACGCTCGCTGCAGCGTCTGCTGCATCACAGTTCCTACCAGGACCTTTAGAGGCTCTCGTATGTGGCTTTGGCGAAGCCCTAGCCAGCACGGCGGCCTCCGTGGCTGCAGTCCCTGGCGTGACCAAGGTATGCACCCGCAGCAACCCCCGAAACCGCACACACCCAATCACTTCGCCGTTCAAAGGGCACCTGGCATTGGATCCATGTCACCTACCAGAGCTTTTCTGAAACTACTTTTTGTGTTTTCCTTGCAACGCTAAGGATGTCCGGGGTGAAACGGCCCAAGGCTTCCGCGGCATGCCAAAAAACGGGTTGGAGCTGGACTACACCTAGTCGTTTTCCCCCTCTCCCAAGCCTAAGCGAAACCAAAGGCGCGCAACGGCCGTGCGTACATGTGTGGCGCATGTGTTATGTGTATGTTGTGCGCGCGCGCGCGCGTGTCCCCAGGTGTGGCTGGCGTCGGACCCCTCCCTGGAGCGACCCGTGGCGGAGCCCCTTAGCAAATTGCTATCCCGCATAGCCGCCAAGTAAGCTATCCTGGGTGAGAGGAAGAGGAGTCATAGGGGTGCGTAGCGTTACGGGACACCTCGGGCCGCGCCGTCAACCTTGCCTCGTCCTCCTCACCACTTTCTGGTACAGCTGCCAACGCACAACCCGCTCACCACGCTCCCTGCAGGCACCAGCCCAGTCATCTGCTAGCTGCGTCCACAGCCCAGGGTCGCAACCTGCTGCCGCGAACCGCCGCCCTGCTGGGCACACAGCCAGTGACAGACGTGGTCAAAATCCTGGACGAGAATACTTTCGTACGGTACGATCCTGTACGGAAAGTGGTCACACTGGGGCAGGGGATCTGGCACGGTGCTGCTCAAATGGTGGTTTACCCGTAGGGCTGAGATACTTCGGAAGGGGAAATGCACACAGGATGGCGGATAGGGTAGCAAGGCATCAGCTGCGACCATCGCCTGGGAACCGGGTTTCCAAAGCCACGAAACCAAAACCACCCAATCGCCCAACCAGGCTGGAGCGCTTCATGCCTAGTCTCCCATACCTCGAAGAGAAAGATAGCTAATGCCAGCGGGGGCCCGTCGGTCATAACGGTGCGCATGTTGCGCCCTTGCAACCCGAGTTCATTCCCATAATTAGCCCTCATAAGCGGGGCATTTCCCCCAACACATGCCCAACTGCCCAACCACCCGATCGCCCAATCACCCAACCCACTAAAGACAGGTGGCCGATGCAGCCCCCGTGTCGAACCTAGCTGCTGTGACAGGGGCCACAGTCCCAACTTCCAGCTGCTGGAGGGGTTGGCCTTCCCTCATCTGCCGCCATGGGCACAGAACGTGCGACAACGTGCACCGCCGCACACACACATGCACACACACACGGCTGATCTCCCGGCCTCCTCTCGCTTGCGCCCCTCCCCGAAGACCAATTTACGCGGGCAACGCCTTCGCCACCGTCCAGTTCTCCACACCACCACCAGCCGTCCGAGTCGTCTCAGTAAGTTGGGGGCTGGGGTGTGGGTGCATGGGTGGGGGGGTGCATGGGTGGACGGGCCCGCCTCAGGACGGGCGAGCAACCTGGGGGTGGATGCCCCTGTGGCGGCCACATGGTCGCCATGTCAGGGCAGGGCAGGTCGGGTCAGGTCCCCTCCTGGAGGATGAGCCCCCGCCCGAAAAGGGGTACTATAATTAACGAACCACTCTGAAGGCCGCCAAGCGACCAACAGGGTGTGAAAGTGGGGGACTGCTGATCTCTAGGGCGGAATTCGGCTGATTTCATATCCTTCCCCCCGGATTTTTCTTTTCGTCAATCGTCTGTGCTTCGCCGTTACCCTCGGAGACATACACCATTAAAGCACACACACATACATACAGACACACACAGGCCCCCAGGCTTTTTTCGCGCATGACATCTCATTTTTGCCCCTCGCTCCTCCCTTCTTGTCCTCTCGTCTTGTGGCCGTTTGGTCCCCACATGCTCGCGTCTCTGGGTCCATGAGCCCCGGTGAAGCCCTAGTTGAGTCCCGCTCTCTGAAGCCCCGTTTCGGTGTGTTCCTCTTTCCGGCCCACGGTGTGGCAGGTCCGACCCACGGCGTTTGCAGCTGGTGCCGCGGCAGCAGCCTCCTCACCCCCGGCGGGCGCCTCTCCGGCGCCGGTGGAGCCCGTGGCTCCGGAGCTGCTACATGAGCTGGGAGACGTGGTTTCGGCTCGGTGGGAAGGCCAGGACGTTCGGAGCAGCGGCCGACCCGAGCTGGGCTCCGCAAAGTGGGTTTCCGGGGCCGGGGGGGGGGAAGAGGGGGAAAGTAGCATTAACAAGGAACAAAGGCGGATGGAGGGGGTTACGCGAGCGGGGGAAAAAGGGGGGGAAAGGGTAAGGGCGGTAGAGGGCGAGCGGGACAGTGTCATTGAGAGGGCAACGGATGGAAGGCCACGTCGGAGGAGGAAAGCAGCAGCGGACAGACCCGTGGGTCGCGGGTGGGATGCCGCGGGTGGCATGGTGAAGTGTGGTGTTGCTGCTACTATTACCACGACCCATACCGCTTGGGGGTTCAGCTTTCGGAGGGGAGGAAGCACAGGTGGGGCCATGGTGTGCAGTACACTCTCACCGTTTGCTCGAGCGGACTCGCTTTCCCGCGCTGTTTCGCTTTGCTGCCGACACCGACTTCTTCCTGTACCTATAGCTTAGGGTTTTAGGTTTTTATGCTCCTTTATGCTCCATTCCTCCCCTTGAGCCCCTTTCCCCCACCCGCTTCTCTTCCCCGTGTCCTCCTCCACACTGCTCCTCTCCCCCTGCCTGCCTGGGCGTGCGCTTATTGCGCCTGCTGCTGCTGCGGTTGCTGGCGCTATTCAGGGTGGTTGTGTGCGGCGGCCGCGCGCTGAAGAGCGCCGAGAACTTTGCCATGCTTGAGGAGCTGGCTGACCAGTTGGGGGGTGCAGTGGGGGCCTCCCGGGCTGCAGTGGATGCGGGTTTTGTACCGAATGACCTTCAGGTATTTGGGGGGGAGGGAGGAGGAGGTGGGTTTTAGGGTTTCAAGAGGTTTTAGGAGGAGGTGCGTTGGGGAGGAGGTAAAATGGTGGAGGGAGGTGAGGCAAGGCAGCCGGGCGGTCCGGCAGGAACTAAGGAAAGTAGTAAGTAGGGCTGCTGGGGAGCAGCAAGGGAGACTGCGTGACGCAAACGGGGACCAGTGGGGAGTTGGGCTTCCCCGGATTTACCCGTGCCTGGTGCTAAACAAGCACCCTGGTTCGCTGCGGAGGCCCTTCCCCCCGGCCCCGGGCCGGGGGCCGCCAATAGCCCCCCCCCCGAGAGCCACTTCGCAACTCCGGGGCCCTGGCAACTGCCACATGGATAGGAGGGGAGAGGAGCTCCGGATTATTGGAAATAGCAGCACAGAAATAGCAGCACCGACGAAAGCCAGAAATGAGCTAGGCTGCGAAGGTCTCACATCTGCCACATCCTTCCCCCGCCACCGCCCCCGCCCTCCCTGTCCTGCCGCAGGTGGGCCAGACCGGCAAGGTGGTGGCTCCCGATCTGTACATCGGCGTGGGCATCTCGGGTGCCATACAGCACCTGGCGGGGATGAAGGTACGGCAGGATCGGGGCGAGCTGGGAAGACCCTGGGGACGCTGAGGGTGGTTGAGGGGGAAGAATGGGGTGACGCGGGTTTTGGCCTCGTGACGACATGCGCACCCCTGGGTGGGGTTGCGGACTGTGGAGGGCGGGTGCGGCTCGGGGGCGGCAGGGCCCAGGTAGCACATGGGGGGGGAGGAATGGAGGGACGGGTTTGGGGTTTTGGAAAGTTTGGCGTTTCGTCTCCTAGATATGGTCGTGCAGCACGTCAGCCGTCAGGGCATCATGCGCAGCTACTGCCGCCAGCTTTCTCCCTTTCGCCTTGCCGCCTTCCCATCATCCGATGATCCGATGGCTGGCAATGCTTTGGACTGCTCGGTAAACGTGATGTGATGTGTGTGTATGTGAAGGTTACGATCATGTGATTGGGCCTGACACCAGTGCCAGGGGGGTTGCTGCCCAGCCCCAACGGAAAGACCGCCTAAGCTCTTTCCCACGGACGGGAGAGGGGCGTGAGGGGCCTCTGCCCCCTCCAAAGCAGCCGAGAGCCGCAGGTCCGCTAGCTCCGCTCTCCTCTCCCCCGGGGGATGGGAGGCGTCGCACGCGCTCACGCTCTCACGAGTCAAGGCTCTGTGTGTGTGTGTGTGTGTGTCCTGCCGTCCCCGGCCCCGACTTCCCGGCCCCTGGCCCTCCCGTCGTCCGCCCCTCCCGGCTCCCTGACCGCCGTGCGGCCCCCTGTCCCTGTCCCTGTCCCGCCAGGACTCCCGCACCATCGTGGCCATCAACAACGACCCCGAGGCGCCCATCTTGTCTGTGGCGGACTACGGCCTGGTGCAGGACCTGTTCACAGCTGTGCCCCAGCTCATCAAGGAGGTCAGGGAGATAAAGGAGCAGGCGGGGAGCGCATGAGCGTGGGAGGGATGGGCTTGTTTGTGGCCGGTGCAACTGTGGTTGTCTAGTGAAGGACTTTGCGATGGTGATGGTGGTGGTGATGCTCATGTTGATGTTGATGTTGATGATGTTGATGGTGAAATTAAGGGACAGCTAAATGTGTTGTGGCGAAGAATATGGAGCTTGACGTCACCGTCGCGTTGTAGGATTTCTCTGCTGGCTTCGGTGCGATGAGATGGAGCAGGCGTTGGCGTGGAGGCGCCCAACCGGATCTTTAAAAACGTTGAATGAGAATTTATACGTATGAGAATATTTGTACCAACTGTTGTTTTAAGTTTAAAGTTGTGGATTCGACAGCCGTGTGCCATAGCGTGTAAGGTATGAAGCGGCGGTGGAAGGCGGGTAAGGGTTCTAGTGTGAACCGTTCCTGCCAACAGATTCCGTTGCCGTCCCTCTTTTGTGGCGTTCCCACATTTCCCACATTTTGTGGAAACGTGGAAAATATTGTAAGCTTGGTACGCACAGGCGCACAACTCGGATTTTCTTCACATTTATTTAGTTAGCAGGTGGTTTACAGAAAGTGTCCGGTGCGTCGACTGGGCACTTTGCTTGTGGCAATATTGTGACTTAAGTGGGAGGTAATGTGCGCGCGCGCAGGATAGTACGGTTGTAAAGGATAGCTGCGGGATCACGATGGCAGGTGATGACACCGCCCTCCCGATACCCTCCCGATATCAATTACAATCGCAATGTGAGCAACCGTCCCCCAAACTTGAAAATGGATGGTACAGCTAGGAGAAAACAGCTAAGGTGAAAGGTGCGGCAATCAAGGACGACCAGGCTGAAGTGCGCCTCAGCGCAGTGCTCCGAGGAAATCACGAGCCTGAAATGAAAAAAATACCCGAACAACTGAACCGGGACAGCAGCCCACCACATTTCCACATGTCGGGTGGTATGCAGCCACTGTTGCTTATACGCATCCACGGTAGCGAGTTGCATGCGTCCTGTAAAGTACCTATTGCATATGACAAAAAGGTGTATTCGTGGCAAGCTGCCAGGGTCTTTGGCTTTCGTATGCCAGGGATATGAGGCGCCATAATATCATGCCATGTGCAACCACCAAGGATAGGGAACGAGGTCAAATACTATGGACACTATCATTGTGGAGTGAATGCGGGCCGCGTGCCAAGTGACGTCCGTCTGACATGCAAGCAGACACGCTGGAATCTAAAAAGTTGCGTGCAATGATCAAGAGGTTGGCCTCTACTTTTTACCTGTCCGCCAAGACAAATACATGGTACGGTATGATAACGCTGAAAATCGTATCAGTCGATTCCTTCTGAAAAAAACAGCTGTTGGACGAAGCACGGAAGCCGGTCAGGTCATCGCAGGATTTGTCCTGCATTTCTCTATACGTTTCATCCCACAGTAAACGGGCATTGTTTCGAATATATGTTTTAACTTTGGACTGCAATTAAGACTGGCTCGGCTAGGGAGTGCAAGGGTCCTTCTCCACCTCAGCGCTCTCCACGCGGCCTCGTAAAGTTGGAGACTTTAAGCTCCTTTCTTAAGCTCCTCAAGGTAAGCAAGTCGTCTGCTGGGAGACAACATGCGGCGTGACGTGGCGATGCGCGGCTTACGCGTCGGCTTCCACATGATTAAGGATGAATGGCCTTCAAAACAGTCTTTTATAGTAATGTGGTGGCAATAAACACTGTCTTTGTTACAGGTTGCAACTTGCAAGGCTATCAACTTGTCGGGGACTGCCTGAGTTGCTCGGCCTGGAATGGCAAAGCTGTTTAGACAAGCATTCAGTAAGTGCTGTGGAGGATGTGCCGTCAAACTTTGGGGGGTTTGCAAGCAGTGTCCTATTGCTCACAGCGCAACCCTGCTGTTGCTTTGTTCTTTGTCAAGTTTCCTCCTATGCATAGGATGGTGTACGCTGCTCAAAAATTTGACAGCCTGGCAGGTTTAGACAAGCTCAGCTGATGCAGCCTTCCCCCGCGACACATTTGACAGGGCCAAAGACACACGACGAAGGTGATATTGCAATGCGAGAGCTGGGAGCCACAGGTGTATTTCAAAACGCGGTTTTCCAGGAGACGAGTGCTGAGGTGGTATTGGCAGCCCGTAATAAGATCCGCATCAAGAAGGACGTTCCCTCCTCAAGCGGCAAGGAGTCCTCGTCCACTTCCGAACCGTGAGTTTAGAATTTGCTGGATTGATTCTTCATCGTACCTCACTGCATTGCGAAGGACTGCTGTTTCATTTGTTATAACCTCCATCTCGCAGGCACTCGCCTGCATGTCAGGAAACCGTGCAGAACGCAGATATGTGGGCCAGCCCACCTGCGTCCCCGTCGGCGGCAATGGCAGCAAGGCGGACAATTCAGCAAGGCGCATCAATTTGGGGGCAGCCATCCCCAGCGAGCGGCAAGCGGCCGGCCAGCATGGCAGCTTGCCAAACACCAAAGGCTCATCGCCTCTCGTAAGTCCAGGGTTCTTTCCGAGTCATTTGCTCCTCTGCTTGCTTAATTCGCCACAACATTGAGTAAGTTGTTGCTTAGCTCACGCCCGCTTTTGGTCGCACACCCTGCCTCCAGACTTATGAACTCCGTCGTCGCGCTACGGTCATCCTCCAGCCATGCTTGCATGTGCCTAATACCACGGCCTTGCTTGCGAAACCCTTAACCGTCTCTTCCCATGCAGGCTCCTGAAGGTGCCCAAGCAAATCACAGAGGTGGAGGAGATTGCTGCAGCTGTCACAGAACCCAAGGAGGAAACTACTCCTGCGGAGGGCGACGGGGTGGTGCATGACAATGGCTCTGGAGCGGAGATTTCAGTGGCGGCTTCTCCTTGGGTACAGCCGGTGTCACCCGCAGCACGTGGATGCAAGCCCAGCGCGGTACGATTGTGGGAGGAGGAGGTAAAGCGACTGCTGGCTGCGGGTCGAGCGGAGGACGCCTTGCAGTGGGCAGCGCCATCTGACGGCATGATCCGCTGCACTATGCGCCGCGTCAAGAACTTCATGGGCCAAACGCTGGCCTATCATTTGTTTCTAGACAACGGTGATACATTTGTGCTCGCTGCGCGCAAGCGCAAGAAGTCAACCAACTCGAACTACGTGTTGTCGACCAGCCAGGCCGATCTCGGGCGCGACTCGGAGCACCGAATCGCCAAACTGCGCGCAAACTTTGTCGGCACGGAGTACAGCCTCATGTCGCGGGGTTGTTCCGCCGCCGCCGCCGCTTCTGGCTCTGTTGCGTGCCGGCAGGGAAGCGGGAGCGGTGCCGCTCACTTGACCAACGAGGGCGCGAGCGGCGGCGCCGCTGTACGACCTGTCAGCCCAGCTGAGGAGACGTCGGCAGGTACGGCAGAACAAGGAAACCCAAGCGCCAGCGCCAGCAGCCGGCAGCATCAGCAGCCGGATTCTTTTGGCTTGGAGGAAATGGCGGTTCATTTTAAGCAGACGGTGCTGACGACGAAAGGGGGCCCACGGACCATGCTGATTGCAACGCCGCTGCCGGACGCGAATTGGACGCCGTCGGCGCCGGATGGCTCGGACTCGCTGGCGAGCTGCCTCGAAGCGGCTCGTCGGCGGGAGCTTTCGCCCCGGCTGGAGCGACATCTGTGCATGCTCGCCACGCGTCCCCCGGAGTGGGACTCGACGCTCAAGGCCTATACATTGGATTTTCACGGCCGCGTGCGGGCTTCCTCGGTGAAGAACTTCCAACTGGTTCATTGGGATCACAATACGGACCGCAAGGGCTCGGACCTGGTGCTGCAGTTTGGCAAGGTTGAGGAGGGGAGCGAGGATTTCGCGCTGGACTTTGCGTACCCGCTGACGCTGCAGAAGGCCTTTGGGATTGCTCTTGCAAGTACGGATGCCAAACTGTGCTACGCGCTGTGAGAGCTGGAATAAGCGCGCGGCTGTGGAGCCTTACCCTGCTGTCCGTGCAGCGTCTCGGTGTGGTTGGGTGCGGAGCTCGTGAGAATCGATTGAGAGATGGGTGTAAATCCAGGTCGCAGTTGGCGTATTGGCGTGACTGGGTCAGCATTTGCCAAAGCAGCTGCGATGGAGAGTGGCATGAAGGCCTGGCGCGCTGCGTTTTTTTTCCCATTTGGTCAACCCGGTGACGCGCGATGGCACACGAGGCAGCAGGTGGACTCCTGGGGGGCTGACCGACTAGGGGACTAGGGGTGGGGCATCTTACGATTGCTACAACTTGGATGGGCACCGGTTGCTCGAATTGGTTGGTTTGTTGAAGAGGAGAACCACGTTGTTGTATTGCAGGGATGGGCTGCTGCACATGATGCAGGGGGCCCTGTCTAGCTCACGATGCAGGAGGCGACGTCACGTTATTGTGCTAGGATCGGGGGAATCCCGGGGAGGGCTCAGCCCACGTAAGCAATCTCGGGACGACTTATTATATGCGCATCCGCCACAAGATTATAAGAGTACATGGAATTGTTCTTCAAGTCGCTCAGTAGTAAGTGTATCTATTCGGCCTATATATTGCTGTACGTTATCATGCGTTTGTAGGCTTGTGGCGGAGCCGCTGGAACTTGGTTTATTAGCCTCGTTAGCAGGTGACCAGAACTTGGTTGCCCATGACATTTATTTTTAGCCCTATTCCACCCAAGGTTGCATCTTTCCCTATTGTGCATCTATGCAAGCCTGCCCTATTTCAGGCCTTGGGGCATCATCTGCAAATGAAAAAGGGGGTCCAACTCACCTTAATACGCGATGGGCGTTAAGGCGAGTTCTCTTCCCCACACGCGCTGGATTGCTTGTTCTTCTGGCGACCAGCCGCATCTTACATGCCTGGGGGGCATAGACTTGAGCGTGCGAGTGCAGCGCGGCGCAGGGCCCTCGTGCGTCCTGCGCCGCTGCCGCAGGTGGTTGCGGCAGGAGGGGGGTGGGTGTTGGGAATGGTTCGCAAATGATGTCTGGGGGGAGGTAACGAATAAACCAACCGTAGACGCGATGACTTTACAGAGGTGTGAATAATGATGCTGGCTGGCCCATGCTGGCTGGCGCGGCTAGGACTCTTGAATGACGCTGTGAGAGTGGTGTGCGCGCTTGGTTGGCAAGTTGCAGGAAGGGTGCGTGTGCAGGTGAGGGCAGCAAAAGCAGGGTTGAGTGGCAGATGTGAACTCTGAGGCGGTTTGCCGCTGCTACAAGGGGACTGAGCGGCTTGAGATGACGGGGCCAACAAGCTTGGGGCGTGTCTCGAGTTACTTTGCTTGTGGTCCCCCGTCGATCCTAATAATAATCACCTTCTTGGCTGCATTCTTGTGTCCTTTCTTCGTCGTCTTTTCTTCAATCCTCGTTCGCTGGTGTTGGTGGTCGCTTTAACGGCACGCATGGACTCAGGCGCGTGAGGTTCTGTCTGGGTTGCATTACTACTGTAGCGACCCTCTTGATGTGTTCAAAGCCTTGATTCTCAAGCCCCATTTTCTTTGCCTGTCTGTACCTAGACGTGGCGCGGCGCTATAGCGTGGTTCTGTGCCCTGCATCCTGTGATTCGCCGTGGTACCTGCGTGCGTGCAGGTACAGACGCGAGAGCCCTCTCCGTTAGGTACATCTTATCAGCGTGTGCATGTTGTGTCTGTTGTCCTTCTCCTTTGATGGCGTTCTGGAAATGATCGTTGTGCTTGAGGTCTTGCAGGGATGGTGGAGGAGGGCATTGAGGTAATGGGCGCTTGGCCATGGGCTTCCCCGGTGGCCTCAGGTGCTGTCCTGATCCTGAATTCATTTATATAATTCTTGTAGCGCCTGACGAGGCGGGCGTATTCCGTATTGTTGTGCGCATGTTGTCGTCCCGTTCAACCCATGCGCTTTATGGGACAAATACGGTGCAGCTTCACTACGCGGATCGCGGCATACAAAGGTGCTTGGCCTGCTTGCCTGCCTGGGGCCTTCAGTTGGGGTGGCTCCTTTCCGGGGCCTAAGCGTTCGTAACGCTTTGTCCGACGGTATCGTGTGTATGGTCAGCTTCTAGGGCTTTGGCAGGACGTTACCTGAGCTCAGAGAGTACATGTTGGTGGTCGGAGGATGTCCCTGGTCGGCAAAGCCGACGAACACGATGTATGGGACAGTGCTGATCCATGTAGCGCGTTGCAAGTTGGAGAAAATAGCCTTTTGCATAACATTTTTTACTTTATAATCCTTTGTAACCTGATATTGCTCTTTTAAAAGGTGGAGGACGCAGTTGGAGAATGGGCGCAGGCACGCAGGCCCACCTCTGCAAGCATTGCCGGCCTGTCTATTGAGCATGGCGGCCACTTCGGCTTCCAAGCACATTGCTCCAACGAGTGGCGACAACAAGGAAGTTGAGACTTATACCTGAGGAATTTCACCTGGGGAAGCAACCAACGGAACAAAAGCACTCCCATCGGGCATGAGTTCTTACTACTATATGCGTGTGTGTCCAATATGGAGTGTCGTGCTGTGGGGCCTTAACTGGAAGGCAGTGTTTGGGGTTTGCCGCAGCATCTGGCTATCCTGCACTCCTTGGAGGTATGGAAGCTGACAGTGACCCAAACACGATGCGCTGTCATGTTAATTTGACGGGATTTCCTTTGCTTCCAAAACCTTTAAAAGCTGCTGCAGGTCACATGGGATCTGCCAGCCTATGGGGCTTTCTGACGCCGACCTCCCTACACCGAGTTCAGCGTCCGCGTCGTTTCTGCAAACTTCAGCATCCAGGAGCACTCAGTGCTCCCATCGCCCCGTCGGCCCTCGCCACCTGTGCGGATGACATGCGTGCCTGCCTTGATGCGCGAATGAAACCCACGTCGCCGTGGGGCTGTTCCGTACCTTTCCTATTTCAGGAGAAAGGTAACACATCATTACCTAGCTGGGTTTTGATGGCCCCGTCCGTTTTTGTATATTACCAACGCGCAAGAAAGTTGCACAAACTCCTTACCCATGACTTGCCTTTCAAATATATGTGGCTTGTTATTGGTATTAGAGAGCTGTCGCGTCATACGACTGTAGCATCGAACAGAACACGTGCGTACGGCAGACGAGCGCTGCGGTAATGCTAAGCAAGTAAATAATCCCAGCAGGAGAATTCTGCACATTTGATGACTGACAAGGCCGACCCAGGCTAACCACTGCAGGCCACTGCCGAGCTCTGCAGTCAGTTGCCACTGCTGGTTAGTTGGCGTCCCATGCGTGCATCGCCGCTCATCGCTTCAGGTCTCGATTGCCTAGATGGCAATATTGCAGCGGGAATCAGGTCCTTATTATGGTGCAAGAAGCCATCATTGCTTGCATATAAGTGCGGCTATAGCTGGTATGAGCTATCAGGGCGACCTCGGCACGACTACGCCAGCCGCCAAGAACTGTGAGACTCTGTGCAGTAGCTGAAGACATTCGTCGATCTGTAGCCGAAAACAACGCCACAGGGACATTTTTCCTGTCATAATACATATGTAACTGGCCATATAGGAATGGACACTCCAGATGGCTATGTATATGTGAAACGTTACAATCCCCGGCGGAGGTCTGGGTGGCCGTCATTACTGTTTTCGATTATTGTTTGACCATAAGATACCCGTTTGATGTATTTCTATGCATTGGAAGTGATAACCGAGGAGTTCGGCTCCTATGCAGTGGGTGCGGACGGATGCTGTCATTTTCTCCGTACACGGTGAAGACAAGCAGGAATGCATGTTTCATACGGCATTTGAGCTGATTTAAATTAGTAAGACGCTCAGAGTTGTATCTGTGCATGTTCCGGGCGCGCGCTTGACGCGCCCACTTTAGCGACCACTCGGGCTCCGTACTCTGAACGTCTACCAACCCTTTGTCTCCTGGCTGCATTGGACATCACGCACTGCAAAGATTAGGACAAGTGACTTACAGTTAAATACTGGTAGAGATTTGACCTATTGTTTGATCCCGCAATGAGATTCCCCCTTATGGCGATTAGGCTGGGATATTGAATTTCCAGGACGCGTAGCCGCTCTAAGTTGCAGAAATAGTAAATATTTTCTGCAAATGTTCTTTTGATGCTAGGAAGGTTAGTTGGGTCCTTTTCACCCCGGCTTCCTGCCTGGTCCTGAATGAACCTGGCCCACAGCAGCATAACACAAGGGCGATGCACTACTCAAACCGATTCGACGTCACCATACAAGAACCCTGAAACCATCTGCCGCTCAAATCCAACGGCCCATTACCGGTTATTGTTACAAGCGCAAGCAAAGGAAATAACCGGAGACGAAGTCCTCGCAGCGGATCTTGAGCGCGCTGAGAATGTATATAAAGAGCAGGTCACGAAAGCTGAGGCACTGGCGGAGGCGGTGCGGCAGAAGGCCGGTACGTGTCCCTTGCCTTGTTGGATGTCGACCGCTGAAGCTTCGACTGCTCTGCAGCCTTCGACCGCATAGCTTGCATCTAACCGCTAATCATTTCAAATACTATGCACATTTGACAAATGACCTGTGAAAACCGCGCCGATGCACCCGACTGCGCCAGGCTGCTACCCGGTTGAAGCCAACGTCGCGGTCGTAACATTCCATCGGGCGCCGTTGGGAGCGACTGCTGCCAATAACAACGGGCTGTGCGCAGGAAACCTGACCTCGAGTACTGCAGAGGCTGCCCAAACTGGACGAGATGCTGTAGCCGTGCGGGAGCCTGCAGAGACGGCCTCGCCCCCGTCTAGGACCCTCTCTCGTCCTCTTGTCTCTGCCGGTAACGGTTGCACCGGCGGGGGCAGCGCATCTTCGGCTACCACAGCAGCTGCAGTACACGACCACGTAGCGTTGCGCAACATTTCCTGGGCACGGGGCGAGGCGATGGCTGAAGCAACAGAGGCAGTGCCGCGACGTACACTGCAGCAGCAGCAGCAGCAGCAGAAGCAGCAGCAGAAGCAGCAGCAACAGCAGGAGGGCGGCCCAGCCTCTGCCCTGACACTAAATGCCAGCACGCCATGTGCAAGCGAGCTAAAGGCTTCAACCACCGTGGGAGAAGAAAAGCGCCTCAAAGCAGCGCCACGACGAGCTGCTACCGCACCCGCTGTCAAAGGATCCTCCCAGAAGCAGCGGCAGCAGCAGCCAGGCCAGCGGTCCTACCGCTCTGGCAGCACCGGGCTCAGCGCGTCGCTGGTGGGCGACGACAGCACCTACCAACTCGGCGAGCAGGAGCTTGTGCGACTCCCGTGGCCACGGCGGCTGGCAGCGCGCTTGTGCGCGCACCCTGATTTCGAGCTCGCTGTGGTGCTGCTCATCCTGATCAACACAGCGACACTGGCGCTGTACCGACCCACAGAGCCAGACAACTCACCCTGGAACCGTGCACTGTTCTGGGCGGGTGAGGACAAAACGGCAGACTCAGGCCTTGCCTCACCTCGGCGTTTTCAGTGTTTATTCATTTGCGGGCCTCAAGGCCTTGAAGGGACGGTGTTTTCCACCTTGCTCCCCGTGGAGTCGATTGGCACACCACCACAGAGCCTTCCCTCCCGACTCCTCCGCCTTCCGGTGGAGCTTTCCAAATCCAACCGAACGAAAACACAACACGGCGCCGCGAAAACCGTTCGTCCGTCTGCCGCATCTGTCTGTCTGTTTGTCTGTCCGCCGATATGTCGTCCCATGTGGGGGGCCTGAGTGGGCGAGTCGTGACATAATAAACAAATAAATTCCCCTTCCTTACTTTCATCCATTACCGTAGGTAACTCTTCTTAATGTTTCAAGATGCAACAAATAAGTCCATGTCGTGTATAAAGTCCATACTTTAAATTGATCTATAGTACGAATACACGTAGTGAACGCCGCGCAATTCAATCACTGTAAGGGGGATGTAACCACAACCGCAACGCAACAACAACGCAACCGCAACGCAACCGTGAGTCTGTGACCATATGTCCCCCCCCGTCTCCAAACCTCCCCCACATGTCCCACATGTAGAGGCGGCATCCAACGCGATGTTCACTGTGGAGATGCTGCTGCGCGTGCTGGCCTTGGGCGGTCCTCGGCTGTACCTGCGCCATCCCTGGAATGTCTTCGATGGCGCCATGGTCGTGGTGGGCTACGTGGCCCTGCTGCCCACCGGCTCAGACTCCTCCTCGAGTGGTCTGCGGGCGCTGAGGGCGGTGCGAGCGCTGCGGCCGCTGCGCACAGTGACGCGGTTTGAGTCGCTCCGGGCAATCGTGGCGTGTTTTTTGGAGGTGGGTTGCTGTAGGATATGGCGAGAGGCTGTGTGTGTGCGTATGTGCGTATGTGCGTGTGCGCGCGTTGGTGTATGGGAAGAATAACTGGTGTATGTGGGTGGCCTTTAGTCTGTGTGTCCTTAGCCCGCTCGGCCATCCATGCTCTACTTCCTTAGGGCATCCCACAGAACCCGGTACCACAACTCGTCTCACCCCAAAACGCCCCACTTACCCCTTGAGGAGACCCCCGCAACGGCATCCGCAACAACCTTCCGCCGCCGCCGCATCATTTCATTTCCATTCAGGCCGTGCCGCTGCTGGGCTCCGCGGTGGGCCTGATGCTGCTGTTCATGCTAATATTCGCGGTAGCCGGCACCATCTTATTCACAGGAGTGTATCACCGCAAGTGCTACTCCAATGACAGCGGGTTGCCGGAGAGCAGCACAGAGGATCCTGACATGTTGGGATGCGGCGGCTGGAGACACTGCCCAGCCAACTACACCTGCAGGGTAGGGCTGGGGTGGGAGAAGGTGGTGAGGGGGAAGAAGCGGAGGACTAACACGCAGAAGCTTGTTGGGACGGCCATGCGCGAGCTGAGGCGGTGGGGATACGTTGATGTCGGGGAGTATGGCCTAGTGATGGAGTGGTCCGCAGCGGCGTGTAATGGTACAGTGAAATACCATCGTGATGTGGTTAGGCCAGGTGTACATGTGCGATAGGTCCCTTGGAGAGCAGCTGGGGGCATTGCTGACGCCTGCGAGCTTTGTAACGCAGCTGGTGCGTGGTGGAAGGGTGCAGGGGCATGGAGGGGTGGGGAGGTTATAAGGAAAACAGAGGTGACAAAAGGACCGGCGGCTGTACTCCCCCTTGGGGGTTTAGGGGCAGGTAGCTTGAGGGCTGAGTGGCCGGGGGGACACAGGCTGCTGCTTAATCGACACATCCCAGTGCGTCTCAGACACATCTCTACACACGCCCCAAGCTCCTATTTCTACAATTATCCCTAAGCTCCTGGCCATTTTTGCCCTTCCCATCCTCAAACCCCCCTGTGCAGCACTGAACTATTGACTGCCATGCACGCAGGTCACCGCACAGATTGACGCGCTTAACATTGCCGGCTTCAGCAATACGGGCTATTCAATGCTGAGTGTCTTTCAGGTCATCACTCTGACTGGTTGGAGCTTCGCCATGTACCGGACCATCGACAGCACCCACCCCACAGCCGCTATATACTACGTTCTGCTGATCAGCATTGGGGCATATGTGCTGGTGAGCGAGTTATTACATTATGTGATGCACACCGATGAACGCACCGTGTGCGTCGGAATGCGGCGAGAGTAGGGATGCAGTGCATTTATGCAAGGTGGATGGTTAAGGGGACGTCTTGGTCTGCCTATCTTCCAGCCTGCCTGCAGCATGCCTGCCTGAAGCCTGCCTGCAGCCTGCCTGCCTGCCAGCATGTCTGTCTGTCTGTCTGTCCGTCTGCATTTTCCAGAACCGCACCCAACCCATGCATTCTTCCAATTCCCCACCAGGTGAATCTGTTTCTCGCGGTGCTCAAAATCAAATTTGCCAAGGCGCAGACTGCGTTCCGCGCGGTAGGTTGGTGATGCAATGGTAGTTGGTATGCGGGTGGTAAACGCGGCTGTGGACGTCGACGGTGCGGGGCATATAGGTCATGCCACCTGCCTTTCGGTCCAGTCGCATACACGTAAGACATGGCTTCCTTGCACCACCGCCGCTTTGCCGCACTCTCCTTCCCCGCGGTGGTGCCCGGCTCCCGGCCCCCGGCCTGGCGTTCGCGTTCTTACCTCCCCCGCCGGCCTTCAACTTCTGTTGTGGATGCAGCGCAACACGGGCCGCGGCCGCAGCCGCCGCAATAGCGTGGTAACCCTTTTGGAGAAGGCCAAATCGAGATTCAGCGAGCTCAGCGCCCGGCGCTCGGCGGTGGGTGGTGTATATGCGGGTGGATAGTCCTGCGGGAAATTCGCTGGGAGTTGGGCGGTGGTGGGGGTTTGGCAGCTCTTCCAAAGCCGCGCTTGAAGCGCCTTTGGCGTTGCCACTGCGGGTACCTGTACTACGTGTAAGTGTAATTCTGCTCGCACCGGCTCGCTTGCGTGGCGCCCGGGCAGCTGTGCCTTCCGTGCTCGCCTTCCCTCCTGTGCTCCTCACCCATTAAACCAACCCACCCGCAGCAGCTACAGGCTTCCGCACCAGTGGTGCCCCTGCCCCGCCCTCCCCCGATCCCCCGCCATCCAGCTCTTCTTTATTTACTTCCATATAATCCCTCCCTCGCCCCATGGCTCCTTTCCCGCGTGCAGTCTCACATCCTCAACTCCAGCATCACCAATCTGCTCACCGCCCGCTTATCCCAGTTCAGTGACAACGGCACGATGGCCACCGGCTCGCTGTCGGGCATTCCTTCGAGCTACAACGAATCAGCAACAAGGGCTGCAGCCACGACCGTCAAGGACGCCAGCAGTCGCGGTGACGGCGGCAGTAGCGCCGCCACTGCCACCGCTGCCGCAATTGGTGGTGCTGCCAGCAGTAATGGCGGGGCTCCAGGCCGCAAGCACCCGCAAGCCGACTTGCTGCCGCACAAGATGAGGCAGGATTATCGGCCGTGCGAGCAGAAGCCAAAGACACGATTGCATCTCCACACAGGCAGTAGCAGCTGCGACGACAGCAGTAACCACGTCCGTGGCCGGCGCCGGAGGCGCACCACAAGCAAGTGTGGCGCTGGCAGTGGTAGCGGCGGTAGCAGCGGTGACCTGCCGCAGCTAGATCCAGGACCCGGTTGCGACGAGTTTCTGGCCGCACTGATGGAGAAACCTCGTCAGTTGGAGGCTTGCGAAGACGGTCGTGCGCGGCGCGCCTCTGCCCCAGTTTTGCCTGGCCCAGGGCTAACACCGGCCTCGGATGCATCGGCGTTTTGTAGAATCCTAAGCAGCGGCCAGCAGCGGCCGGGCCCCCCCCTAATGTCCCAAAGCGGAGAAGTGATAGTGACGGAGGCCACGCCAGCAGCGGCGTCACTTGCGGCAGTGGGTGGTGGTTCAGCTTCCCTAGGAATGAGTGGCGAAGGGCATATTCGCAGCGGCGGCGCCAGCGGTGTTGGCGTCGTCGCTGCTCTTGGTGAAACTGTCGCAGACGCAGCTGGGCCCTTGGATGTGGGTACGGCAATGACTGCGAAGGACATACGGCTCAACGAGCAGGGACTTTCATCGCCGTCGCCGCCGCTTCCACAGCAACAGCAGCAGCAGCAGCAGCAGCAGCAGCAGCAGCAGCAGCAGCAGCAAGAGCAACCGCCACGCACCGCAGCGGCGGACACCGCCCCAACAACGGCCACCGCCACTGCCACCGCCGGTGATCCGGCTCTACGGCAGCAGGCTCATATCCGCAGAACACAGCAGCGGCAGGGAGGTCGTATGCTCAACGTCAGCCGTAACGCTGTTGTACCATTGCCGCCATCGTCAACTCTGTCCCCAGCAGCCCCTGCGGCAGCCCTGGCGGCGCCCGCCGCCGAGTCATCTTCCCCGCAGGTTGCCATCTCCCCCTTCGCTGTGGCCGCTGAGCCGCAGTTGCCAGTACCGGCCTTACGTAACGCCGGGCTTGGCACGGGTTCTTTTTCGCGCGGGGTGAAGATCAAGGCTCCGTCGCCAGCACCGTCTCAAGCACCCAATGCGAACCCTACACACAGCGACTCCGGCGTCGCCAACCCAAACCTGCCCAGAGATCCCCAGCAGCTCTACATGGGGGACAACCTCGCCATGGCCGCCCTCATGTTTGATCCGGTGGTGAGGGGGGCGGCGCGGGGCAGCATCGGGGCGAGGGTGGCCAGGAATAAGAACGCCGGTAAAAAGATCACCAGGCTGTGTGCTGTAACATTGGCTCTGCCTTTGAGCTGTTTTTTCGGCTATTTGGGTTGTCTCAGATGTCCCCGCCGTGCTGTAGTCGGTGAGTTTCAATGTCAATGTCGGTACCCCCCCCAAACGGTGTTGCCCGATCAGGAGTTTGATGAGGTGGTGGCGGGCGAGCCGCCGCTTCGCCGCCTGCATCTCCGGGTCATGTTCCGAGTGCGACTGCTTGTGGAGTCGTCCGCCTTCTCTTACACCATGCTGGCTATCGTCTTCGCGAACACTGCCGTGCTGGCCATGGAGTACGACGGTATGAGCGCACCGTACGCTAAAGCGCTGGTGGGTATGTGGAGGCGACAGACATACATACTAGACACAAGTACACACACATGCAAAGATCATTAAAACGCAAAGACCCACACACGCACACACGCACGCACACGCACACACACGCACACACACGCACACACACGCACACACACGCACACAAACAAACAAGGCTGTGATGCCAGGTCGCCGTCTTCACCCTCGGCTAATGTTGGCCTACCATGGCACATACACCGTCTCGAAGCACTGGAATCTATCTGGGGATCCGTACTCCCCTTCCTCTCTCTCTCTCCCCTCCTTTTAAGCATCTTTCAGAATACACCCCTCGCCTCCCTCTTCCCGCAGCTGGACTGCAATTACGTCTTCACCGGGTTATTCACTCTTGAGATGGCTATCAAGTTGTACGGCATGGGGTTATGGGATTACATCAAGGTACGATAGGGGCCCCCTCTTTGGGAGGGGGGGTGGGATATGGGGACATGGGTGGGGGGGACGAGGCAACGAAAGGCTCGACCGGGATTCGGCTGGCTTGATCGGGATTGTGACGTCCGATCCGCTCCTTCTTAAGGATCAAGCTTAATTCTTTGACCCATATGTCCGGTTAGATAGATTCCCGGGAACGTCCTCACACAGCGCAACTTGGCGCTCTCGCGAGTCGACAAACAACAATATCTTTATGGGGCCACAAAGCGGAGCCTATAGCAGCGGCCTGACGGAGCAAAGGCCACCTATCTTAGGGCTCACGTAGAAACTGTGCTGCCCTAGCAGGCTGGGAGAGGACGTGCCGGTTTGGAGTTGCTGTCTAGACGTCGTACGTCGTCGTAATGTAGAGCCACCTCTAGCTTTTAATAACCTTTAATACCACATGGGATGGAATGTGTGCGGCTGTGCGGCTTATAGCGACTTTCGCTGCAACTCCACAACAAATCCCTCCCCCTCGACTTTACTCCGCACCCACCAACTTTCCCACCGACTTTCCAATCGACACCCCAGGACGGCTTCAATGTATTCGATGCGCTCATCGTTGTCGCCTCCTGGCTGGAGATCATCCTCACCCTTGTGGGGACGTCGGGGAATTTCAAGTACGTATGTATGTATGTCTTTGCCGTACAATGAATGAAAAGCGCCGCAAGTTCCGTGTAGTGCGGAGCACCTCCTAGTGCGGCCGGATGGACTCCGCTCTCCAAGTCCGCAGTAACATTGTACAACGACGGGGTTGCCAGCTGTCGGCGGGTCCGCCCGCCCACCTCTCGGCAATTTGCGCAATCTCCGCGCTGAAGGCGACGCTTCCTAAGCTCTGTATCAAGGAGAGCACATACCACCTCTCTCCTCACCCCCCTGAACTTGTTTCATTTCCTCACTCGCCGTCCGTACAGCCACTTTGACCTCTTCCCCAACACGCACATGCACACACACACACACACACACTCAAGGAGGCACCTCGCGCCGCTCCCGTGCAGCGCCATGGCGGCTCTTCGTGCCGTTCGCGCGCTCCGTCTTCTCAAGGCCTTTCGCTACCTGAGATCCCTTCGCAAGATCGCGTCCAAGCTGTTGGCGTCCTTCTCCTCCTTCGTTGCCGTCGCGGTGCTCATTGCGCTCTTTTGGGTCGTGTTCGCGATCGTGGGACTGCACGTGTTCGGCGGCTTGACTCTGGCTGAGGAGCCGTACTACCCCAATTTCGACACCTTCATGAACTCTCTTGTCACCACCTTCACGGTGAGGCCTTGGGTATGTCCGGGAATGGAGCTGCGCTGCGGAGCGACGGGTATGTCGGTTTTCAGCCCTAGTAGCGCTAGACGTCTCCTTGGAGTGGTCCGATACTCTGGACAACGTTTAGCTGCCGCTGCTCAGCACATACCTTTCAGCACATACCTTGATACTGCATGTGGACCAACTGGCCCAATTGGTCGCTGCGCGCGTTCGTGCAGCTGTTTTCCTTCCCCCCTACGACCCCACTAACCCCATTTGTCGTTTTCCGTAGCCCGACTGGTTGGACACTCATGCGTATATGTGGTATAGGTGATGCGTCGATTAGGGATTTGGAGGCTGCTTGTCGGAATATTAGCATCGTGGCTGTAGTGGGCCCTCTTCCGCGCCCTTGTCCTCATCCTGGCTTTCTCCCGGATTATTGGCCTCGCAAAACACACACATACACACACGCACACACACACACACATACACACACGCACACACACGCACACACACATACACATACACACACGCACACACACGCACACACACACACACGCACACACACGCACACGCACACACACATACACATACACATACACATACACACACACGCACACACACACGCGCGCACACACACACACAAAAAAAAACATCTCCATCGTGACGGGGCCTGATGCAGATTTTGACTCTGGAGAACTACCAGGACAATATGTACGTCACCATTCGGGCCACAAGCTATGGCTCAGCTGTATTCTTTGTGGCATGGATAGTGGTGGGCAAGTACGTCTTGCTGACCCTCTTCTTGGCGGTTACTCTGGAGGCCTTCGAGGCCAAGTACGACGAGCAGGTAAGAAAGGACGTACGCATGTACGACTAAATACGGCACATTGCGCTGCGCACTTGTACTTTCCCCGTCGGTCGCTTTGTTTAATTCCGATTACTTTCAGTAATGCCCGCTTCCACCATCCCCAGAGCACCAACAGCAGCATAATCAGCAAGGTGCGGAGTGTCATGGGGTCTGTAATTCGATCCCCGCGCCGGACATCTCTTTTCGGCAGCCGCCCGTCCGAGTCCTTGCCAGCCGCCGCGTCGTCCGACGGTCTTGCGTCGTTAACCACAACGAACAACGGTTCCAACCACCGGCCGCGGGCTCGCCGCAGCTGGCCAGGAGGCGGTCCGCGCCACAGTGCCACAGGGGGAAATGAGGCCCTTCTGCCGCCTGTCATCGCCGCCACTGCTTCGGCAGCGCCGCCTGGCGGTACATCGTACGACATCGTGCCAGGCATCCCAGCAGGAGCTGGAGGCCGGAGCGTCGAGTCCGATCCCCCGGTCAGGCGGCATTCATCGACTGATGTCGTACGTTGTCCGCGCGGTGAGAAGGTAGGCCGGATTATTGACGGCTACCCTTGTGAACCTGCCGCCGATGTCACCGGTTTAAGAGCTGCAGCGGATACCTCACTAGCCGATGGGCCGAGCTGCGCTGCTACCGGCGGAGAAGGGCCGTGGCGCGGCAATGGCCACAGGGGGGCGGCTCCAGACGTTGCGAGGACGGCTGTTCCGGGAGGTGCGGCTGCAGCGGGGGCAGCGGCGGCAGCGGCGGCAGCGGGGGCAGCGGGGGCGGCCGCTGAACACGACACGGGCGGCGGTACAGCGGACCTGCAGCCCGTCCAGAGGGGCCCCGGCGAGACCGTCACCGATCAGAATTCAACAACAGAGCCGTCGCAGTACGATAACACCGGCAGTGCTGCGCGCGATGTCAACGGTGGCGGCCGCAACAGCGCTGCCGCCGCCGCCATCGGGGGCCCGGTCGTTCAGCCGATGCCGCAGGCTCCACCCCGATCCGGCCCAGTTGCTGAGAAGACAGAGCATCATCACCATTATCGGTCGCTTGAGCGCAGAGGTGACGGTGACGGCGAGGCCACAGCGGCGGGACCTGCCGATACCAGCTGGGCTTCCGCCGATGAAGCTGCCGCCGGGAGGTTCACAGGCATGGTCGCCACGCCGGCAGCTGGGGCGAGCCTATTTGCGGCACGCGTATCCGCTGCCTCCGACGTCTGCGGCAGGAGCAGCGTCAGCGGCGCCGGCTACGCCAACGTCGGCCTGGTTGACGTACAGATGGCCCCGGCCCCCAACCACTCGCATGCGGGGGAAGCGGGGCTTGTTCAAAAGGATCTGGCACGCAGCATCAGCGCCCAACCCCCATCCTGGGATCGGGCGGCGGTGCATACCAATGCATCTGTTGCTGCTACCGACGCGTCGGGTCCTCTCGACCCTGCCGCGGGTGGTCACGCGGGCAGGTGCAGCATGCCGCCGGGAGCAACACTGCCCCCACCGCTGCCGCCAACACCACCACCAGCAAACCTGCCGCCGCCACCATCGCCGCCGCAGCCGCTGCTGCCGCGACAGCCGCAGCGCGCTTCCCAGCCTGGGGTCGTGCAGCAAGCCCTCAACACGCACACCGCAGCCCCATCGTGCAGTTCCTGCACGTGCACCTCCCTGGCCTCGTCCCCCATCAGCTCGGTGTCTACCTCAGCTGACGCATTTGGGGCCCGAGGCAGTAGCTGCGGAATCGCCAACATGCGCCGCAGCGGCAGCAGCGGCCGTAGCGGCAGCAGCGGCCATAGCGGCAGCAATGATGCGCGGGGCCCGGAAGTCGATGGGGGTGGGAGCAGCTCTCACACAGGAACTAGTCCGCCTGAGCTCAAACCGACGCCAACAGAAAGTACGGAAGGCGATGGTACGACAGCCGTCTCGGGCAACCGCGGCCGAATTGTTTCCACTGCACGTCCTGAATCGTCCTCGACCACGGCAGCGGCACTACCCACTGCGGTGGTCCCGGCGGCGGCGGATGCGATGGCCGGTAACGCTAGCTGCAGCGGCAACGAAGCGTCCAGGGCCTTACGTCATTTCGAAGCGGGCGATGAAGAGCTCATCTTAAATGCGTTGCTGGCGTCCGCTGACGAAGACGCGCTTCCACAACTGCCGCCACTGCCGGCCCCGCCACGGCCTTCATGCAGTCAGCAAGTACTGCAGCTGCCGCTGGGTCGTACAGGCGATGATTGCAGCGGCGGCATTCACGCCGCCGCTGCCGTCAGCTGTGGTCTTCATCCCAGCTGCCAGCACCACTGCGTGCTGACACCACACCAGGAGCGTCAGGCCGGCGAAGCCGCGTGTGGTAAAAACGGTACGGCACACGCATCCCTGTCGTACGACCGGAGTGACACAGCGGCCGAATTGAGATTGGCGCTCGCGCTTGTGGAGAATGGCGACGAGTCTGCCGCGCTCACCTGGGGTGCCGCCGGTTCCGGCGGCAGCGGCGGTAACGGCAGATCTTCATCGTGGCGGACGGCGCAAACGAGGCAGCCGATGGGCATCCACGGTGTCGCAAGGATTTCTGAGGCCATGCCGGCTAAGGCCTCTCAGTTAGCTGCGACACACGGTGGTGGAGAAAACACAGTCAGAGCAGCGAGAGCGACGGCGGCGGCAAGGCGCGCCGCCGCCGCCGCCGCCGCACAACTGCCATTTCTTGGGCGATGCCGGGACAGACGGCGGCCGCCGACGGGACGGTGGCAAGCCGCCGTCCGCCGCCATCAACCCCGGCGGGTCCCCGTACCCCACTAACGGCGTCCAACGCCGCTATCGTACACGCACCCAAGTGTGCATCGATTTGCCTCCGCAAGCCGACGACGACAGCGGGCGGCAGCCTGGCGGCGGCGCCGGCGGCGGCTCGCCGACGGCATTTCCGCAGGGTCGGCTTTCCAGCGGACTGCTGTCGTCGTACTGGTCTACGGACAGCAGCCTGATGCTCCCCAATGACAACTTAGCGTCGGCGGGAGTCTGGTCCATGTCGTCAGACGCGTTGCGAACAGAGCAATCCACCGTGAACGGTGCGCCGTATATCGCTGTGAAACCCCCACCCCGGCTAGGTTGACCCAGACAAGCCCGGGGCAGACTGTGGACATAGGACGAGGGGTGAGGGGATTCGATATTCCCGGGAGGCGGATTAGGATTAGGCAAGGAAGGTTCCGCTCCTTCGATACAACGGGGTGAGCAGCCAACGAGAGCTTCAAGGCCCTCCAACCACTCAGGGCGCGTGCGTGTACGCCACCTCCGCCGCTTCACCGGGGGTTGCGATCATGGCCCATGGAACTCCAGGGGCCGTCGCTTATCACCTGCCAGCCTTTTCACACCGATTTCATGATTTTTGCTCCCTTGTCCTAACCCAATCCTTTGCCATCAGGGATAGCGGTTCCCGGAGGGGGCCGTATGCGCGGCAGCGGCAATCTGGATTCTGCACAATCGCTTACGGCGCAGGCAACAGGTGGTGAAGATGGCAGTGGGAGGGGACGAGTCGAGGAGTCTCAATCCCCTGGTCATCACCATCACCATAATCACCATCACCATCATCACCACCACCATCATCACCACCATCACCATCATCACCATCATCATCACCGAATTCCTCTGGAGGGCAAGGTATTTTTCCTTGTGGGGCCGGAGAACCGCCTGCGCCAAAGGGTATATCGCTTGGTGGGAAGCCGGTGCGTTTGCGTGTAGGGGTATGGGGGCTGGGGAGTGGGGCGTATGTGTATATGTGTGTGAGATGGGTGGGTGTATGAACTTGCTGGGTCACTGTACCGCTGAGTCGTTGGATGCCGCTGAGTCGCTGGATGTTTTGCTGTAAGTTGTGGTGGGCATGACGAACTCCCCTGGGGCGCTTCTTAGCGCTCCGCATGAGCTGCTTCCCTCGCAGCCCTGAGTAACACCCTGTCTGTCGCAACCTGGCATTATTTCCCGCCCCCCGGCCCTCCCGCCTCCCGCCTCCCCGCCCGGTGTCCGTAGTTCCTTCGACTACGTCCTGTTTTTCGTCATCGTAGCCAGCTGCGGCATGATGACGTTGGAGGGGCCCTCCCTGGACCCCCACTCGGCGCTGGCGAGAGCGCTGTTCTGGGGTGATGCGGTGAGTGGGGAGGGGGGCCACGGACCTCAGCCAGCGGCTAGCACATCACACACCTTTGCACGCATCCCTCCACGCATCCTTCAGTCCACACATCCGAAAGTGTGATGCTTTTCCCATTCCCTGTCCCCTTCATGGCCCCTCCGCATTCCTCCCCTCCTCTCCCGTCACCATCCTAGGCCTGCACGGCCATCTTCACCCTGGAGCTCATAGCCAAGGTGTTCGCCTGGAACTTTGTGGGCTACATCCGGCACATCACTAACCAGGTGGGACCCGGGGTGGGGGATAGGGTCGGCTGGATTGGTTGGACTGCGCGCGCTGAACTGCGCGTTCGTGTGTTGCGTTGGGCACCACCTAGTGCCAGATCGGTCAAGGACTGACGAGCAAACCCAGACCTCTGGGGTATGTAGCCAGGCGCGCCATCAGGAGCGGCGTCAGGTGGAGGGGGGCTCCTGAACAGAAGTGGGGGAGGGAACCCTGCGGGCCCCGGTCCCACGTGTCGCTCATGTTCATGTACTCACGGTGTTGCGTCCGTACATTGTCGTACCTTACGATACAGGTGGACTTCGTTGTGGTAGTCACAGGGTTGTTGGATCTTGCGCTCAGCCACGTGAGCCCCCAGGTGCGTGTCTCAAAGAGTGCCGCCACGTTCATCCACCCACACACCCACGCAGCCACATAGGCCCCCATGTGAGCGTGACTAGGCCGGTGGGGAGTAATGTAAGAGGGTGATTAGAATGCTGGTGGAGCAATGTGACTGGGACATTGCTATTCAGATGTTTCAAAAACGTGTGTTCGGGTCCCCAAAGGGGATTAGACTGATATGTTTCCGTGGACTTGCGCTCCCGGGGACGTTGCAACGCCAGAAATAACAATTCATCATTTGGGGGTTGTGTCTCGCCACTACTTCCGAAACACTCGTATCCACTTCTGGCCCCCCCACTCTGGCCCCCTCGCAACTCCTTGGCCGCGCTCTTAGGCGATCTCCGCGCTGCGGGTCCTCCGGGCCCTCAAGCCCCTGCGGCTGCTGACTGGCTCACCCGGCATGCGGCTGGTGTTCAAGAGTGTGGTGCTGAGCCTGGGCGCCATGGCGCATGTGTCCGTGCTGTGCCTGATGTTCCTCGTCGTGTTCGCCATCTTAGGGGTGCAGCTCTTCAGCGGCAAGCTGTACAGGTACGGCAATGCGTCTGCGTGTCGCTTTTTGCTGGGAGTAAACCCTAACAACCATATCGTATCACAACTTATGTTTATACAACTAGCAGTACGACGGTGCTGCTGCTGACTACTTCGCTCCACGGGTTGGGAAAGGAAGGAGGCTTCCCTGAGGCATTGTGGGGGGGGCCAGGGCAGTGGGCGTGGTCAGAAGGCGCCCCGGGTCACCCAGAAGGAGACCCCAGCGAGCGCCTAGCTGCCCGCTGATGAGAGCACACTCTGGAGGTGGCGATCAAAAAGATGAAGGGACATGCAGCGGGCGGGCGGGGACAGCTCATTGTGAATGGGCCGGACACGCCCTCGGTTATATGTACCCCTGTGCGCGATGGCCAACACGTCCTTGGCCTCCCTTACCCTGAGAAAACATTCCGCAAATCGCGCCAACCGCACACGCAGTTGCAACGACCAGTCGGTGTCGGGTCGCTCCCAATGCGTGGGGTCCTTCCTGGATCCACGCACAAACACCACCCTGGAGCGATCCTGGGACAACGTATGGCCCAACTTCGACAACGGTAAGTACAGCAAGATGTACGGCACAATGCATAATGCACTGACCACGGATCTCCACTTCTTTCCCTTTGCCCATCATCCCCTTGCTACCCACCCCCGCTGCAAATTATCACTTCCCTTCAAATTATCACTTCCCTGCCGCTGCTGGCCTTTGCACGCCGTCACTCCTCTCCTTGCCGTCTCTCGCTCACGCCCGACCCCTCGTGCCTTTTCCCCCGTTTCCCTCCCCCCCCCACGCCCTGTCCCCGTCTCGCCCCCGCCTGTGACTGTCCTCCCCCGTCAGTGGGCAATGCTCTGTTGGCGTGCTTCGTGGTGGCCTCCTGTAACGGCTACATGGACCTGATGACCGCCTCAATGAGCGCCCCCTCGGTGAAGGACCGCCAACCGCACCTGAACTCCAACCCGGCCGCATTCTTCTGGTGGGTGTGGGGAGAGGAAGGGGGGGAAAAGGGGGGAGGGGAAACCCCGAATGGAGAGGAAACCCCGAATGGATAGGACCTGAACGCCATGTACTTAGGTTTGCGGGGGCCCCGCATCGCAGGTCCGTACCGCAGGAGGATGCTCCCCTCGGGCCCAGCCAGCCTAGATGGCAGCCCCCCGCTTCCTCCCCTCTCCCGATTTTTAAGCCTTAACCGCTAGCCCCATCCTCTTCCCACAACACCCCATCGCGTCCCGCTGGAGCTCGAGAAAGCGCAGGGGGCTCTGTCCACCTGGGGCCTGCCCCCTGCTGCAGCAACTTACAACTCATCGCCCCACCAGGTTACACATCCCACTGCTTTATCCCTTCCGGCTGTCTTCCCGCCAATCACCCGGCCCCATGCGGTCTTACCCCCGACGTGTTCATCGGCATTGCCCCCCGCCGCCCCTCGGGGCCTTGCCCCGGTCCGTTATCCACATGCACACAGGTACGTTGGCTTCACGGTTGTGGTGTCCTTCACCCTTCTGAACCTGTACGTGGGAGTCATCTTTTCCCAGTTCTCCCGCATCCGCAACATGAGCACCACGGGGTCCGCCTTCCTCACGAGCCAGCAGCTCGAGTGGGTGGAGATGTCCAAGATGGTGTTCAGGTTGAGGCCGCCGGACAAGAGCGCGCTACCCAGGGGGCCGCTGCGGCGGCCTGTGAGGCGCCTGGCGCAGTCCAAGGCGTTCGAATGGGTGACCTTGATCGTCATTATGGCCAACGTGGCGGTGCTGGCGGCGACATGGTACGGCCAGCCGGCCATCATGGATGACGTACAGGTACGGCATGTTAGTGGTCGTGATGGTTGTGAGCGCCTTCCTCGTCCTGATGCAGCACTCCGCCGCTACGTCGGGATTAAGCCGGCCGCATCGGAGAGTTGTCGTCGAACGGGGGTTGTGTGTTCGGAGGAGCGTTCGACCTCCAAACACAGACAAGCCCCTCCGAACGCGAAACGGGTACATGCCCGGGCATGGCGACCTCTGTGTGTATGAATTTTGTTAAGTGCGTGTATTTTGAATCTGGTGTTAGTGAGCTGGGCCTTCATGGAGAGCTAGGATTTTTATAACCGCCAGTTAACCAGTCGTACTACCAGTTAACCGACTAGAGCGGGGGCCCAGAGGACTCGGATATGCGGCGAGGACTGCACGGCCCAGATATGATTACATGTCCGTGTACATGTTCATGTAAGTAAAGAGGCACGCAAGCAGCCTGCCTGTCGCCACCACCAAACTGATGTCAACTTTCAACCACCAACTTCCAACCATCAACTGTTAACTCACAGGAAAACTTCAACATTGCCTTCACGACCCTCTACACGATAGAGGCCTGCCTCAAGTTGTACGGCCTGGGTTTCCGCCTGTACTTCGGGGACCCCTGGAACAAGTTTGACTTTGTGGTTGTGGTTTCGGGGCTGATCGAGGTGGCGCTGAGGTTCCTGCATACGGGGTACACGCGCGTGCTGCGTGTCTTCCGGTTGCAGAGGCTGTTGCGAGTGGCACGACTGCTGCGGCAGAGCAAGGTAAAGGAGAGCAGCGGAGAGGACTAGGAGAAGTGAGGACGGAAGGCTTGGGGTGAAGAAAAGGGTAGGAAAGCTAGGAACTTGGTAGAAGGAGCAGAACCTCTCCGGTTGTATGAAGGAAAGGACGTATGAAAGAGAGGAAGGTGTGTGCTGTGTACCGCCAGCCTTGAGGACTTGAGGGACAATCGCCTTTGCCAACCACCAGCACCACATCTTTCTCAAACAGCGCCATGCCACTGGTCTCCCCCCCTTCCCATAGGGTATTCGGACTCTGTTCCAGGCGCTGGTCATGTCGCTGCCAGCTTTCGGCAACGTGGGCGCCCTCATCGGGCTGCTCTTCTTCATGTACGCCTACGTGGGTGTGCTGCTGTTCGGCAGGGTGAGACAGGATGACCACACCTCAACCATCAACTCCTCAGCCAACTTCGGCAACTTCGCCCAGGCGCTTTCGGCCCTCCTCCGAGTGGCAACGGGGGACAACTGGACTGACCTCATGTACGGCTGCATGGTGAAGGTAGGTGGGGTCGGGGTTGGCCCCTGGCCACGGGCGGCTGCTCGGGGTGGGGTCAGTACGCATATTGGTGTAAGAGTGTGTGTGAGAATGTGTGTGTGTGTGTATTTGCATAGGTTCGCGGTTTAGTTAGGGCTTCTTTGAGGGGGGCGTGGGCGTACGGGTGGCCGTACGGCAGGGGGATGCTCAGCAGACACAGCTGCACTGATGACGGCGAGCAGGGGGCCGGGTCGCTACAACACGAAGCCTTTAGAAGAGTCGAGTAGAAGCAATGCACCATGGCTAGGGGATCTGGGAAGAGCGGGATCCCTTCCGACAATGCCCCACAATGCCCCTCCCGACCCGACCCGACCCGACCCGGACCACTGGGACCACCGATCTGTCCGGGATCCCTTCCCGCCCCACCCGTCTCTCCGTACGGGGCCCATTCTTCCCTCCCTACCCCCTCCCCTTAACCCCCGATCCTATCCCGCCTCTCCGGCCCCGGGTGGCCCTCCCACAGCCGCCTCGCTGCTCCCGGGACGCCGGTGACTGCGGCAGCTGGTTGGCGCTGCCTTATTTTCTGTCGTTTTTCTTGTTGATCTCCATCATCTTGCTCAACCTGTTCACTGCGGTCATCATTGAAAACTTCGAAAAGGCGCATGAGCAGGACGAGTGGAGGCTCACACCCCAGGTGCAGCTGCCGAGTGCGGGACGCGGGCGTGCAGTTGGGCACCCGTCGGGTTGGGCTTCTGGGCCTTTGGCTTCGTGGGGCAGTGCAGGGCCTGACGACACTCAGGACCTGCATGCGACGTCTGAGTCGTACATTCGCCTGAGTCGTACTTACCACGGCTGCGCCAGTCGTTTTGTTGTTCCCGATGCCTGGCCCCGTTCCCTTGTTGTTTATTAAGGATAACTATTGACTTCTGTTTATCTTTGGCGTGTGGGCAGAACCTGGAGGACTTTGTGATGCTTTGGAGTGAGTTCGACGACGGCTCCGGAACCATCACTCCAGCCGCCCTGGAGCAGCTGCTGCTGCGACTGGACCCTCCCCTAGGTTTAGGGCCTTATGCCGACAACAAGGAGGTCCTCAAGTAAGTCTTCTGCTCCGAGCGTAAAGGCCTTTAACATGCACTAATTAAACATGTCTGAGCTGTGCTCGGTGGGCTGAAGGGTGTTGTTCGGAAATATACTGTTTTGCGGTCTGCTGGGGCGGTCTCGCTGTGGTGCTACGTAATTTTTGACGTCCATTCGTTAGTTATTTAGTTAGTTCTGAGACCCTGGCGACCCTATGCCGGCTGCAATATGAGTTTGATGGGGGTCCTAGGGGCCAGTCACGTGTGTGTGTGTGTGTGTGTGTGTTTTGCCTTCTGTACGAGTAAAACACCAGTGCAAACCCAGCCACACCCCAGGCGTGACCCCTACCTGCTCCCCCCACGTGCCGCCCTCCCGCCAAAAGATGACGTACCGCATGCACCTACCCTGTGTGTGTGTGCCGTTCTGTCGTACAGGTTCGTGTACGACCTGGACATACCGCTGGTGAATAGCCGCGTGCCCTTCCACAAGACCGCTTTTGAGCTTGTCAAGCGAATTAGTCAGACGGATATACCCGAGGGGCAGTTAAAGGTACGGCACGATGGGGTAGTGTCTGGCGGGGTTGAGGTGGCCAGACCGACATACATACCCGAGTTGAAGCGGGGTATGCATGGGGATCCCCCGGAGGTTTGAGGGGGTGCAGTGGAGGCTGTGGAGACAGCGCAAAAGGCCATAGGAGTGCAGGATGTGAAGCCGTCGCCAACGCGGAAGGTAATTCTCGCTGCTTCACAAGCCCGGGGCTAGGAGCCCACGGGAGCTTGCGATTGTACGGCCCTGGGGACGACGTGCATGGCCGTGAGGTGGCTGCTTTACAATGCCCTGCCCAGCCGCCGCTGCACCCGAAATGTCATAAATCCCGCCTTAAGAAGTGTGGTCCAACCGCCCAAGGACCCCGCAACACCACTAAACAACTCCCCCCGGCCTTCCCCCCTTCCCCTCCGGGATCCCCCGGCGCACAGGCCCAGATGGAGGGCCGTGTGGAGGCGTTTTTCCGTGACCTGAACAGCTCATGCAAACAGGATGGCCAAATGCACTTCACAGTCGCCTTCAGCGTCATGCTAATACAGCGCCGCTGGCGCTCCCGCTTCCGCGCCAACCGACTGCGGCAAAAGCGCGCCTGGCGGGCGTCCCGTTGCGAGGCGCCCGCGTACCGCTCCCTGATGGATGGCTCGGGACCGCAACGTGTGGTGGAGGCGCTCATGCGGGAGGGAGCCCGCGCTGTGGCGGCGGAGGCGGCGGCGGTGAAGCCGGCGGCGCCGCCGCCGCTGGATGCAACGGCGACAGCGGTATCAGGGCCTGGGGATGTACACGTGGCCGATACGCCGACTCTAGGTGAGTGGATGGGAGGTAAAGGGTGTTCGAGCGAGCGGGCGGCTGCGGTGGCTGGTTGCTCGGTGTGTCGCACCCTGGGCGCTAGGTTCCGGAAGTACCTGCTGACAGGACGCAGTGCTGATCTGCTGCAACAGCTCTAGCCCAGCTCCAGCGCGGTCGCCGCTGCGGTGCGCCCTCAAGCCTTCAGCGCCTGCTTGGATGCTGCCCGCTTGCCGCTCTGAAGACCGGAAGAGGATTTCTTTCCTTCCTAACGGAAATGTACTTCTTTTCGGCTTCCACTTCCCGGGGTTAGCCGAGACTTCTCCCGGAAATTCTCCTGTCCACTATTCCTCTCTCCCCCCGTCTTTCTTCCCCTCCTCGCTTAACTCCCAATATCAAAATTCATCTGGGGGTTGTCGCCGCACCCGGCGCCCACCTCGCCACGTTGGGTCCGTGTTTCGCTGTCCGTGCGTGACGTTGTCCCACCAGGCCCCAGGACACGGACGTGGCCCAAGGCGAGTCTCACCGACCCGGGTGTCTCAGCAGCGGCTTCCACAGCATCATTCGCCGCAGCTGCTGCTGCTGCTGCTGCTGCTGCTGCTGCTGCTGCTGCTGTGGTCCACAAGTCCAGCGGCGGGCAGCTGCAGCTGCTGCCCGGCTTCGCAGGGGACGCCCTCAGCCTCGGCCCCGCCGCCAGTCTTCGCTGGACCCTCAATCCCAATCTGGTGCCCGCAAGCCTGAGGCTGGCTGTCGGGAACGCCGCCGACGCCGCGCGGCGCCGGCAGCAGGAGCAGCAGCAGCAGCAACAGCCGACGGCCCTCTTACAATGGGCCCCTCTGCGCAGCTTGGCGCGGCTGGCCACGAGGATCAGCACCAACTCAAGCGGGGAGCTGCAGCCGACGTCACCTCCGATGCGTCGCGCACTGACGGCAGCGGACGATGCCCTGGCGGCGCCGCGGCCGCACTACAGCTCAGCAAATGGTCGTTTATTCAATTCCATGCGACGCATTCGCGCATTCCAGGACAATAACATGCCGCCGAGGCTCCCCATGCGGCCCAGATCTTGGACGGGAGCGCCCGAAGGCGGCTGCACCGTGAACAGCGCCATGGGTGGCGCCGGCGATCTCAATGGCTGCAGCCTCAGGACGATATCTACCGTGGAAGCCGTACCAATGGACGAGCGGGAGCTGCGGCCCAGGTTCCTGAAACCCGAGTCTCCCGCCGGCGCTAGCGCGAGCCGCGGCAGCGGAGGTGGCGGAGGCAGCGGCCTGGGCGGTATCGCCAGCGGCCTGGCGGCCTCCATGCGCCGGTACTTCAGCTTCCGCAAAGGCCCCGCGACGGCAATTGAGGAGCCCTCAAGTACGACAAGGGGCGGCGGCGGAGGCAGCTTCGGCAGGCGGAGTCCCTCCCGTATCAGCCCAAGTTGGCGGCGGCGGGGACGGAGGCAGGGCGCGCCCATGGCGTCAGTACTGCGACCGTCTTTGGACGTTGGCAATAGTACGGCCATGATGGCGGCGCCGACATCTACAGCGGTATCTCAGCGGAAGCTCCGCGCCATGTTGGATTTCGCGATGGCGGCTGGGGAGCTGGCGGCTGGCGGCGACGAGTCCTTTCCCTCCAGCCGTTCCGTATCCCGGCGGCGTTGGGCTCCAGGGACGGTCGGTGGCGACAGCACACGGTCAATCTGTACGACACCGGATGGCAATGGCAACGGTAGGCTGGCGCTCGGAAGCCGCCGTGCCAGTGGCGATGGCGGCGGTGATCGTGGCGGTGGAGGTTTTCGGTTCCGGCTGCACCAAGCCGGCAGGAGCGGTAGGCGTGTCAACATAAGCAGCAGTGGCGGCAGCGACAGCGATAGTGGCAGCGACAGCGACAGTGGCAGCGACAGTGGCAGTGGAAGTGGTAGAGGCAGTGGTAGTGGCAGCGGCAGTGGAAGTGGCAGTGGTAGAGGCAGCGGCAATGGCAATGGCAGTGGTAGAGGCAATGGCAATGGCAGTGGTAGAGGCAGTGGCAGCGGCAGTGGCAATGGCAGTGGCAGTGGCAGTGGCAGTGGCAGTGGCAGCGGCAGTGGCAATGGCAGTGGCAGTGGCAGTGGCAATGGCAGTGGCAGTGGCAGTGGCAGTGGCAATGGCAATGGCGGTAAAGGGGACATGCGATGGGGTCCCAGGCCATTGAGCATTATCACGGAGGAAGGCGGCGGCGGGGCTGGAGGCGATGGGAGTGGCGGCGGCCGATGATTCAATGCCAGCAGGTATAGTTAACGACCCAGAACAGGAACATCGGAGCGGTGAGTAGCACGGCTTGTGATCGTGCAAGGACGCGGCGGGGTGATTATTGTTTATGGATGAAATGATGTGACGGTACGTGCGCGCGATGCTGCAGTGCGCAAAGTTAAGGATCAGTTCGTACGGATCCGCTAGGGAGTGCGCAGCCATTCCGCGTCGAGCGAGCAAATGTTTTGTCTAGGGTGGCTAAGGATAAATGGCCAAATGCTAATTAAGCAATGCCAACGTCAACATGTTCGGCAGCATCTTCTAGCGCTGCATTCAGCAATTTTCAACGCTGAGACAGGCCGCCAAAGCGCGCAGGCGTCCAGCCGCCGGGCTCTTTCTCATCCCGTCGAGTGGTAGATACGGAAATACGGCAAAACTCCGGCGCAAACCGCCGACATTTCTCTAATTTGGTTAACGGCTAACGGCAAGCGGCCTTCAAGTGTGACGAGATGATGGATATTGAGGCACGAGAGCGACGCCGTGGAGTGAAAGAGAAATGCGTGTGGTTTCGGCGCGTCTGCCTGCCTCCCCGCCTGCGCGGAGAGCACCGAGGCGGCGGACTTCATCACAAACGACATCAGCTCGATTGAAACGAAAAAAGAATTTTAATCAAAGCGAGAAGGAGATCCTTTTTTTCGCCACCCCAATGCGAATCGAATTGGAGACCGGAGGCTTGACTCTGCTGTTGACCTTGTTGGCAGGCGCTGCTCCACTCCAGGGAGAGCTGGGGTGCGATCTTAGGGTCCCGACGTTAACCGGTACAGAAAGCACTAGCTGCCCATTGGCAACTCTGCCGTTGCGGAGCGTGACGGTGTTAGGCGGTCACTCGAGTGATGCCTCTGGTGCCATGCATGGGGCTGACCCGAGCAATATACGGCTTGCAAGTAGAGGCTTCGGTGATCGTTCGTTCTAAGAGAAGGAGCGATGAATTGTGACAGTCTTTGGCGACAGTCGTCGGAACGGTAATAATGACGACTTGAAGGTAAGCGCAGCAGCGGGTTGGCGTCAGCGCGTTTTGTGATCTTTGTGTAAGGCAGAGAGGGCTGCGAGGAGAATGGAGAAGAGGAAAGGTGAGAAGAGGAATTCTTCATCATCATGTGCGTACATTTCAATTGCAGTTTTTCCGTTCTGTAAACGTCTGTATGGTTGCAGCCTTTCGCCTTCGCATCGCGGCGGAAGGCGCAGTGAGATCGCCGGTTCGTAGTCGAAGCTGTACGGCAGAGATGAACGATTTGGATGCCGTGCATTTCATGGGAAGCGCATGCCGAGGTACTTATTTTGCGCATAATTTCCGCTTCCATAGAGAACCGCGGAGTGGTAAGAGGCTGAAGCTTTTTTATGGTGTGCGAAGATCGATTACCAGAAGGAGTAAGGCGTTGAGATGGCTAGTTCATGCATCCGTAGAGTACTGAAGTGGAGCGATGATTGCGGCAGCGTCGCGCGAATTGTGGATCACTACTATTGTAGAGTAATACTGACTGGAAATGTCCAGAACCCTAGCGATGCAGAGGGAGTTTACCGAACAGTGTGTGGTGAGAACACGAGGACCCTCAAATGAAGGTCCGTTGCGAAGGGGTTGAGAAAGGAGTGACGGGAGGAGGAGCCGGTTGTTGCATGAGAGCCACGTGCTTATGCTGTGCACGCCTCGCAATATGTGGTGAGAGTCAATTTTGACACAGCGAAAAGATGCAAATACACACAAAAAAAACATCGTACACTCTGTCTGGCCCAACTTTCCTTTAAACTTCCAGTTTGCGTTTGGCACTCGGTGACGTGCTCGGTGCAAAAGAGTTCTGCGTATGGCAACTAGAAATTATTATAGACTCAATTGTGCTTCGACGCGATGTTTTATCTACCAACATCACGCCATGTAAACCGTAGTGCTCATCAGTAACCAGTTGCTGTTGTTGCGCACTTCCTAAATGTCTTATACCAATCCGGTGCTGGTGGATTAGTTGTTCGAAAGTACGTCGTACGCATGTAACAAGCCTCGGTACTCGACCGTCAACATGTCGCTATTTCTGAGTTGTATGTTTTGTTTGCATATCCTTCGTAGTTACGGTGGTGTAAATAACCGAAATAATCTACTACTCAAAAAACACCATGCTGCCCAACCCACCTGCAGCTGAATGCCTGTATCGTACAGTAATGTTAATGTCGTTCCGTACAAGGCTAACTGCCAGTTACAAACCAGGTCAGAAGAGACGGGAGTCACTTCGCTCTCGACGCAGGAAGGCGCCCGGATGACATCCGTTCAAGCAAATAACACCGTCACAACCGTCTCCGCAGCGTTTCCTAACGGCTAGTGTTCGCCATCCCCCCCAGCACAACTTCCACTGCCACCCTGGGCGGTACGGAAGATCTGTGCCGCACCTCCCCGCTCGCCGCAAAACGAATATAACATCCCAACATCCACTCATCCGCAACCCTCGTCCAAATCTAAACTTCAACAAATCTAAAACAAAACAACTCAACCTTATCCGTTACTGAAAACGGACTCCTCTCTCCCTAATGTTGATTCGACCATTGGCCGTATTCATCAGGCCAGCGCATACACACCACACTTACATCTCTTGTGTACAACGAACCAGCCTTAACGAATCAACCTGGGAAATAAAGCGAGACTCGACGACGCCGTCCTCCTCGCCTAACTCAGTGCCGCGGCGGGTTGCCCGCGAAGCGCCACATGTCGGCAAGACCGTCCAGGGGGGCAGTCATGGTGTTGGCGATCACGTTGAGGGGGGGCTTGTTCGGGGCCCAGGGGTGCGGCCTGAGTGGACACGGCGGTTGGGGGTACTTGGTGAAAGTAAGGTGGCATCGCGGTAAGTCCCTGAGAGCCGTGTGATAGATCGGGAGCTTACAGCAGATGCCCTCCCCCCCACGTCAAGAGCATGTCATCAGTGGGTAACGATAGTATGCCACTTACCCATTTCCACGACCTCGTCTGGCCCTGCACCTTTGCCGAGGCTGCTGCTGCTGAGCGGGCTACTGCCGATCAGGCCCCTAGTGCTGCTGCCGATCAGGCTGCTGCTGAGCGGGCTACTGCCGATCAGGCCCCTAGTGCTACTGCCGATCAGGCTGCTGCTGAGCGGGCTACTGCCGACCAGGCCCCTAGTGCTGCTGCCGAGCCCCGTTTGATTTTTATCTCGATATGAAGTTAAACCCATCGTAGAAAGAAGTAAATTAGATTTTAAAAATGCTCACAGGTTGTTATGTGGTCTAATTATTTGGATACAACGACAATAGTTTCGGAGACGATAGCTAATTCCTCGAAAACAATTGATTTAATGATTTTCCAGCCAAATGCGCCTTACCATAGTGCAGATTATTATTTGCAATAGCCTTATTGACATATGATATTACTCCAAACGTCTGAGCAATTATTAGTGTTGCTCCTATAATTTTCGGGAGCCTGCCGCTGCCGAGACTGCCGCTGCCGAAGACTGCCGCTGCCGAGACTGCCGCTCTTCCGTTCTTCCCTTCCACTGCTCCCTCCCCACCAAACCAGGCTGATCAGGGGCCAGGTGGTCGCAACCCAGGTAGTCGCTCCCAAACTGACAACGACAGTCACCGCACACACACATGTGTGTTCCGACCAAAAGCAATCAACCAACTTGGCGATACAAACCAGATAACTGTCCATAACCTCCGCGAAGAGGCTCCCCCTTTCGACCTGGCGAATATCATCCACCAGTCCTCCCTCCCCCCTTCCCACCTCGCCCCCACCTCGCCCCGCTTGCCCCCCAAACGCACCTGGTGACCGCATGACTCTTAGCCGACTCGAACTTCTTGCCCAAGTGCGACAGCAGGTCGGCATCCACGCCCGGAAGCGATTCAAAGCGCGGCCACACCTGAGTCTCCTCCTCCGCGACGTGGTGGTACAACACCTATACCACGTGAAAATTGACGTTCACACAGATCGAAAATTGACAACAAATCGATGTGTAATACTATCAAAAGAAAGTAAACGTACCTTTTATGTTTACGGCTCGGCCTATGGGAACCTTGCCCGTAGCAGCTATCGTATAGAACGGCACACACCAATAATATACACGCGATCCCATCGTCCCGGAGGGGCCTTTTCGGCGGCCAGCTACCACATCATCATGGCCGCTGGCGCAAAAAAGACTGAGATGCTCACCTTTATTACCCCCTCCCGGGTGCGAATCCGCCCTCTGGGCTACACAGCCACCAGACACACTCCCCGAACCCCGAACCCCGAACCCCCCTCCCACAACAAACACCTTCATGGCCTCGTCCAGCTTCGCGGTGTATGCCGTCTCTCCGTTCTTCTCGATAGTCATGTTGTTAGCCTGGCGACGACAAGCCCGCCCGCAAGGCGACAACAGAATGGTTCAGGCCGGGGCGGAGGACAGGGCAGGGCAGGACGGAAAGGCTTTTTTTAACCAAAAGTGAGACTGAGCTGCGTGCCTGACCGTGTTGCTGGACGTTTGTTGGTCGGCGCTACTACTGAGTGAAGGAGACTGCCCTGGGGGAGCCGACACCGCCCCGCATGCAAATCCATATCCAGCACGCAGCGTCCGGAGTGGCCTAGGTTACACTGGTGCATTTCATTTCATACACTACAAAAGAAAGAAAAAAGAAAGAAGATATGCACATACATGCATGCCACCCTGTAACATGCATGCCACCCTGTAACAACATACAGAGGTTAAGGCCTGACTTCTGCTCCCAGTCGACCCAGTCGACCCGGGTTCAAATCCGCCTGCCGGCTCCTCGGGTGTTTGAGGAGTGATGAAATGGGAGGTGGCCCCCCATCTTATGGACGGTGTAGGACGTGATAATATCAACTTGCGAGCTGACCAGGAACTAAGTTGATGCGCCGTTGATCCGCTAGATTTGGTTGGATGCTGGTGGTGAGTTGCCGAACCCAACGAATACATTCTGAAGTCGGATGGGGTGACGGATTAGGGTGCCCCTCTAGCAGGGGAGAGCAGGGACTGCCCCGGGAAAGGGGGCCGCTGGCGAAGTTAACCACCCTGTAACAACATACATACATACATACACGCTACTCGGGTCCTGCGCCTGTCATAATCGCGCCACCATTGCGAGATGTGCCGAGTGGCGAGTGACGAGCCTAGGGAAGGCTATCCCCCCCTGCTGCTGCGACGTCTTCTTTGGCTGCCTGCCTACACTCCGGGCTCGAGGGTGCAGCGCCCTAACAGGCATTGCATGGCTTTCCATTCAGCAGACGTGGCAGCCCTGGACGCCATATTACCGCCGGCGCTCGGGAGGCAGCCTGGCGCAGAGGTGTGCTGCCAGCTGGCTGACATCACCCCCCAGGCGGGTGATGGGATGAACGAGCTGGCTCCCCTGTGGACGTGCTAACTAACAACAAACAACGACTACCTGTTTGCGCATTCCGCCTGGGGACACGGGCGGACATGTCGCAGTGAAGCTAACCCCTCGATTGCAGCTCTCCCGAATTCGCACACGCGATGCCGTACCTCGTACAGCAGATCCTTCATCTTCTGATGGCCGTCATGTCCCAGTAAGTGGTCGGCCGCCTCATCGCCCAAACGTTTGCGGATCTGCAACAAAGGGATCAAGGCCGCACCAGCAATGATATGTAATAGTGCTGCTGCAGAGTAGCAGGGGGCCAGGTGTGCCGACTCCTGCGCAAACTCAACGTTTTTACGTCGACCAAAACGGCAGAGCACATCGCCGAGTCCTTAGCACCTGTTCATTTAGGATGACGGGCGCGGAACGTAAGCGTTCCGCCAGCCGCTAAAAATAGTGGTCACTGCCGTTGGCAGCCTCTCACCTTCCATTCCCACTCCCACCCCCCACTCCCACCTGCCAGCAGACCGCAAGGCCCCAGCTCACCTCAGGGTACATCACCTCCTCCTCCGCAGAGCTGTGCATCGCAATCTCCCGGATCAGCGCCCAGCCCTGGTGGGGTGGGGTGGGGTGGGGTGGGGTGGGGTGGGGCGGGGTGGGGTGGCAGCACAGCGGCAGCCACAGATTGTTGTGTGTTGGAGGGGTTAAAAGTGTATTACCTAAGCTGCTGTAGCTGCAGCATCAGCAGCAGCAGCAGCAGCGGCACAGGCGACATCAAATGGCGATATTAATCACAACAACGCGCAGTACGGCGCAATAGCGATCCCCTTAAAAAAAAGGGCCGGTATTCAGCTAACCCCACAGATTTAACATTGTGGGGTGTATGGAGTGTCCTGGCCTCCTTCTACGCCGCACTCGTGTAGGCCTTGTTGGTGGTGGAGTCGTATCGCTGTTGGGCAAACGCGGGGCCTGCTGTGACCCACGAATGATTGCGGGACATAACACACGACAGCTACCGCTTATCACAGAAATGAAACGCTGCGTATGCAACAGTAACAGCGGCGCCAGGACCAACGACCACGACCGCCAGAGACTGGTGGACCGGCGACCCATGGGACGGGTTGGAAATACGGCGTTATAAAGGATTCGGCTATCAAGGGTTTCCGTGATAATTGACACGAAGACAACATGCAAATGGCGGCGTTAAGAAACTTATTACGAGAAACAGTCCGACCTCTTTCGCAGGGGGAGACCGACGACACGTTTCCTTGCAGGTGCACAGGAGTGCGAATAGATGCAGCATATGACCGGCACCGCAAAGGCGCACACCAGTTCTACGGTCGCACCAGCTTTTGCTTCATCTCGTTGTTCATGTTGGGCCCATTGTACTCGGTCCACATAGATTTGAAGTTGGCGTGGTCCTGAGTGCATTCGGCAGGAACATGGCAGGCAGGAAACTAGGAAGACGGTGGGAAGGCGAACAGAATTGAAATTCTTGCCGGCGGGCGCGCCTTCCCTTCCGGCTGGCAGGCAGGCAGGCAGGCAGGCAGGCAGAGAGGCAGGTAACGGAGCCATATTTCCTTCCCCAAAAAATGGAACCAAGGTGGCCTCGCGGTTGAACGCGGGTCGCGTGACCGCTCATTGCGAGCTCCTGGGGGTGGGAGCCACAACACGGAAATCTTATGGAACGCGTGCGAAGGGAAAAAAAGCAACGCAACGCGACAGCGCGGAACCGCGCGTCTACTTCCGAAAGCTCTTCCGTTTCGGTTCTCATCTCAAGTCACATTCCGAATTGGAGGTTATGGAGGAAAGGTAGTCCTGTCCTTGAACATGAACCGGTTCTACAAAGTTCTCGCCTGTGCGATGCATGCGCGCGTGCACTGTCCAATTAAGAAAGGCGCCGCAACCAGTCGCTCAGGTGCCCGCAACGAGCATTATGTCGTTCTAAATTGGCAGCCCCACCTGGTTAATCATAGTGATGACAGATGGGTTGGTGGGATAGTCGGTAGCGGCCATTCTTCTTCCGAGCTCTCGAAGCGCGGCCGCGGGATTGCGTGAAAGACAACTGCCTTGTTCCAGCAAACCAGCTGCCCTCTGACCCAAAACACGCAACATGCAGAAATAGGATGTCAAATTAGCAAGATGCCTCTCCAACGAGCCGTTTTGACTACATATGTCTGCGGGGTTGCGTGTTAAGTACTTGCGAATGACGCGGGCGGCGTGAGAGGACTGACGTCAAGCATCGTACAATCGACATAACCACTGGACATCTGTGGTCGCGTTACGGTAGCCAATCGATTCCCTCGCTTGTCACTCATCAATGTGTCCGCTATGGTTGCGTATGCACGCAGCAATTGAAACCCCACAAGTTACTTTTGGACCTCGTCTTCAAGAGTGTCGGATGTGTCAGAAATCGTCGGAGTTGAAGGCGCTTCTCGTCGATACTCCCTAATTTGCTTTACAAGCAACCCCGTACTACAAGCCAAACCGTCAAGTTCGCAGTTTCAGTGAAGAAAGGAACCTTTCGGCCTCACAGCCGTCTGCCAAGTGTATTTTCACGAGCTGTTGTCCGAGTCGCTTGACAGCGGGAAGATGGGCGCGAGGAAAGGAGGATTCTAAAAGTACATATAAGCATCAATCTGGGTCCGAGAAATCCGCCGTGTTCGGACCGAACGTTCTGGATATTTCGTTTGTCCAGAAAATCGCAAGATCAGCGATGGTTATTTCTAATGCGCAACTAAAGCATTCATGCACACGTGCGCCTGCGGCAACATTGTGGTAACGAAGCGCTGTCGGGTGCATGTTTGGAGCGCTCACCCATCTTTCCATCGACAAAGGGCAACGAGGTGCACCGTATGGGTATTGTCCACATGTCACATCAGTTTGGAAATTAAAGTCCCTTTGGGCGGGAACGGGACGGGGTGGCGTTCGGATGGCGCGATGATATGCACTATGCACACATACACTGACAGTACAGCGGCTCGGACACAGTCATCCATTATGCCTTGGCCTTGGGGACCTAGATGCGCAGAAATACATGTGTGATCCCTGCCATATCCCTCTGGGCAGGGTGCTGCCCGGGGTAGGCGTATTCGTCGCTCCTGAACATTATTTTCCGTAAACACCGTCGTAGTCTGTATTTTCGGTGTAGGCGGGCATTTGGGAAGGTGTAAACCTGTGTCACACGCTAAGAAGCCAAAAGCTACAGAAAACTGGAGGATAGGGCCTTTGGATCGCCATCTCAGTGCTTGCCAAGTCGGGGCAACCAAGAGGCCCTCTCTGTGTGGACAACCCGGGGGCGGTCAGGTGCCACGCCTTCACAAAAAACGCAACTCCATACAGCTGTCCTGCAGGCTAGGTTGTACCCCTTCTAAAACCTCTGTTTACAACCATTATAAGCCTCAGGAATGCCAGCCGCGTCCTTCACTTGAACAGCTTCTCTATCTCGCTGAGCGTGTCCTTCGCAGCTTGAAGCTCCTCCGTCTCCTTAAGGTCTTCCACGTTTTCAACCTGAGAGTAAAAACAAGTCCACGTGGAATGATCGCATGCTAAAAGCCTGTAGATATCGGAGTGCAGTTTCAGACCCACCACGAAGGATTGAAGCTCCGCCAAGGCCGCTTCCAGCCGTTGGCGAGTTTGCGGTATCATCATGGCAGATTCTTGAAGCACATTTTCCTGAATCCGTAAACGTTGTACCTTTTGATTGCTCAAAGCATGCTCGTGTGCACAAGCTCTTACCGCCTGCTTTACATCGCTGATATCTGCTCCCGCGGCCTTCATCTTATCCACCCGAGCCTGTTCCTTGTCGCGTTCCTTCTCATAGTAACCCAGCTCTTTGTGAAGCCGCTTCACGCTGTTCGTCTTCACTTTACAAAGCTTAACAAGTTCCGCCGAGGAAGCCATCTTCAATAACCGGTCTTGCCTTGGAATGGAACTCTTTTTAGTTAAGTTATGTTATGTTATGTTATGTTACAAGCTCGCGAGAGCTCGTCAGGCCCAGACCAGCCATGAGACTCATGGACCGCAGGTTCTGGCGTAGTCAAAAAGAAAGGAAGAAAAAATTTGAAAAGGAAAAAGGGTTATGAAATCCATTTGCGAGAGAAAACAGCAACTAGAGTAAGCGACCTTAGCGTGCGACGCATCGTCCAGATGTCGCATATGATCTGTGCAAGTCCGCGCTGAATCATCTATCTCCATAGCAGAACTCATATTAGACAGGGGCTCGATATCAGCCTGGCGTACGCCTAGGTTAAGGAGCTCTTCCCGTAGGTCGTTGTAGGCGGGATACTCTAGCAACACGTGAAACTCATCTTCTACTGCATAATTGTTGCCACAGACCCTGCACCAGCGCTCTTGGCGCGACCGACCGCCGGGTGGACTAACCGCCAAAGGCCACGGCCCTAAGCAAACCGCAGCAGTGACAAGTACGACTTCGCAGGATGTAGCATGTCGTGTGTTTCCGCGTTCTCATCCAATTGGTATGCCAGCGCATCTTAACCCCTGGTTTACAGTTGTCCGACAAATTCCCGGGGTGTAGCAAGTGCTAGTCATCATCGAATCGCTCCTTCGACGTTTCCATGATAGATCTAACATCTTAAACAGGATAGTTCCTTCCTACGCAACTTGGCTATCCCCGCACTATCCCCGCAGTAAATAGGTCATCAGTACAGGATTACAGGCATCCGCCCCGTAATAAGCCCAACCCACGGCATCTCTTCAAACTGTACAGTGTTCCCACTGCTCGCTGCATACCAACCTTCACAATGCTCCCAGTTAACGCACGCAGAGTTCGATTGGCATGAAGACCACCTCACACTTAATGATCTGAACGGTCATGCCAAATGCTGTGCACCATTCCATGAGGGCATTAAGAAGGCACACTAGGCGCCGGTAATTGTGGGCAAGCAGGTTCAGGTCATCTGCGTACAGCTTTAGGTGGACAGGTACCCCATTAACAATGGGGCACCCATCGGCACACATAGCTATTGGCGCTATACGATCTTTGGCCTCCACGTAGTCAGTGAAGCCCTCAATGAAAAACCCGAACAACGTGGGGCTGATGTGCAGCCTTGTTAGACGCCTTGAACAAGGTCGAGATGTTCCCCCAGCCCACCGTCTGCTTTCACGTGCGCACTTTCTGTAACAGGCCTTCAAAGCCTTCGGCATGGCGCCATGCATATGTGCTCTCTAATCTCAGCCGAAGTAGGCGACGCGGAACAAGGTCAAAGCTTTCTCAAAATAAGGAATCAAACCAAACTGACAGAAAAGCGGGGGGGTTAATTATCAGGGCCATTCTTGTGCCGGTCAGTAAGGTTCCGAAGCAAGAGTAGGTCGTGTATGGTGCCTACCTTGGCCCGGAAACCATCCTGCAACGGGAATCGTGCATTGTCAGCCTCACCCCATTTGGTCAACCGGCGCTCCAAAACACTCCACCAGGGCTTCACCCGCCGCAAGACCACAACAGTTGCTCTAATCGCACAAATCGTTTTTTTTGTGAATTGCCGTCAAGACACTTCAAACTTGTGAATGAGGCGCCTGGGCGTTGAGGTTGATTCGTACCTCGACGATGGATTTTGGAGTGCAGAGTGCGACAGTCCGGCTCAGCAAAACCACCGATGATTCGTTTAGGCAAAGATAACGTCGGGGCGCCCCCATCTATCTTATTCGCCACATAGGTAAAACTAGTAAAGGATAGTTGAGGGCATTGATGTCGCCGTTTTGCCGACCCTCCCTTCAGCTTTTTCTGTAGGAGCCCCTAGATGCCCCGGCCCCTGCCATCAGCAAGGGAATAGTGGAACTATTGTCGCCGCTATCACTGTAATTCCTCAGAACGTTGTCCTGATCCCGCGGTAACCATAATAGATCATTCCCGCTTTCCAAACGCACTGCAGCGACGCAGCTAGATGTAGCCCTAAGCAGAATTGTAATCCGCCACGCTCGAGGCCTTCCCAGTACATATCTCCCTTCAGCTGTAAGTTTAATCCCAGGCCAAACCGCTATCGGACATTGGTGCGGAGGCTGCTTGGATGTTCCCCCCGCGGCTTCACGGAATTGCGCTTGTTGCACCGGAACATGCAACATGAAGGGTAACAATACAGTTCAAGATTCAAGTTAAAAATCTTTAAGCATTGTTCGCCAAACTATGCCGGCACTATACGTATGCGTACCTAAACACAAGCCACCTTTCCTGAACCTGCCCGAAGTCCAAATGGCCAGGGAGCTGACCAGGCGAAAAAATAAGATCTGGTCAAGCTGTAAAAGAACAACAGGCCGGAGGGAAACTTGCAGGCTAGTACTTCTCGAGATGCAACGTTGGCTGATAGGCTTTGTACCGATCAGTCAATGTTCGCCAAATCGTAGCTACACAACAATACCACCGCTTCGTTTTTTTGCCCTCCAGGCCCTCCAGGTCTAGATTATAAAGCACATCCAACACCTCAGTGCCATGCTCGTCTTCATGAACTGCCAGAGCAACCTTGGCCTTCATGCGCCCGGCGCGTCCTGGACAGCAGCATCCCGGCCCCGGCGGATTACCAACATCGCCGCGCTCATCGGCCAGCTGCCGACTACCTGCCGACTACCTGCCTGCCTGCAACGATAACTTCAGTAAATCAAGCACAAAACACACACCGCGCGAGTGAACAACGCAGGGGAAGCACATGAGAGCCGTCAGCATAAGTTAACAAAGCGAAACCACACAACACGGAGCCACAGCAGCGCAGCGCATTCAGCCAGCGCTTAGAGGGCACAAACCAAGCTCTGCTGGGGCTCCACTCGCACAAACACGTCGCTCTTGTCTCCACGATTGCCGCAATACATTTTCGCAGGCTCAACGTGTTGTAAGCGGGGCAACTAGCCCCAGAAGAATTACCTAACGGGAGATCCTCATCTAACTGCCTCCGCAACTGACCTCGCTAAAAATGGGTTTCGTACCGCAGCGGCCCCGGCGGCAGCTAGCTCCCTTGGCCGCAAACTCTAGCACAAGCACGTACACATGACCTTACACCCGACAAGCGCTCTTCCATCCTCGCTCAGCCCTCTCATCTCACGACGTAACAATCATCCATGCTCCCTCCGCCTCTGCCCACACGCACTGTTGTCGCCCTGCATCACTGCCAGGCACGTTACCTCACTCCTTCGATGACCCAAGAGCGCCGCTACATGGAATGGCCACCTACGACCACACAAGAGACCACGCAACTCTCGAGAGCAAACCGTGCAGACGCCATTGGCCCCGTTGGAAGCCGCACACGACCTCCATGACCTGCATGGGAGACCAGAAATGTGAAAAAGTACGCGCCCTTACTGTACGTGCACACAGCTTAGGATGCCTCCGAAGTGTAGCATTGCACCCCTGACATTTTTCCACCCTTTTGGCGGATTACTGCCAGTGGCCCACAGTGAACAAACCAACCTTCGGACAAGGGCAAAGCCCATGATATAGAATTGTGGACGCTGAAGCGCATGGGGCAAGAGAGAAACATCCTACGTGTAAGAAGGCCTCGCCGTGGAGTTATCATAACGAAAACGACACATACTATTCAGGACGGAGGACAACTTACGAACCCCAACATAGCCATTTTTGCCGCAATCGTCAGTACTCTCATTATCCCAGGGCACCAGACATGTCATATCCACGCTCAACAGCCATTCCCATATTATGCCCACAACGGCCAACAAGGATGTCCACCATATAGGGACGAAGACGCCTTCCTCGGCTGCGATCTAATGCTCCACCTGCTCCCTTATCGGGTCCTACGCAGAACCCCACAGCACAGTCAGGCGAGTAGCGAGGCGAGCCAAGCCCTCTTGCGGCGACCCTGTTCGCAGCTGCTGCTTGTCTGATAGCAACTAGCCACCTCGGCTGTTGCCTGCGTTGCCCTCCTGCCGGACTCGACTCCCAGTATCTCAGACAACCCTCTTTCCCAAACACGGATGTCATCATCTCCAATCATGCTTTTCCCCCATCGTTACCGCAGCCTGCCCGACTGACCCCCAAGTGCGGCGAACGGCCTTCACAGCGCAGATGATTGCAGTACGCAATCCAGACATACGTTTCAGTGAAAACAACACAAAGCAAGCGGTGAACATATGTCCATAGGGTTTGGGAATGGGGCCCAAGACGTTCCTACTTCTAAAAACTCAAGGCGTCTGCTCCCAGCCTATTCTAAGCGCTCCTAAGTCAGCGCTAATCAACGCAGACAAACGGCGGCTCCTCACGGCGTCATGTGCTCATTTGCGCACACACAAGGTAGAGCGTAAGCATGGTTGCAGGACGCCACATGCGGCCCCAGCCATAGACAAAAGAGTGCGTGGCTAGCAATGCCGTTAATTAACACGGCCCAACCGTATGCCGACCGCAGCAACAGCCCCGGTCAAGATGAGGTCAGACATTCCAAACCATGCGACGTGGCCACAACATTGGCAGACCACGCGCTTGCAAACTCAACCGTTCTAAGCGCATAACTAAGCGCCACCCGTTAAGACTTAGCGCCAATGTACCATACCAGATCTTCGCAAGAACCCCATCATATTTCTAAGCCTGGATAATATACCAATGCCAAGCTGCTTGCCAAAAAGAGCTGCGAAGGATGACCCTTACGCCGCCTCCGGCTGTAGCTGCGTTTGCCGTCCTTTTTCCGTCGCCTCATAGAACAGCACGGACGGCTGGAGCCGCTTTGCACACATCGCCTTGACGACGTCGGCCCAGTGCCCTACAAGTTGAATGTTTGCGTCATCAATCATCAGCCACAGTCCCAGCTCCTCGCTGAGCGCAAACACCTGCGACGAACAAACGCAGCACACAATGCGGCGCAAAATGAGCCAGCAGCAGTCATGCATGAGGATTGTTGCACAGCACAAACCCGTGTTCAATACAAGTGTGGCGTCCCAATCGTCCTCACCAGGTAATGGTGTCCAAAGTAGCAGATAACTGAGCGCAGATCACATGGGGCTGATGGCGGATGCATCCCGCCTGACGCTGGACCACTGCAGCGAAAGAGAAGCGCCAAGTCTACTCTAGGACCCAGCGCTTGAAGAGTTCCCCGCAACGCGTCCAACGGCGACTGCAGGCTTTCCCAAACCAGCACAAGTGTGAACACCGACGGAAAGCGCACAAGCGTCGCAAGTGGATGCGCAGCGGCCGTCGCGCCAGGCACCCAGCACTGGGCATGGCCGTATCCATTAGCAACACTGCTTAATGGGGCGGCTGCATGACGACGCCCGTTGGCGACTGGGAGCACAAGCTGTCCAGTTCCAGCGCCCGCACCGGTAGCCTCTGCCGCGCATAGCACGTCCTCGAAGTAGGCCCCGCTCTCCGATCCATCTAACGCCGCGAAGGCCTTGCGAAGGGCCTGCGCAGGGACTAGGTGGACGTATTTGGTGTACACCTCAGCCGCTGTACCGTCATCCCCACAAGGACGGCTGCCAGCCTGAGCGTGCGACAAATGCACACCAGAGGTCGTGCCAGCTGGTGCTGCCTGCATTGCTGCTACCTCGGTCCCAGTGGGGTTGTCGCCAGTCGAATTGCGGCGGACACGGTTGCACTGCTGCTGCTGGCGGTCCTTACAAGCCGTTCCTCCAGTGCTGCCATGGCCGTTACTGCAGCCGTTGCCGCCTTTCTCCTCAGCAGCGCAGGTCATCACCTCCAGCCCAAACAAAGTGTGAGCAGCCGTGCAGGGAACAGCCGATTCCGAACCGGAAAGTGCGGCGACCTTTCCGGCCTTCCCAGCGACAGCGGCCGCATAGCCAGCTGGCCCGACGGCCTGCGTTGTTGTGGGGTGGCAATTCCCGTTGGGAATGGAGGAGCTCGTAGCAGCAATGTCCCGGAATCGCACCCGACGCGGTAGATGCGGATCCTGCCCTTGCGTCGCTCCACTGCCCGCTTCGGCACGATGCATGCATGTGAGCAGCACCAGGAGCACCTCGGAAGCATCATGCATCTCGCTGAGATCCAGCCGTACCACCGCCTGCCCTGTCTCCAGGACACTCAATGCCTCGCGCAGCGCCAGTGGCGAGACTACCCATGACGGCGCGGCATCAGATAAACCCGCGTCCGCCTGTGCCTTCAGCGGTGCCGCCATCGTACGGAAAATATTCACAAGCGCTCGGAGCACGGTCACATCTGCTGAAGCAGCGCCGCGTGCTGCAACCTCATCCACGTCGAGTTGCAGAACAGCCTCACGGAAGCTGCGCAGGTGCCAGAGGGATTGAATAATGACGTTGAGGAAGCAATTGTGCTGGCCGCCCAGGTTCTGCAAGCCGCGCACCAATAGCAGCTCGCGCGGCTGGCGACTCGCACCCGGGTGGTACACGATGCCGCCGCCACTGCTTGCGGTTGGGGGCGAATGCGAAAGGCTGCCCACCAGCTGCGACGGCGGCCCTGTCAGGAGTGCAGGCCCGGTGGGTCGGTTACCAGGCTGACGTACCGGTGGTGTCGCTGTGCTGCTACTTGTGAAACCGTTCATGTTCGCAATCGCTGGGGTGGAAAGTCCAGCATGGGCAACGCTCCCGTTTGTCGTTCCACATGGGCCAAGGCCCCGCACAGAGGGCGGACTGCTACCCCCCAGGCTACCGTTCGGCACCGAAGTTGGCGACTTGATTCCCGAGGCGCTACCGCCCCCGGCAACAGCCGGGCCGTTTGCATTTTGTTGAAGCTTCGCTTTCCAGGACGAGCCAGGTACCGAAGGCCCAACTGCGGCTGCTGGTAGGGCGTCCCCGTTACCCGACGAGGAAGCCGGAGCCGTGCTTGGGACCAGGGACGGGAAAGGATCCAGGTTATGGCTGCTAGAGCTAGCCGTTGCACTACCGTCCCGCCGTGCCGCAACCATCGACCAGCTCGGCGTCGATGTCGGCGCCGAGATGGCCTGCCCAAAACTTCCTGTGCGCCCCTGAAAGGCTGTCGGGGAACCGCCAGTCGCCGTGCCCGTAAGGCGCTGCTGCTGCTGGCTGGCTGAGCTGGCTGAGGACGCCGCGGACGTCCAGGCCGTGGTTTCATCGGAGGTTGCCCCTTGCATCTGTATAGTCGACGTCCCTACAGACCCATCCACAAATGACCTCCCCTGGGCAGCTGCATCAACATGCCCACTGCCATGCTCACTGCCGCGGGGCATATCAGAAGCCGTTCGTTCTTCCATGATCTCATCAGAGGTTTGGCACGCTGCCGGGGTCGCCTGCGGGCCACCGCCCTGGTGGGCAGCCTCTGCCTGGCCATCATCACTGGCCTGCACGCTAAGGGCTGTAGCCGTAGCCACGGCAGCTGAGTTCTCCCCATCGCGCGAGCCATCACGGTCCGCCTCGGCAGCGGCGGACGCAGACAGGGATTGCGCGGAGCGGGGCGCCCTCACCGACTCAGCTGCCGACCCGTTTTTTTGCATGGTTCCATCATTTGGTCCATGCAGCGGCGCGCCCGTTGCTTGGACCATATGCATCGGCATGGCCATAGAAGCCATCGGCATAACCGGCATCATCGGCATAGGACCGGGTACACCCCATGTCAACATCACGCGGCCGGCCGGAGGAGCCATGCCCGGTGGTGGCGGCGGCAGCACCGGGTGCTGCGGCACCGGTCCTGAGCCCGGCCCAGGCCCGGGCACCGGATGCCCCACAGGCCCACTGGGCATTCCCACCCCGGGCTGCAGGACCGCGGACTCCGCCACGCTGGGTCGTCCCGCATCCTCAACGATGCCGTCGGTGAGCTGACCAGCAGGGCTGACACCAGCGCCGCCATCAGCAGATTCCATTCCCGAGCCATGGGACATATGAGGAGCGTGCACGGGCACCTGCAAGTGCCCCGCAGGACCCATCATCACCATTAGAGGGCCTCCAGGACCTAGCATCGGCATAGATGGCGGTCCCCCGGAATGTGGGAGCGGTTGTACCACGACAGGGCCGCTCATCATGTCCGCCGGTGATGGAGTGACGCCGTGTGGACCAGAGGGGCTAGGCCCTGGACCCTTGCGGGGTCCTGGGCCGCCAGTGCCAGGTCCTCCACGAGGCCCGTCACGGCGGTCCCGCCGGCAGCCATACTGACCCGCAATGGGCGCTGGCGGCTGGCCAGTGAAGTGCCCTACGGGTCCAACACGGGAGTAGGGTCCAGGCGGCGGCATTTGCCCTTGTTGCAGCAATCCTGTAGCGCTGTTTGCGCTATCTGGGAAACCTCCCTGCCGCGGGTACGGCTTCTGGCCGCCTTGCTGTTGTTGCTGTTGTGGCTGCTGTTGCGGTTGCTGCTGTTGTTGCGGCTGCTGGTGCTGCGGCTGCAGGCTGCCCCCGGCACTGGACGTCGGTGCTGCCCCTGCCTGAGGTTGCTGATGAGCCTGCTGGCTGTTAGCAGCCACAGCAGCTGCGTTGGTGGACGCGGAGGCAGCCTTGCCTGCGGGCACAAAGGAGCGCGCGTTGGCGTTCAAAGTGCTGCTGGGCTTGCTGGCGCCAGTGGCTGATGGACTTTTTGGAGGTGGCGGAGGCTGTGAGCCCGCCGACACGACTGCTGGCACGCCTTGCCCAGCGGTTTGCTGCAGCGGCTGTTGTGGAGCTTGCGGCATGTGTAGCTGCGGCGGTGGTCCCAGCGGCATCTGCAACCCTGGTGGCACCATTTGCAGCATGTGGGGATGGGGATGCGGCTGCAGCTGAGTTGGTCCACCGGGCGGTGGTATCATGCCCGGCGCCCCCGAGGGGAACACGTATACATGCGGCGGGACGTGGCCTATGGGCCCGTTAGGCGGCTGGCCGTGCTGGATAGGCATGCCGCTCCCAGGAATAGGACCGGAGAACTGCATTGGCGCAATCATCACGGGCGGTTGCCCCTGCGGACCGGCGCCGCCGCGAGGGCCAGCACCTGGCGGCATGCCTTGCGGCTGACCATGCTGTGGCTGCCCTGGGGCGGCTGAGGATACTTGCACAAGGCCGGCTGGGGCCCCAGGCGGCCCGGATATGACTTGTACATGTCCCGGCACCTGTACTGGCGGGCGCGCCATGGCACCAGCTGGTTGCTGCTGCTGTTGTGGCGGCGCTGTGGCAACCTGAATTCCGGGCTGTGGCGGCAGTGAAGGACCCGCCATGCCTGGCGGAGGTAGCGGACCAGCCAGCATACCAGGCCCCGGCAAGGGTGGCCGCGCGCCCGGTGGTGTCGCGATCGACACGAGGACGGGAGGTGGCGGCATCTGTTGCCCCGCCAGCTGCTTGGGCAAGACCGGCCCCATGGGCGGCATTGGCCCGCCCGGAGCTTGCATTGGCACTGGAATGACCCCATTCGCATGCATGTACGGGCGATGAGGACCTGGCCCTGGGGGACCCGCAGGCGCTGGCGGTGCCATGTGCGCCATCATAGGCGGTACAATCCCAGCCAACGGCCCAGCCAAGCCTCCCGGCGGGATATGGCCGATGGGATGGACGACCTGACCTGTGGGAAGCGTGCCCAAGGGCGCCGGCTGAGCAGACGGGGCTATTGCCATGCCAGCAGACGGCCCTGGCGTCGGTTGTTGAACGGGCAGCGCCGGCGGAGGGGCCGGTGCATGCACTGTATGTTGCTGTTGCTCGTGCTGCTGCAGGGCCGTAGGAACGTTTGGTCCGACAGCCTGCTGCGGTAGCAGCTGGTGAAGCGGTTGCGGGGCCTGAGAAGGCACTTGAGCGGGCACATGTGCAGGCGCGGGAACGGCAACATGCAAGGGTGCTTGTCGGCTATCAGCACTGCACTGGAGAGCGACATGCTGCCCCGGCTCAGCTATAACCGCATGAATGGTAGGCTGTGGCGTCGAAGATTTGGCCGGCGTCGCCGTGCTACCCGTAGCAACCGGTATAACGGCGATATCCCCGAAAAGGATAGCATCCTCCGGGACGGCAGCTGGGTTTGGGGAAGGCAGGGCGCCAGAAGCCGAAGGCGACCCTGCAGTAGTCTCCGCCACCTGTACTGCCGCAGCCGACGGGGATGGACCAGCGGATGCGGGAGCGGCCGGTTGCTCAGCGGCCTCATTTGCAGGATCTTCTGCAGCCGCATTTGTCGCCACAATAACCACAGATTTGCCAGGAGAAGCTGTCTCAGGCTCCGTAATACCTGCTGATCCGGACACCAGAACCGGGGGCACCGCCGGTAGCACCGGGGTCACTGCTGCTGGTAGGGCCGGCGCCGGTATTGCCGGTGGTGCAGATGGCGGGCGCTGTGCATGCTGCCCGCCGGTACTGCCTTGTGCAGCTTGCCTCTCGCCGCCGTCCCGGCTGCCACTGCGGTGGGTTGGAGCGCCCCCTGAGCCCTGATGGCGCCGAGACTCCCAGTCGCGCTGCGGATGATGGTTGTGATGTTCCCCACGCTCGCGCTGCGGTATTCCATCCCGTGGGCCCATGTAATCCCTGCTCCCACTCCGCAAATGCGTTCGTCCCCCTCCAACGCCGCTGCCTGCGCCGGTCACTGCCTGTGCAGGCGCTGGCGCAGGTGCGGCCACCTCCTCATCCTGGTCTCGTGTATCTTTGTGGCGTCGGCGGCGATTCTCAGTGGTAAAACCCTCCCCGTCGTCACGGTGGACATCCTGTACCGACCGAAGGAGACATGCCAATGTACAGGCAAGGCATCTTGAATTGGGGCAGACGCAAATCGTTTTCTTTGTTTCATGCAACAGCCCAACCGCTTCCAAGTATCGGATATCATGCAACAGTTACGTGGACAAGGGAACGGTCCACAGAAAACGCCTACACGGTCTGTCGCCGGGTCCCAACTTCTCGCCGAACAAGCTATTTGAACCCCAGGACATCATTAACTCTGTTCCATCGGCGGACCGCAACTGACCTCGGGCGATGACGAGCGGTTGCGGTCAGGCTCCTCAGACAAGTCGAGCAACGAAGTTGCACTGATATTATTGCGGTCGTTGCTGCCGGCTGCAGCAGCCATGCCAGAGAGCCGCTCCTCCATGATCATGCGCTGGCGCCAGTACCCGTTCTCATCCGATAACAACTCCTTGCGTCGCAACTCAATGGCAGCTTCCTCAGCCTTGCGCATGGCTTCAACAGCCTCCATGCGCTTCCGCCTGAGACAGTAGGACGGCACGGCATAGGGTGCTGCATCAGCAATAGGAGATACCTTGCAGTGAAGGCAGCAAAGGGTCAAAAACGGCGGTTCGCTGTACCTACGTGGGCAACCAAGTGGACGAATATTCCAATATCCGGACTTATCCACTGCCTCACCTCTCCTGCTCATCCCGAATGGTCCGCTCTCGTTCTGCCTCCTGCCGTGCCGCCCGCTCCGCAGCCTCCCGTGCCGTACGTTCTGCTGCAAGACGCTCCTTTTCGCTCTTGGCCTTTTCATTCTTCTTGGCCTTTGCCGCCTTCTTCCGCTCACGCTCCGCGGCTTCGCGCTCCGCTGCCAAAATCTACGACAGGCATGGGAAAAGGAGAGCGGCATGATTGTCATAACCGGGCAAGAATCCCCGAGTGTGCTCTTACCGTCCATTCACGGCTTCCATAATTTGTAAATTACACGTGGGACATCAGATTGCCGCAGCTGCAGCGTTGGCGCATCAGGATCAAAGTTTTTGTTGTAATTTAGGACTCCCATAATCGGGTCGAGTCTATCACATCTCATCATATGCGCCAGTTTCAGGTACCGTTGTCCCAGATTTATGTTCGCCGTGCAATGCTAGGCTGCGTATGTGCGGTAAACATCAAGGAACAACCAAGCCCAGCCAAGTCACTCGCCTCCATGCGTAAGACTTCGTCTTCGGCAAGCTTCGCCCGCTGGGCTGCGTATTCAAGCCCACGCTGGTCAAGGCGCTCCTGCAGCAAGGGCAATGCGAGCTGTGTGCCAATCATAGCTCCGGGGTCATCACAGGCCACGTTAATAAGCTGCATCTCCAGGTGCTGCAGCGCCACTGAGCTGTCTTCCAGCCGCCGCTCGATGGCCTGAAAGAAAAAACGCCCAGGAGGTAGGTTCATGTCGGCGACAGCCAAAGACAGTGCAGACGCATGTCGGACAATAGTAACCAAGTCTGTTCCGGTAATGTGCGGCAAACGACCTATCCTATGGGCGAGCTCATAATCAGCATCGCATCTCAGGTTTTACGATGTTAAAACACCAGCGCACCTACCACAGGAACCGTAACAACAGAAAAAGCGTGTATTCTTACCTTGAGCGCGGCCTTCAGGTTGTCGAAGAAGGTACGATCATCGGCATCACCGTAGAGCTGCTTGCGCACGTCTTTAGCGAAGTGATTGCGCATCTTGGTGAGCTGGACATACTGCTGCGGTGTCAGAGATCCGGACGCGGCCTCCAAGTCCCCCTCAGCCTGTGCGATAACACCGCAGCAAAGAGCAGGATGTATGCAACCGAACTGCGATATCCGAACAGCACAAATGCTCATCTACAGCAAAGTTGTTTCGGCAGTAAAGAGTGTGCAGCAAACACACCTCAGAGTCTTTAATTGCTCCGCTGTCTCCTCCGCTTGCACTTGCGGCTAGGGCGCGCTCGTTCCGGCACGTAATTAGCTCCTGGAACTTGTCAACCAGGTTCTCAACAGTGCTCTTCCAGCCCTGCAGCTGCTTGATCTCGGTCTCCCTGAAAGCACAACAACGACGTGCACCAGCATACGTTTTACCCATCCGAGCCTGGTGAACATATTAACATGCGGAAGGTAACACATATTTTCCCGGACCCACCGCTTCGCCATGTCGTATTCAGCCTTCTGCTTCTTGTCGTACGTGGCCTGCAGCCGCGCGCCCTGCTCGCGAAAGGCTGTTTGGACCTCCAGCTGCAAGCAGAAAGGACGACATTAGACCAACAGCGCGTTACACCTCGAGTTGTGACAATAGTGACAATCTGCTCAGGAGAATTCAGCACGAGTCATGTCTGCATACACACCTGGTGCCGGTGGCGCTCCATTTCTGCGGCGCTACGGTAGGCGCCTTCCATGCCGCGTGGCTGGTGCTTGACCTCGTCGAGCTCCCGCTTTAGGCGCTCAAACTCCGGCTCGCCCTAAACAGCAGTAGGAATGCAGGCCATCAACAGCTGTGAAATATTAAATTTCGTGCTGTCGGTGCACAAGACCTAAACCATCGTCACCGGCCAACCCGTGAAAGCTGCGAGTCATAACTACCGCGCGCACGCACCCATACTATGGTCCCTCCTGGCGATGTTCCATTTTCTCATGTAAACAAGCAAATATCTCCTCTACCGCAGAGAAGCAGAAAGGTTATGCGGCTTTCCGGAAAGCGGCACCTCCTATCTGGGAAGTCACCATCAAGCCCGTGTTTGCGGATCCTCCTACCGCACCTGCCGCAGCGCCTGCTTAAGAATGCGCAGCTCCTTGTCCTGGGTCAGGTGCTCAAAGACCAGGAAATGCAACTTGGCACGGGTAAGGAGCGCTTCACGGCGCAGCATGAACAGAATGACTTCATCCGGCAGCGGCTTCGAGTCCCAAACCGCCCCAATACCGAGGCTAGACGTCATTCCGTCATCAAGCAGCAGCGGCGAGGCAGACGCTTGGCCAGATTCGCCGCCTACACCTGTGTCCAACATCAGAAACCACGTAGCAGCGGGGCATTGTAGTCTTGAGCCGACAAGCATAAGTTAAAAATCCACGCTGACATCCTGTCAACCGAAAGCCCCGCATCCAAGTCAACGCTTTGGGGGCACAGTCTCGTTCACACCAAATTTCCTTGCTAAGCCTCTATGGGCAACGCACCTGGCAGGTCGCGCTTTGGCTGCGGACGCAGATCGTAGCCCTGCCTGGTGAGCTCCGCTGCCTCCAGCCGACTCTTCAGCATCTCACTCAGCAGATCCTTGCACTGCCTGGCCCGCGTCTCCCATGCGAGGTGCTCTTCCAGAGCTCTGTAGCACAGGACCCGCCAGCAACCACATCCATCAACCGCGCAGAACAGACTGGCAGACAGCCCGGATACCAACTACAAAGACCATCGCGCATTACAGCGCATTAACGGTTCTAAACATTGTGGCCTGTGGCCCCGTAAAAGCACCATCTGCCGGTTGCTACTTCCTCAACGGCATAGATAACACACAACCCTTGAATTTCCGCATGCGCTACGCTCTCCCTTTTCCTACTTGCCTGACCAGAAGCATGTGCGCGTCTGCAGCAGTTGGGTGTGACATGCCCAGACAACGCTTAGCACCGTCCCGTGCTTTTTCCGCTGTGCTGACGATGCTTCCGTACACCCACTCCAGCACCAGGCCATTATGGCCGGGGTCCTCGCCTGGCTTAGCACGCCGGGGATGACCGTCCTCGCCGAGGAGACGCTCCTGTAGCAACATGATCACACTATTTATCTCCAATACAACCACGCACGTTACGACCAACCCCAACGCTGAGATCTCTGTCGTTTACACGGCTAACACTCGCCGGTCATCGATTACATCATAAGTCTGGCCTGGACACTACAACCCAGTATTTAATCGGGAAAGGACTTCGCTACAATGCGCACCCTGCAGCTCACTTGCAAGTGCTGCAGCCATTTTGCATTCACAGTAAGGCTGTTGCTCTCCTCGTTGAGCGACCACAAGTCCACATCGCCCATGTTCTCCTCCTCCTCCTGCACAAAGCGGTTTGCAAAAGCATTCAACTTTGGTAAAACCAAAACCACAGCTTTCAGCGAGCCTTCCCTGAGCTTGTTATAGTGTTGTTTACGGGGGTTTACGCATTCGTGGTTTCCACGGCCAGTCGAATTAAAACACATAAGGCATGCACACACATTCCGCGCTGGGCCACACCACACGCACCTCCTCGTCCTCCTTGGGCTCCGGCTTCAGTTTCGTGGACAGCGCATCGACCTTCTCGGTTAGCCACTCCACAATACGCGTCACATCATCCGGCAGCAAGTTTTCCAGGTCCTCGAAGCTGCACAGCCATCCAACGGAACCGGACCCACATGGCAGCAATATGTGAACAAAGGTTGGCCTAGTCATGCCTGCAACGCCAGCCGCCTCATTGCGAAAATAGTCCTCAATTGAAGCGAAATCCCAATTTCGCTTCAGATTCGATTAATAGAAAGCTGGAGGAGCAAGGCAGGACATCCAATACGACATAATCAGTATGAACTGAAGCAAAAGCTGTGGACCCGCCACATACAAGGCACGGCAGCATGCCACATCACAGCGGTACACTGACGTATGTATTTTCACTCGTACGTAATGGTGACTGAAAGGCCTCCATTTATGTTGGCCATCCAGGAAAGGCCACCCCTTCCAGCCAACCCCCCAGCGGCAGGAGGACACCCCATACCTGAGCTCCAGCTTCGTGGTTTCACGGTGACCTTCTGGAAGGATCTCCATGACATACGTGGTAATTGGGGTCAGTAGCGAATGGTAGAGTTGGTCATTCTCCTTGGCAAGGGCCTCCAGCAGCACCGATAGCAATTCTATATTGGCGTCGCGCAAATGTGAGCCAGGATCCCCACGACGACGGTATGGCCGCGTGGCTCCATCCTCCCCGTTCGCTCCCACCGCGGAAGGCCTCAGGCTGTTCGCGCTGGTGCTTTGCTGTACTTTCGATAGCAAGTCAAGCCTACAATACGTGAGTATTTGGATGGGCTTCTCAGATTCATTCAGATTCATGGTCAGCGCGCCACGGCTGAAGATGACGAGGCAACACAGGGTACTTACATTCGCTGTCTGAACGCCGCCTCCGCTGGCTTCTCCGTGGCCCTGGCCTCATCGCGCGGAAGCAGCCTCCGTAGCTCATCGCGAATGTGCTTTTCCTGAGGGATTCGGGTTGTAAGGACATGGCGAAACCGCAAGATTGAGTCCCGCACGCATTTCCTTGCTAACGGCTGCGCACAATAATAGTTGCCCCCAGGACGACCTTCACCTGTGGACCCTTCCCCCACAAATAATCGCGCATCCCTCGATGCAAACACCCCTCCCAGGGGATCCCCTCAGCCCAGTCTGCCATATCTCCTGCTCACTGTAATATGTTGCCTGAACGACTCCGCGTCGTACAGCGCTGCATTGTCCGCTGGCCAGTGCCACAGCTTCCACGTCCCTTTTTCCTTAAGCCGCTTAATGCCCTCCTCAAGCACATCCTCCATAGACGGCTCGAGCTCCAGAAGTGCGGGGTCCAGCGGTTCCCCCTCAGGTGCATCCGCCACTGCACCATCACCAGAGGAGTGTCGAGAATGTCAACAGACAAAGCGTCAAAAGCTAATTAGCAAGCAACAAATACCATACTTTATTCTCAAGACAAAAGAAAGTAAGAACAAATCTTACCTGCTTGCTGACGCGCAGCTTCAGCTAACTGGTTCGCACGTGCTCGAACACTATCAAGACCTATTGATAACAGCTTGACACGTTCCTCCTGATCCAGTGTCTCCCAGAGAGGCCGCACCAGCGCGACACGCTCCTGCGGTGGCTGCTGCGTCAGGTCCTTGGTGTTCTCCTGCGACGCAAAAGGAGCAAATTTGGCAAGCATGCCCCCAAAGGAAGCTCTGCCGTGCCATAACTGGTCGCACGCCGCCGCACCTGCTGAGGCTTCTTCACAGGGGGCTTAGACCCTTTGGTCTTAGCCCCCTTTCCTTTCTTGTTAACCATTTGCTGTCAATAAAGAGGTGCTGTCATGGACGGGGCTGGCCGCCCAGGCATCTCACTATCCTTACTCCATCCTGCTGCCTCCTGCAACGCCAAGTTGGCAAGCAGAACAAATCAGCTCCAGTATAAAAGCTTTGAGATACAATCAGCTTCGCCCTGAGATCCCTGCGGCTGACAGGGAGCACTATGACGCTTCTGGACCGAAGACGCCTGCGCTGCGGGGCTTAACGGGATGTATCCATAGCTGCCCAAGGCAAAGCCCTGTAGTATCCCTTTATTTTGCTGCAATAAGATCCCTGAAAGGCGCGCCGCCAAAAGACTATCACCACTCGGCCAAACTATCGCCCTGGAATCATTCCTTGTGTAACCTAGCAAACCTAATATGTCGGGGTTCACCGAGGATGCACAACGGCTGTATATCCAGCGCAGCCCACCTTGTCCACAATCAGACAGTTTGGGATTCAGGAAGGAGCCCCAGGCCTGCAGGCTGAGGCTTGATAACGGCCTCTGGCGGCCGAGTAGAGTTTGTGGAAGAAAAGTGTGGTGCGGAGAACCTAAATACGACCCTGGAGTCCGTGCGAGACCACAATTATTAACGCCTACCACTTCGCATGCCACTCCTTCGACTTATCCATTTATACTTATGTAATTTTAACAGCTTTTAGCACAAAAATGAGATGCCAATTTGTATAAATGGTGAAATGCAGCATCTGGATGTTGACACTTCTTCTCATGGCATTGGTATCCATGTAGACTTTGCATTTATGCAGCTTGAGGCAGAACTCTAAACTGTTATGAGCTGTCGCTTTGCTTCCCTCGTCTACCGGTGGCATGCCGATTTCTAGCATGCGAGCTAGTACTCGCAATTGGACTTGAGATTGGGATTTGGGCTTGAACGCCGACCTAAATCTTTGAGGGCATGGGGCTAGTCCCCTCTTGGTGGGCTCGTTTTGCGTTCCCGCATGGTGCCGTCGGTCTCCCTTGACATCTTCCGCAAACATCAACCTATTGCCCCGTCGCTAGCCACAGCATTGATCCCTTAGCCTTATTGCCCTATGAGCCTGTGTTGTTCTAGTTGGACCCATGGGTCGCGTGCAGCAGCTTCCTATGTTCACGTACAGGCCTACCGGAGACTTGCACTGTCTTCCGCCGACATCGACTTCCTTTCACTGGCTTGCATCCCTTGCAACTAGCTGCAACTAACTTCAAGTAGTTACCAGTCTTACATGGTTTGCAGCGCACGCAGTTTATGCACTGGATTCAGCCTCACAGTTATGCGAGTCTGGGACAAACACACTCCTACGCGTCCTTAAGCGATGCTCCGCTCCGTTTGACTCACCCTCATATCCATGTTAACACGACTGGGGCAGGCGACCCATAGCCGGCATCATCCTTACAGCAACCAGCAGAACGCAGTGAAACTAATTCTTCTCCGATTCTTAACTTCCAGCGCCCAGCCGCTGTATCGCTTGTGTTCGCAATCTGGCTTCGCTGTGTTTTCCGGGCTTCTTCTCTATGCCGTTTATGACGCAGTCAATCGTACCGCAAAGAACACAAAAGCCACGAACACACGCTACAATGCGATTTTTCTGTAACTTCCTGCACATCACCTGCGGCCGCATGATGCCGCCGTGCACGTTCAGTCAACCGCATCTTTGCCGTTGCCACGAGGTTCAGCATGCAAGCCTTGTCAGTGCCGTGTAAATGCGTAGATGAACGTGTCAGGCGGCATCACGGCTCGCACACCCTCGTCCGAGGTGGTCGCCTCGTCCCGGATTCGTTCACAGCTGAAGCCGTGCAGCTCTGTCATTCTCTTCACGAAGGCTTCCCACGGTTCATCTGAAGCATCGGTGCACACTTTGCCGGTTGCCCGATCCAGCCATACCTGCCAACAGGGACATAACAGGGACTAAAAGTACGGCTCCCTTGACCTGGGTCCTAGTACAGCATGGCGAATTCGGTCACAAACTGATGATGGTGCTAATGATGGTGCTAGGCTCGTTAGAAACAAGCAAAGCATGCAATAATCAAGGGTAAGCCATAGCAGTCCACAGCTTCCGTCCTGCCCACTGTTCCGCCAACGCAGAGCGCTCACCGACTTGCGAATGGTATGCCCTACCAGCGCCACGGCGCCATCACCACAGCAAACGGCCGCGATTGTGTCCGCCAGCAGCGGCACTAGTGAACATACGTACACGACATCGGCGGCGAGGACTACGTCGTACGCTCCAACGTGTTCCGTGGCCCTGCGGCCGCCTCCGGGCTCCCCTCCCTCAGATGGCCTGATCGCCTGCTGTCGACATGGCTGCCCAATGGAGATCTTCCGGCTTCGTAATTCTGGCTCCGGAACCACAGCGCCGTGCGTCTCTGTCACGGCACAACTGCCACCCATGACGGCAAGCTGGGACCAATCCAGCACGGCTGTTCGGCAGGCGCCATCAACGGCATTGAGCTCTACATTAGCCGCCAGCAGCGGCAGCGCCTGTGGCAGATCAGTGAGCGTCACGTTCTTGGCACCCACCTTGGCAGCAATGATGCCCGGCAGGCCTAGGCCTGCACCTAGCTCCACGACTGCCTCAGCGTGACGCATGAGCTTGGCGCCCGAGTCCGATGCGATGAACGCAGCCAGGCGCCAGGCGGCGGGCCACAGCTCCCAGCCGAGGAGGCAATCGCAGAGCTGGAGATCCTCCGGAGGCCCTGGCAGCGACAGTGGACTGGTGCTGCTGCGGTGGCCGCTCACCCCTGATGAGTCTTTTCCCTCGCCTGTGCCTGCTCCGAAGTCGGGGGAATGTGGGCCTGGATGCGGGGCTAGGCGAGACTGGGGCTGCGGACCACTAGAAGCTTCTGGCGGCAAGGAGGGCGGTACCTGTGTAGGGTAAGAGGGCAATGATAACGGGCGATGGGCCAGGGAGGTGGGCATATTGAGGTTTCCGTCGGAGCTGGGATTGGCAATAAGGAGCCACGATGTCCCAGAACCTGAAACCAGAGCAGGTGTGTCTTGCCTGAAATGGCCGCTGGATTAAGCGCACCCGGTGAGGCCCGATGGCCACTGTGATCTCCTCCCTTTGCATGGGGATGTGAGTGAAGGGATTGCTCGGGGAGATGATAGGTAACCAGCGAGCGGTTCAGCTGTAAGGAAAGGTTTTCTTGGCGCGGAGCCAAAATGAAGGTGTGAAGGGGGTTAAGACAGGGGGTTGGCCACAGCGGTTGGTCAGCCCGGCATGTCAAGGGATTTAGAGGCGTGCTGGAGGAGCTGTTTGTAGCTGTTCGACGCAGATAGACTTGCATCCCCTGTAGCATGCAGCACGGCTTTGGCAGGGGCTGTCACATTCAACACGTTCACCAGGCGATGTGACGCCGGCGTCGACTGAACATTTTCCCTTCCATTCCGCTGTTTAGGTCGCTTTGGGCTCCTGATTTACCTCAAACATTGTAACTACTTGCTATGAACATAATACGGAAACATACGATTATACATTTAACCTAGATAAGCTACATACGCGCTGTTTGATATGATTAATGATATCTAGCTGTCCATGGTTCCGGCTTCCAGGTCTTATGGCCGTACACCGATGTATAACGGTAAATGTACCGAACATTACACGTTAACACAGGTACAGCGGTCAATTCGTTTGCGCAAAGTGCTTGCGCCTCCTTCGAAACCGCAACGCCTACGACAGCCCTCGAAAGATGTGAATTAACGCAAGCACGTCCCCTGATGGCAGCTTATGCATCCTGTCTTATGCACGAATTAGACAACTTCCCCTTTGGGGTTTTCGTGCGCCGGTAGCGACCGAGCCGCTGTCCGCTATACTTCCCGCACAGCCCGGGACACCTACATGTACCCACATGTAATGTAATGTAATGTAATGTAATGTAATGTAATGTAATGTTACAGAGTGGGAGGCTTCTGGGCCGCTTTATCACATTGTCAGTTCTACGATTTGTCATCTTATAGCACCGTCCACCACTACCACACTATACTTCGCCATACGAACTGTAAGTCCAAGGCGGCGGGTCCAGCCATCTAGGACCCCTCCTCATCCATTCACCCGAACAACCGAAGAGACGGAGGGTTCGGCAATCGCCACCAATCTAGCGTGCGAATCTGGTCCATCAACTGCGACCTCAACTCCACATCTCAGCAGCTAGCCATAATCTCGCGCTCCCGACTAATTCGGGGGTCTCCCCAGGAATCGAACCCAGAACCTTAAACCGCGAATCGCAGTAGTGTCAACCCAGACCAGACCCACATGTAACATCTCGCCTGTGGCCACCGACGGGAAGTCGCCCAGGGGCTACTCACAAAAGACCACACGGCCAGCCCGGCAGGAGGCGCACGGCGGACCCGGCCCTGGACCTGGACCTGGAGATTGCATTGCGGAGGAGGAGCGCGCACCCAGTCGAGGGCCATGAGCCTCGCAACCACTTCCAGCACAGCTACCTTGCCTGGTACTCCACATTTTCAGTGCCAAGCTGCCTTCCAGGACCCGGCCGCGCATTCCCGCGAGCAGGAAACGGTGCGGTGGTTAACGCTGTTCTTGCTTGTGGAGCGCGGGACACAGCAGAAGCGCGGGGGCCACAACCACGATCTGGGTCGCATCAAGAGGTTAGGGGACTAATTGGCCGCAGAGCATGGGCCTTGGATGTCTGTCGCATCATACAGCTAGTGCATCCTGGTCTCAAGCTTGACCAGCGCTGCGGCGGTCACAACCCACAGGGGATGACGCCGCACTCAAGATCACAACGGACTTTGACTCAAGTGCGGCCGGACGAATACCTAGAAGCTTCTGTGCCAAATCGAATCCCTCCCGCGCCACCCTAACTTACGGGATGAGTGGGCTGTTCCGTACTCCTATCTGCTCCAATGACTCCTGCAGGTCCGACGGTGGAGGTTTGGCGAGGTGAGGTCGGCGACGGCGAGGTGCAGTTCGGTGCAGTGGTGGTGGGGAGGGACGGAGGGAGGGGGAGAGGGGGAGGGTCATTCACGATCTGGGATATTTAGCGGTACGCTTGCCTTTTGTTCTCGTACGACATCGTAATCGGCATTTATACAAATATTTATTGTATTGTTACTCAAAAACAGTTAAGGTTAATGGAGGGCCGCACATATGGGGGTTACACCGCATGCACCGCAACTCATCCCCCCACTGCACCAAAAGATGGCCATCTTCACGTGCATCGCATCGCATCGCATTGCCGTAACGGAGGGAAGCGGCTACACACACACACACACACACACACACGAATCGGACGTATGCGGGTTGCGGGGCATCCGGGTTATTCCCCCCCGGGTGCGGCATATTGCACACCGGGTGTGTAGTACTGCCCGTACCCGGGAGAAACGCCGTATGCCCGCTATCACCCCCCCCATATGGAGGACGGGGCATGGCCCGCCATGACTGACTGGGTGACTGAATGACTATCTTGCTCACAAGCCGAGGACCTCCCGGCTTGCTAGACAGCCTTCTCGAACAGCAGCATGTACTTTGCGTTGCGATTATGTCTGTCTGTATGTTTGTTTGTTTGTTTGTTTGTCACCGGATGACTTCTCGCTGGCCACCTCCCCTCTGTGCGGATAGAACGGGGGGAAGGGACTGTGACGTGCATTCCGTTACGTTGATAAGTGGCTTACCAGCAATAACCTCGTTACCTCTGAAATGTAAGCGCAAACTAGTACTATTTCTGCCGTATTGTACAGGCACCTATCGTACCCAACCTCGGGTGTGTCCTTCCTCTTGTTCGAGATCACCTGTTGCGTTCAAGAGCCAAATAGCGGATAAAGTTGTGGAACTGTAACGACCAAGTATCTGTATGATCGGTCATTTCTCACAACAGGGACACATGGACAGAAGGAGGAGGTATGGCTGCAAGGAGATTCTCAGGCTACCCAAGGGGAGAGAGCCTGAGGGGGTACAAATGGCCCTCCGCAACGGCAGAAGTCCCCACGGCTTGGGGATGCAGCTATAGCTGAGAAGAAGGCTGTGGCGTTCCTTGGTGGCTTTTTATCGCCATGAGGGTCATTGTGCCGCAGTGGCCTCTGTTCTACTGGAAGGGCTCGTCGTTTGATGCGATGGTGGTGACAAGGACTGTGCAGGGATTTTGATAATAGGCATGAGTCAGTACGAACAAAACCACTACTACCGGACTCGTTGGGATGAATAATTGTTACCATTACGGACTAAGGACACGTACATGGGCAGATTGCGACCTCCACGCAAATTCCCTCTTTGAATTTATGGCCAGGATTACTGTTTGGAAGGAGATGTAGGTTGGGTCACTCATTATTCTTTTGGCGGTTTCCTTGGGTTGGGACGATGGCGTTAAAACATTGCAACCGTGCATTTTAAACACCTTAAAAAATGCCGGAGTAGAGCAAAAAATGGCCTCATCTTTGAATGTTGCATGGAGTGGAGGTTACGGTGTTTCGTTGTCTAAACAAGGCTGTCGCTCTCCAAAAAATTACGACCTGGATATTGTGCTCGCATACTGGATCAGTTATGTCCCTTGACATAACTGACATTGGAGAGTGCGAATGGCCGTGGTAAAAGTTTCCGGTATCGAGTTGACGTGTGGTCATGTACGTCGTGCATCATGGTTGGATGTGAACCACCGACTCGACACCAAACTGCCGTGTTAAAACATAATATTAACTGTATACATTTTTTGCGCTTTTTAATGCTTCCTCGCTTGCTTTCTGTCTTTATTGTTCGTGGTTCGTGGGTCTAGAATTCCTACTACTGGCGCCACGTCTGCAAATTTTTGTAGCTGCTATGGCTCCAAGTTGCTGTTTCGAACGGCACGGTCTAACCTGCGGATCTGTGATGCGGCCTGTACGTCGTCGCGAGCGTGTGGTCATGTGCGGGTCAGTCGGAGAGGACACACGTGCCGAGGCACCAGCGTCCTCCTCGACGAGTAACAGTGGTAGATCAGCCGAAGTGTCTTCAAGCCAACGCTGGTTGTCCGGTGCTCAGGTACGCACCGACAAGTTTGGTGTCCATGGCCTTGGGGACCTCCGCCACGGGTTCATCGCATCCCATAAAGGCCGGAAATATAACAGCTAACTATTCGATATCAAAGAAAAGGCATTTTTACAATTGGCTTCGGGATTCTCAGAGTAAGAAGGGTGTTGCTTAGGGTGTTGCTTGCCTAACGACTTGACGGACTGTCACATGGCAACCTTACCGGCTAAAAGTCTTAGATTTTTGCGAGCTAACTTTATTGGATATGCAATGATGTTTTCCCTTGGTTTGGCTTCGGAATACACAATTGCGCAGGCGGCGGCCGCAGGGCCTAATAGCAACGTTGTTCAGGTCCTTAGAGCGAACCGAAGTGTCAAATTATTTCGCTCTGAGAGTCGGAGGCTGGGCGAACGAAGGCTGGCGGCGTTCGCCTCCACAGTTGCGTTGACAGCTCTGGTACGTGTGGTGGTCGTTACGGCGGTGAGAGAAATAAGGGGTGGTTTGCGAGACAGCTGGATGCAGCGGGATGCCGGACAAACAAGTTTTGAAGGCTGCGGCACTTTTGTTGCGTGTACATGTAATTTTCCTAATGAACTATTAACGCATTAGCGGACGGGGGCTCAGATGACCATGCTAATAGGCACATCCCTCTACTTGCGCCCCTTGTTGTTTTCACGATCCAAGTTATGTCGGAGATTATTTTTGTTGATGTTGGCTATCTGACTGTCAGGTTGTGTTGGGATTGCTGTACTGCTGAACTGCAGGCCGTGTACGGCCAGGACCTGATCTCGCAGCTGGGCAAATGGACTTCTCTGCCCGTTGAGGATCTTGACGGTCTCATCTACTTCATCATCACGTTCAACCTGGTCAGTCTGGTGCTGCCGAAGTCGCGATATAGCAAATGGAAGTAATGGACAAACGGACAGACAGACAAGGGGGAGGACAAGCGCACATGGAACGTGCACACATGAACGGATGGACTGATGGGACCTTGCACATCATGCCAGCTGCACACATCAGGGGCGACAAGGCGAGGGCGACGACGACCCGGGGTCCCCCGGTCCAGGCGCACTCGCGTACCCTCGGTGAACGTTAACCTGCTGCTGCTGCTGCTGCTCTTTCGCTATCGTCGCATGTATTCCTGCCGTGTGTAAGTGGGGCTTTGTTTCCATTGATGACCGGAGGCATGGAATTCGCGTCGTCTCTGGGGGCGAAGTCAGGCCAGGTGTGGATGCCTGTCTGTGAATTGCGCCCCAAGTCTTTTTCAGTCAGTCCTGTTTCTGGTGCTTGAATCCCTTTTCTCGTGTTTTCGGGAAAGACAGCACAGCGCAGCATGCGGAGGCGGCATGGGGGAAAGGAAGGTTTGTACTGGGCAAGTCGCTTGGTCACGGCGTTGTAGTACAGCATTTCCTTCAGTATCAACCATTCGCTGCTGGGGCTTGTGCAACTGTACGACTACACGTTGGAACCGCTACAGTTGTGCCGTTGAAATGAACTGTGCGGCGGTTGGTGCGGCGATTTGATTGGCGGTTGGCGGGCGGTGGTGGGGGAAGTTGGAGAGTCCTAAAAGTTGGCGGTTCGGAGGATGGAGCGATGCACTATAAGCTGTGGTGCGCTGCCGTTGTGTCTTCCATCGTTCGCTCGTTTCATTTACCTAAAACATTTCTATCTTTGATCGGCGTGTATCAGTGTATTCAATCGGCGCGCATTATATCACCCTCTCTGCATGTGTGTTCGTATATGTGTATGTATGTATGTACTTTCGCCGGGCAGGCTTGGGCTTACGTCCTGTGAATTGTTAAGTTTGTATACCCGTGTTCTACGGCGACTTTTGTCTTCATGCTGCCATCGTGTTATGGATCATGTGTGAATCCTCTGACTCCCTGCCGCACTGCTATGGGGGAGAGCCTGTTTGTTATTGTGTTATTGTGTTCATGGTGCACGCACTCTTATAGACACATGCCGCATCGCATAACGCGCAGGTAGGTGTAAAAATGAATGAAAAAGGTTAGGCGAAGAGAAGTCCGGGCGCTTTTGGGGGCGCTTTTCGGTTCACGGTGGGTGACCTTTTCTGACACATGCCGTATGCCGTACTGTGCAACAAACTCCAACTGCCAGTACAGGCACCGCGTTTGGATGCTACGCGGACGACACGGGATGTTCTCGACAGGGATTCATCTGTGGTGGCCTAATGTATGGGTGGAGAAGTTATATTGCTGTTTGACGAAGCAGCTCCTAGCTCGGGGAAGTGGCGCCGGTAGAATATAAATATTCACGTTCACCGGGCGCCTGGCGGTTGATGGAAAAGTTTTGCGATTTAGCCAAGGTTTATTGTCTTTGGTCAAATGTTTTAAGATCGTTCGTAGATACATCAGCGGCGATGAGCCAAGTCCGAGGCGTGTACCTTCGAACTATAAGCGCAACGTCAAGGCTTTGCGCCTCGACTCCTGCTGCAATTTCCGTTAACTTTCTAGATGCAGTACCGGTATTACACAATGTAGCGTGTGTGTGCAGATACGCAATCGTAGGCAGTTATATCTGTCACCAGTTGGCGGTTACGATTACAAATAGTTTAGTGTGTGTTCCGTTCCGTTCGTGACAGTCGTCAAAGCGGCTGAGGGTGGAGGTACTAAGCTGGAACTTCGTTCCAAATGAGTCCACTTGGGCAGTTGAATTTTTTACTGTCCGTTGTTTCCGCAAACGACTCTCACAGGCGCCTCGTGATTGCTACAACTGTTTTATGACATCCTCTCGCTCGACATGTGGATGACCTGGATAACGGCTCGCTCGCACACATATAGGGGGGGTGCCCTTGGGCCTTCGGCTCGTATGGGTAGTTTTACAGGTATGGGGTCACGCACCCAACCATGTAACACACACACACACATATAGGGGGGATGTGTCGTTCCCGCAAGGGCGGTGTTGTTAAAGGCGACATTGTGTATTTGTCATTACGTCCAATCATGTGTTTTGGTAACTACTCGCTAAACAAGAAACTGGATAACTTACAAAAGACAAGAAAATGTACCGCAATGCACAATAGGGGCACACCTATGCAAAAGCAGTTGGCGCCAGCGAATGCACGAAATGTGAACAAAGCTAAAACTAGCAGTCAGCCATGTCAGTTAGATGTAGAAAGTCGAGTGTGTCGGCTTCCTCGAAGCCGGAAAAGGGCGGGGACCCCCTGCATCCATACAGGCCGGTAGCTACGGCGGCACGTGTGACAATTGATGGGTAGTGTCAACGTGGTGGGAGGTGTACTTGTTGCAGCTGTGCTGATGCTGTGGGAGCTATGCTCGCACCGGCGGAATCGTCAGCACCGCCTGCAGGCGCCACGCGAATCACGTCCATCCCGGGTGCATGCCGCATGGACAGTCGGAATGCCCATGTGGGCAAATGTAGACGCAAGGTGACGTCCGGTGCTGTCTGTGATGTTTACCACCGAAGCGCCAGCGGCTTCAGCAATCCGCCCCACAGCCCCGGCACACTGCAACTCTTCGGAGGCTCCAAGCATTGGCCGAAGTAAATGTACAAACGAGCAGCTTGCGTATTTCATAGAGAAATGAAAGCAAATTTGTCGGCCTGCTGGTGGCAAGTCGGAATGCCCGTGCGGGAACATGGTAACTCAAGCTGGGCGTTCGGGTTATCAACTCAGAATTCAAATATGAGATACGCGGCACCTTTGAGATTAATTTAGCCCGTGAGGTGTTAATGTGACTATGGGCTGGGTCAATGGAGGCAGCCAATTTTGTTTGTGCTCATACAATTTTTGTTGGCTACAGGCGAGATACCTTGCAATAGAGAATGCATTATATTACCAATAACGAGTTTCAGCCGGGCGAGATATTATGATTGTGTGTGTGTGTGTGTGTGTGTGTGTGTGTGTGTGTGTGTGTGTGTGTGTGTGTGTGG